ATAACAAGACGTATTATTGGATCAGAATCAAAACGAATGAGGGACCGCTAACCAGTGACTCATGACATACTCGACATCCTACCCAATCAGCGCACAAAGCAAGATGCATATAGCTGTCCCCTGATAATAAAGCCTTAAAGAACTGAGAGATTGATAAGGACTCGTGGTCTCCCATTGACCCTTAAATAAAGTGAAGGGAACAGTTGATAGAACATAACATGACTTAAGGAATTCCAAATTTTTTCTTCTTCTATTGTGTTCTCCGAAATTGCTAGTACAAGTTCTTCAAAAATCATACTGGAAGCAAAGTGTCAAACGTTTATACACTTGATTTCTTGTGGATATATTCCTTCCCATCAATATCGTTTGGATTGCAATACAGGATATGGTAAGATTCTCCAAGAAGTTGAAAAACAGACAAAAGAAAATGGTTCCATAATAGTGGATATGATAAAGCTGGGACATTTTAGATGAGATACATGTTTTTAGATAATGATTGGAAGACACATTCAAACTGTATGTAACTCAAAGAAGGAGAAATTTTAATGTATCTCATTGTCATTAATATGTCACATTGTATGTTGTTAATAACGACGAGAAATATGGAGAGCTAGGCACAAGGCAACATAAAGCGCAATGAAGAACTAGAGATGCACGTTCCTATGAATTGCCAAAACTACCAAATAGAAATTTTGATATCAGAGTTTGGTGTATGTACTCTCTTTTCTTTTTATAAGAACGCGAGCCTCAAAATTGGTCAAAAGTTAAGAACAAATTCAGAACAAGCTGAGGCTGAGCTACTGTAAAATGCAATTTTGAACAACGTTTTATCGCAAAAACGAGGATTTTTAGCCTTGTGCTTTTTCGGTAAATATTCGAAATTTTGGGCAAATGAAGGTTGTCTCACTCACTTTATTGACAAATAACGCCACACCACCTCCCTAAAGCGAAAAAGCTAGCAATTGCACTGCTTACACCTTATCAATTAAAGAACAAATTAAGAACAATCCAGCCCCGGATTTTTGAAAAAATTTAGAACTGTAAGCCTGAACCTAAATTTACTGGTTCTTATAAAAAAAAACAAGCGTAATGCAAGACCATACAATGACTGCAAAAATCCGTGTATGTAATTATTCAAAACAAACACTTTACTTTCTTCGATAATACTCCTATGCAATGCTTAGATGGTTTTCAGTATACTGGCACTGTAGGGAAAATTGTCTGAATTACTTCTTAACAGAAAGTACGAAAGATAAAGAAAGGAAAATAAAATTGCCTATATTAACTATGGTACCAGCGCGGCATCGATCGACTATATTGAGGCAATATTTAAGAAAAAGTGAATGGAAGCGGCAACATTGAGTGATGATAAATAACTGAAGAAATAATTATTGATCAGATAAATATTCTGATGACTAAAATCCACTGGTGGGCAAAATCATAATTTAGTTATTCTTTTGTCATTTCATAAGTATGATCTGTAACTTCCTGGCGAAATCTTCATGCTCTTCAATATCCATTCAAAAACGAGCCTTAACGAGCCCGGTAGCCCAATATTTGAAAAATCAAAACATATAATCGTTTAATGTTTAAAAGCTCCAATACACGATATTTAGAACTGCCTAAATGAATTGCCATAACTAGGTGATAAATTGCCTAAATGATTTGCCTTCAACAAGTTTGTAGGTTCCAGTTCACTATTTTTTAATTTGATGAAACATAGCCGTTTCTTAAAAACTACTAAAATCATCTCAAATTGCTACTAGATCAAACTGAGCAAAAGCTTTTAAATTATCATGCCTCCTTTATTCAGACTTTGGATTCTTTGAATATTGCTCAAGATCTTTTCTTTAAATTTTATATAGAACCATAAGCTTTTATTGATTTTCCCCCATTTAAATAAGAAAAAAATAAATTCCTATTTCTGATTGGCCTATTTTGATCCACAACTGGGTAGCTATGTATTTTCCATTGTGTTCTTTCGGACCCTTATTCTGGCGTTTTATGCTCTGAGGAATGTCAAATGAAAAATATTTTAGTAGTATGTTGTGAAATGTTCGCTTTTTAAAAGGCCATTCTCAAGTTCTGTACCGCAAAAAAAATTGTTTACAAAGAAATAAACGGAGTGTTTCTCCACATTCAACCAGGACCACAGAATTACTTATGAAATTGCAAAAAAGGTTCCCCAAGGCAACGAACATTCCATTAATTTTCGTCTTCAAACCGAAACTTTGTGTTAGCAAAAGATAAACAACAAGTTATATTCTCGAGATCCACTCTGAATATAAATATAAATAAAAATCGCGCTGAAAAACCTAAGCTTGCGAAATTTAAGTAAATCAACGCAAAAATCTTTCTTGGAAATCAAAGCAAAGTTTCTATCTAACTTGAAAAATGATTTTCGCCTGAGAATAGAAAATTGAGTTGTTGGTTCTTGTTCTAGCGTCTCGGGCTGCGTTTTATCAAAAAATTACTTAATTTACTGATAACCTTTTTTTTCAATTTTGACTTTAATCTTGAATAATTTTAAGAAGAAACTGTCTTTTGATATGCCTAACAGTTCATATGATTATCAAAATTCAATGAATATGAATAGATTTAGAGGAGAAGTGAGCATATTTCAATCACATTTACATTTCAGCTGTTGATATCCTAGTTCAACTTTTTATCTCAGACTGAAGTAATTTTTAGGAAACCGTATTTGATACGTCTTAGAGTTCATTTGATCTTGGAAGTTTCACTTTTTCCAACTTTTGATATTCCGATAAGTATTGTACAACAACAAAAATTGAAAATAGCTTTGAAAAAAGCAAACATTTCACAACATACTACTGAAAGCTTTTTCGTCTGACACTCCTCAGAGTATACAAAGTCAGAACAAGTGTGCGAAAGAACACGATTAAAAATATAACCAAACAATTGCATTCCAAGGGGCAAGCGCAACTTGATTGTGTATTTAGTATATGAATAAAGACAGTTGCTTAATAAATCAATATCAAACTACTTTCTATAGCAATAGAAACACTTCTTAAGTTTATTTAGTTTAACTCTGATGAAAGATTTACTTGTGTAAGAGCTAAATAAAGACTTGTGTTTTTAGGCTTCTTATTGTTTTTAAATGTATAGCTATATCACAAATGTATAGCTATATTAACTTTAAAAAAAGGCAAAAGAGAACTCGCAAATGAATGATTTGCAGCTATTGGCAAGGACCGAAAAGCAGCACTTTTTCCTGGTTTGAAAAGGAAAAAGACTCGAATGTTGCCAACAAGAAGTTTGGAAAGACGATACAGCTCAATAAATAGCGCAAAAAAACGATGCGAACCAGCGAATAGAATTTACTCCAATTTTTGCAGATCAGCAGACTATCATTTTTTCTTAACGATTCTAATGACCATTGAATGATGTGCTATTTTTCATAATAGCTCGAAGCGAGAATAATTTTTGCTGCTTTTTGTTTATCAAAAAATAGGTTCAAAGATTTAAGTTTATCCTAATGAAAATATAGTTATTCTTTAAGAAAGTATACAAATGAAAATAGGAAACCTTATAATTACTGTTTTTCATGACTGTGTAGGCAGGTAGTTGGGATAATGCATGATGATTTCGGAAAGCGAAATTTCACATGGCACAAGGTCTCAACTTATGCAACAGTTTGTTGTTATAAAACAATGCAAGCCTCCTTGCACAACTTGAAATCATTGTTGGAGAAGAGTTTAAAATATGGCTATTTAAAATATGAAATATGGAGGCTAAATAAACAAATGTAGTAAGAGCCTGTAACGGTTTTTTGGTTGGTTGCCTAAAAACATCCATCGAGCTATGATGTCAATAAAATGAATCAGTGAATCAATATAAGAATCTTTGAAAAGGTGCTCCTCCCATAGATTGAGAATGTAATTAATTTTGTTAAATGAGCAAGCACATTGAAAACAGAATTACATAATGAGTCATTAGCTCGATGTGATTACTAGCAACAGACAACCAATACCCTTTCTCTATAGTGACTTCAAATTTGAGGAATTACCGGTTTAAGGTTCTTATGGATAATGTGAATAACAAATTACAGAAGATCAAAAATGCTTCAAATTAAGTGAAGGCCCCTGAGCAATGTCTAAGTGCGTCATGCGTTGTAGAAGGGTATTAGGGGTTTAGATTGACTCCTGCTGGTCTCCAAGGGGTCCGTGAATCAGCCTTTTTCTATATAAAAAGGTTTCGTATCGATGTCTTTAGGTAGAATTCTGGCAGCATCAGACATTTTGGGATTTGATTTGACGTACCAATACCGTGAAAGAAACAGGTTATTGTAATACCGTGATTACAAACCAGCATTGCTAGTATCATGACATAATTTTCATAAGCGTTGCTAATAAAGGGGCGAAACGAAGATTGGCCATACATTTTATTGCTTACAACGAAGCGGAACGGTTCTGAAATTGTCAACACCTCAATTCAAGTATAATTGTCTCTAAAGAGCTGTACTTAACAGTACTGACTAGCCTTGAGCTAGCAGTCCAGGAAATACTTAACGGTGCGATTTAACTTCTCTGTAATGCTAGCTTTAACCTGATACCAACACGGTTCAGTTGATGCGAATTCAATCAAGCGATAATCTGGTAGCACTAGAACTCTGGCCTATCTTGTTTCTGGTGTAATCTTTCAAGGAGTTGATGAAAGGGCTTTCGAATTCGCAAGAAACAAAATTTGGCAAGGGCATTCTCCAATTCACGTTAAAACTAATCCTGTAATATAGGTTCCCGGTAAAAAGGAGGTTATATTTTCCCAGATATAAAATATTACAAAATAAAGCAAATGCCAAACTATAAAAAATAAAAAAATTTTTGGGAGACTTTTACACACAAATTACTTCAAGCCCTATTCAGCATTTAGTTCAATTTCAGCTATATTTCATAGCTAATAACCAATGGTTGCACAGCCAAAATTTGAGAAAACATAAGCGCAATAAGATGATTAGAAATTGAAGAAAAAATGTTACCTACCCGAAAAAAGATAGCCCTTCTGATCTGTAACAATTTTATCGTCAGTTTCTTGTGTGTGCATATCAGTCGATCTCCTTTCTATTTTTCTCCCTTTACCACGGTACAATTCCATTTCATGCATCATCTCGCTATATCTCTCGCATTTGCGCGGAAATTCGTATTCGTGGCCACCGAAACATTCGTTAAATCTATATGGGACGTCTTTATCGACTGGCATTTCGTGCTCGAAGTTCGAAGCTTTTTCACGTTGTGAATATTGTAAATAGTCAGTTGGTGATGAACTTTGAGCCATATCTTCTGCATGAGAATTGAACTTTCTGCCATTCAAATCAGGCGAATGGTCGTGTTTTTGCAGCGAATCTTTGTTTCGAGCGATTCCCTTTTCGAGGTAATAGACCTTCTCTTTACCCACTCCAGCCTGCAGTCTTTCGATGTCATATCGCTTGGTATTGAATCTATCTCCAAAGATTCGGCCATGGAACTCTTCAACATCGGGTCTTTCCAAACGCGACGAGATATTTGTCACATCTCGCTCATCCTCTGACTTTACGCGCTTTATGGGCCGATGTTTTGTAGCGAAGTTGTCTCTCTCCGGATCTTCGTCCTCAAAGTGTCTTGGTTCTGCCTCTTTATCTTCAACAAAAGATCGGCGGTGATAATCTTGGGTGACAAGAGTCACATTTGGGGGTGGCTCAGCATACATATATTCATGTCTTCTATAGTATCGTGGCCTATCTCGATAGCAATCCTTTCCAGAAGGGTAAATTCTGACAGGAGTGAACGACTTTCTTCCGGCCCTCGAACTCTCTTCGTATCTCAGTCCTCCGTTGTCACACTTAAGTCGTGAATTTTTCTCCTCGTCTTCGAACAGGCTGTAATCGCGCTTTCTCTTTTCCTGACCAAAATTATATTCGTACGACCCGTCTATATACATAACAGTCCCCTCTTCGCTATTATCCCGTAACAAAGGTGGTCGTGTGTTGGTGAAATTGTCTGTACTCACTGAAGGCAGTCTCTGCGCAGTTTGCTTCTTGCACTCGTATTTGGGCTTCGGAGCCTCAGCAGGTGACCTTTGTCGTCTGAAACTTTCAGGCACGTCCCCATAATCTCTGTCCCTTTCCCAAGATCTTGCATACTCTGGCATATGATCACCTTTAGAAATGATCCGTTCATTATCCATTGCGATATCACAGGGACCAACCCTCGGCATTTCAACATCCCGTCTTTGGGGCACTGTAGCCCCGCCATCGTCACCCGAATGTGGCTCGTTTCGATTTGGCTTGATGTTATACGGCTCATCGTGAATGCAGTTCACATACTGTTCACCTGGCTCACGTTTTATTTCGGATGATGACGAGTAGATGTAAACAACTTGTGTATTGTCCTTGTTTTCGAGACTGTAAAATGTAGGCACAGACTTGGTTGGTTTGTCAAACTTGCCTCCTTCTTCCATCCTTAAAGCCGATCTTTCGCTGACGAGCTTTGCATTCGCTTTGTTGATAAAAACAAGTAACTGTTATATAGTGACGGAGCTTTGCGAATTAAGTCGACGTCTGGTGCATGTTGTCAAGCCAAAGGAAGCAACGAGTGTTAGGATGAAGCTCAAATACAAGACGATGTGAAACCTCTAATCTCTAATTGGATTTAGCTTTTGACAGGTATCCTGTAGGCTGGTTAGCATACATAATCTCTTAATACGTAAAGATGGTAGCTTTGCTTTAAAGGCTGTTGTGAGGTCTGCGGGCTTTTTCGATTGTAAGCGAAAACAGATCTCCTTAATAGCATACAAAGTCACTTCCTTATCATTCGTAAATCCCGCTTTAAACATGGCTGGTTAAAACATGATTCCAGATTAGTTTGCAGATCGCTGGTAAATATTACGTTGAGAACTCGGCTCTTAACGAGGTGAAACTCAGCGGAAAACAATAGTGGCTTTCACATTACACGTGGAGATTAAGGTTATTATCGGTTTATGAGCTATGTTTTGGAGAACAAATGCAGGACAAGGCCTTGCAAATTCAGGTGTAAATGGCGTTAGAAACTGAGAGGCCAACGGAGACGGGATATTGATTAGAAAAAAGCGCATGTCATCAAGCTTCGAATGATCGTGTTAAGTTTTCCACCAAGTCAAATTCTTTACCCAAAAAAGCGATGCGGCAGATTACTTCAAGTTGATTTCAATAGAATTTTAATTGCGACTGAGCATAATGCGACTTGCTTAACGTGGTTTTAGGATGATTTACAACGGAAAGGACAAAAAGACGTCTGGCTCTCAACGTTATGTGAACCAAGCCCTTGAATGCTCACAACCTGAATCAAGCGCGTCGCGAAGTGTATACTACGTATTGAATGTTATGAAGTCATCCTGCTAAGAACGCTCAAAAATTAGGTTGTTACAAGAGTTATTAATAATCTGCAACCCCCTTCGCTCTATCAGTTAAGAAAAAATTTGAATAGCTCAGTTAATCCTTACTGAAACAGCTTAACAAATACCTAACAAATACCAAAATTTAACTATCATGCATTTAAAAAATATGTAAGATTCGAGATATTGTAATATTTTCCGGATGGGATATCACGTGAAATTATGACTAAAAATCAAATGATATTCAGGAAGCAAGCAGGATTAGCAACTAAAAAATTCAATTATTTGTTTTATTTTCAAGATTGCTTTTTGATGTTCCGTGGTCAGATCTGCCACAAAAGCTTAGGAAAAGAAAAGTAGCTTACAAACAATTTTGCGACAACGAAAAAAACAGCGGTATAGTAAAGATATGACTCATGTTGTCTTAAAAATCTTAGGATACTTTTACGCACCGGCAAAGTTGCCAAGGAGTAAGAGGTGATTATTCCTGGTAGAAAATGAATGGTCTTAAAGAAAGACATTGATAACAACCTCCATCCTTATCCAATGACGTTGCTGTTAAACAAAGAGCGTTTTGAAAGGTGCTCCTAATGATCATGATACTCCCTAAGGCATAAATTTCGATATTCTGTGGCTGATAATCTGCAGGGATTTTGAACACCAAAAGGGGCGCAACGCAAGAAACAAGCTTTTGGGTGAAAATTTACGTCAATGAAATTTAATTCTCGCGATAAATAAGATATTACAGCCCTCAAATCTAGACCTTAAAACTTTATTGTCCCATATATTTGTATATATCTATTTGAGACAAACTCTTAACTGGGATCAAACAATAAGAATGATTGACAGAGGACTTTGTACGCGTCATGAATGGATATTCATGTTTGCCTTGAGCCTATTTTGTGCCAAATATTAATTGCCGAAGATCTATTTTATCCTGTCTGCACTTATGCTTTCCTGTAAAAATTAGGCAATTGGTAGCTTTGTATTACTTATAGAATACAGTATAGAATGCTTACAACACCATTGTTGTGCAAACCACTGCTTTGGTATCGTATATATGACAAGGAAGAAGAAGTAGATCTATAATTCATTCCAAATCTAATAAAACATGGCATAATCTACAAGGTTGTATGTTCACCAAAATATGTTGCGCAACGAACCTTATCTTGTCATTTGAATCAATGCAACGCACGAGCCGAAGTAGCTCAACCCAATCAATGAACTGTACTTATGCAAGCAATGCACACACATAAGTAGTTACGTATGGCATTCTGTGGTATGCCTTGTAAAACTCGTTATTTGAAGCTATATCTGTAAGGAAGATATTTTCTTTAAAATCAACCTTGGTTAAGATTTTACTTGTACCAGCTAAGTCTCTTTTCTTGCAAAGAAAAAAATTCAGTGTAGCCTGATCAAGCTTGCCATTTTCTTCAACAACAGTGCATACTTTACAGTTTAACTGGAATTTCACATTAAGACAGGACTCTAGGGTTATGTGGATTAAATCATTTTTTAATGGTTTCGAGATACGAAAACCTAAATTACAAGTAATGATAGAGAGAGAAGGGGCAACCCAGTTCACAGATTGTGTTTATAATAGGTTTTGTCAAGTAATAAATTTTCGTCTCAATGCTCCACCTGAATTTATGAGCTCGATTGTGCTCTATATTTGCAGCAAATTTTTTTAGACTTTGCTAAATTGATAACAACGTAGACAGATAATTTAGTGGGGAAGATTGCTCATAAACAATTCAAGGGTAGCCACAGTATATAAACTTAACTATGTTACTATTGAAAATATGGTTTACTGGTCTGTCATTATGTTCTCAATGCCGTATAGGCAGAGCCGTTCATGCTATCGGTGTACAAAACAGGACGGTTCTAAGTTGATGCTCCGAGGCTCAGGATCAATGCGATCAATAGGCAACTTTGTTACTATGCATCTATAAATGCAACTTATATTTACTATTTGTAGACTGATTTACTGTGATTCAAAAGTTTGATTTCAGATATTTTTGTCTCACAACAATTTTAGTATTCCTTGAAAAATATTTTTTCTGAAAAACATCAGCTTTCTTTTAATACATGAAAATGCAAACACATTTATTCTCCAACTTATTTATTCTCCAAAAAATAAAGTAGAGGGGAGCTCCAATTTTCATGTTTGGCTCAAAAATCGTAAAGCTCAAACATTTTAACAAGTTGTGATTATAAATCTCTGACGTATTTTTTAACAAACAAGTAAAGGATGAATAAGTAAAATGGTTGGTAACTAACAGTAACAGACTTACAAAAAACTGCAGACTTCCAAATGACAAAATCCTTCCTTGAGCAGCAATGTAATCGAACTGTCACGTTTCTACTGTATTAGTACCCTTGTTAATGGAAACATCTCTTTCTGCCTTTTATGCGAACAGGTTATACTAGAACATGAAAACCATAAACGAGCCATTAGAATTCTGATCTAAGTAAGGAAGAAACTTAAATAAATTGATACCGTAAGCTACTGGGTAATTAAAAAATAGATAGAATCTTATCTTGTATGTTAATCCTGGAATTACATCTAATTCTGAATCTTGAATAGAAATTAGACAAGTGAAATGATTATTATTGCTTTCTTGATATCTGGTACCAATAATGAATAAAACAGGCAAATAGTACAAAGAAAGTTTGGTAAAGTTGGCAAACATTTTTTAAATTGCTGGCTTTAGAAAAAAGTTGTACTGCAATCTCACTTTTAAGAATAAAAAAGCTCTTTTTAAAAAAGAACTCAACTTTCGAAATTTCATTTAAAAGAACATCTCTCCTGCAAGCTTATAAACTATTCACTAAACTTCAGCAGTCGGTTCCCTTAGGATAATGTAAGTTCTAGCGAATTTACAAAAAAGTAAAGTGGAATTTATATCTTATGTAACTACCTGCAAAAACTGGTAATTAGAGTTTTTTTAAAAATGAAGCTCATTGCTGAAAAATATGGTAAAATAATTAATGCATGCTTTTCTTGAAAAAGAAACAAAATTATTCCTTTTAAGATTCAGTTAAGATATATTTTAAAAATTACCTTAATCTTAAATTGATCTCTCGCTGTCGACATACATGCTTGTATATTGGAGTGTAAATGTATTTCTTGTTTCCTTCATTTCAACCTTTAAACGGAAGGTGCGAGTGTTAATCTCAATACTCGTAGCTCTAAGATGCACAAAGTTTCCTGGACACCTTATCTAGCAGGAAACTCGATGTTAAAACATCATTCAGCAAGAAAACAAATTCGTTGCCGTTTGAATAATCATGTCTTAGGAAATATCATAAACCTTGTACTCTAGCTAAACGCCTTAAAATGTAAAATCATTTCTACAAATGGTCCTAGAGCAAAGCACATTTGCACTCAAATATCAACCTTGACTGTTGCCTGGTGATCGCCTTAAACGCGAAACTCAGAGGAGCATCTAAAAATCACCTTGTTCTATTCACAAACAGCGTCAACTTCAATTGAAGCAGCTTTTGGCTCTTACTCTGCAGTTTATGTCGTTGTATGTAATTCGAAATCTGACCGGCAATCAGCATTTGTCGTCAATTAAATTTTTAAGGGGAAAACACTCAATTAAAATGTAAAAACATCATTCTAGCAAGGGACCATGAATGGCAGCAATATCATTTTATGAAACTTAGTTTCAAAACAAAATAACAGCACACTTCTTTTAAATTTCCAACAAAATATATTTATTAATCCTGCAATGCCTCTAAAAAGCAAAAAAGTAGTTAAACGACAAATATGCATGATATTTTCCGAACAATCTGTCAGGCAGTGCAGTTTCAGAAAACCATGAAGAAGCTGTTAAACCAAATTGAAATCTTTGGACTTGAAACTGAAAACTACAATGAATTTCAAGACAGCAAAGAATCACCATATCGTACAAAACACCGTGAAGAAGTCAGCAAGATAAAAGAATAGAACTAATTGAATAATATTATCTTGAATAATGTCAATTTATCTTGATATTAGCATATACTTCTTATAAAACACACAAAATGTCATGGTTCCCTAAGTAGTCATAGTTCATAGCTCTATTTTTCAAGGCAAACCATTCCAGAACTAGCAGATGCCCTTGGCCAAAAATGTCAACCACTAAATCTGTAATCAATTGATAAAATGATGCACGACCAAAATTCGAACGAAGCTCCTTGTTTTTTCTTCATAGCGAAGTCAAGGTGAAGATGCTAGTGAGGAATACAGAATAAATCTTCTAAAAATTAGTTGTCTTCGAACAAATCTTGACCTGAAAACTGAGACAGACCGGAATGGAAGTGTCATTAGCACACCCTTTGGGGAGTATTAAATTAAATCTCCCACTTCTATTCGAATGGACTACGGTCTTTTCATTTGAAAGGAAGGCAGATCACTTGAAGTAACAACGCGTTGGTAGACAAATTAGATCAAACATGTAATATTTTAAAGGCTTTAAGAGACTAAAATCTAAAATTTTGCTTTGAAGGCGTTGTCGTTAAATCTTCAGGTGTTCACAACAGACACTTGAACATCCGATCTGACCGTATTTCACTGAAAAACTAGAGGATAATCATACTAAAGTATTCAAATTCTGCATCGTAATTGAATGTTCAGTTCGTCTTTCTAACTTACAGCTACAAATTTGAAATTTCTTAATCATTCCCAATTTTTTGGAGTCAAGAAAGAATACAGAATCAAATATTCAGAATTTTCCAGTTTCTCGTCGTTATAATCACGTTCTATCCCACGCAGTGTGTTCATAAGTTTTTTCTGGTGCCTCTACATTTTTTAGAAGAACGCACAACACCATGCAGAATATTTTTGCATACGCAACTTAACGTTTTGCTAATAAACAAATTTCTCCGTAAATTGAATACTAGTGCTAGAATTGTTAAATGTTTAGCTTTCTTACTACCTTTATTGTTTCTTAGAAATTCCGGAAGGCTTTGAGCTGAGCTCAACCCTTAGTTCGTCAGGTAAGCATTTATTCAAATATATGATGAACATTCGTTGCAAATGAACAAAAAATAAACATTCGCATAAAATGATAAAAAATTCCATCAAAAAACCTATAATAGCTTAAACCTGAATTAATCTTCAACGGATGCCCAAAGAAGAAATGCATAGGTGGACAAAAATCAAATGTTGCACAAATAATTTTCCTCAAAGGACTTTCTCAACTGCAAGTGCTTGTGTGCCTAGATTTGTTCTATCTAAGTGATTTGTTCTTTCCATTAAACTTACGTAATGTATCTGCATGTACCAATTTGAATTTCTTATAGCCACTGCACTGCCATAGATAGATAGACATCAAAAGTACGCTTGGACTAAGGCAGATTTCGGGGGTATTTCTCACACAAAGACATTTGCGACCGTAATGTTGTAGAAGAAAGTTTTTAATGGCTCTAAAAGTCAATAGAAACAGAGGGGGGCTGTGAAGAGCAAACAATTGACTGCACAAGTAGCTGTCTCTCAGCTGCTAAAAAAGGTAAGGTCAAGAATAGAAGCTGAATGCATTGTTTGTGTTCCTTTCACCCCTCATTTGTAGCAATAAATGTTCGAAAGCAGGTTTTTATTATAATATATGCCTATTTCGTGACAAAGGGCCAAAGTTAAATTGAAGCGTAAGGGGTGGTAAAACTTTATAACAAATGAAAAATAAATCATTTTATTTCGGCACAATTTCTAGATCGTTTTAAAGTAAACTAAATAAACTACAGCTCAAATAAAAAGCTTAGCGAGATCTGAAGACAAAAGACATTTGTTAAAAATCTGTTGTAAATTAAGCATCTTGAAAATGCCACTAAGAATATTGATGTTAGAACGAAAGACATTAAACCCATACTGTATAACTTTTTGTCAAACCAAAGCAGTTATTAACAAAATTCATTCATCTGCTTATTGGTTAAAATGTTTTGACCAAAATCCAAACCAGAAAGACTAACAGATAATCGAATATTCCACAGTACCAAAATCTCTTAATATTTGTTCAAATCTGATTAAAGTGACTCGGGAATGGAGAATTATGCTTCCTCCACAGTTCACGCAAGCAGATTATATGAAGTATAAATGCACAAATCTTCATCCATCCTCAGTATAATCGAGAGAGCTGAGACAAAAATGCATTCATAATTTATGCAACTACCATATTGAGCCTTCTTTAGATAATCCGAGACGATTGTTCTTGAAATGATTCTATTTAATAATTACTAATTCTTTTCAATTACCAAATCTTAAAAGAAGCAAATAAGAAATTCAAAGGGCACGCCTCTAGATCCTTAGATGCAGTCAATTACCATAGGCAGGTGAGATGCTCTTCCGTTATTGCCCTTGATACTGGTCGTGTTCTCCCAAACCTGTACGCAATTGGTTTTGATGTACAATAGTAAAAATGACAATAAATGGTCATTCATTGGCAACGCTCATTATTTTTATTACCTTTCACAGCTAAGAAGCCTAAATATTAGATTTATTAGGTAAAATGGAGCGCCCGATAAATTTCGTTGTGTTTTTATATTTCAATCTTTTTCCCGGTGACTTATCTTTCCGCACCCCTTTCATCCAAAGAAATGTTGAGAGTTTAGACAAATGTCATACAAGTCAAATGTACTTTCTGATCTTCTGCATCGTTTCGTAGTAAACCAACCTTGTTCAAAAGGGGCATGGAATGGTTGAATTAGACCTTGAAAACTGATTATAGTCTTCCGAGACTTTTGGCAGGCACTGTATGAATCAAATTTGATGCCTTTTCTATGCTTAAGACTTCTACAAAACATACCCCACCTGAGCAATACAGTTACCGATTCCCTGGTTTTACAATGATTAACAACATCGCAGACTTAGATCATGGCTGCATGAAAAGATACAGAATGCAGAATCCGATCAAACTACTTACAAAAAATTAATAGTGATGCTCCTTTCTTCCCAGCATAGGTCATTATCGTTCAACGCACTTTTTTCTCGGACAGCAGCATTGAATTTTCTATAAAAGTATGAGAGAGTTCAAAAGTGTTTACATTAAATCCACATTTTCCAACCAAACTTCTTTTTCATAATGTTTGTGTTCCGATTTTATTCAAACAAAACAAAGTGACTAATAACGCGAGTAACTAATAAAATCAAAAGTAAGTTATAGTCCAAAAGCGCTTTCTAGAACTTTGATGCTATAAAAAGTGACAGCTCAAGAATAAATGATTAGCATTTGTTCGCGATATGTTAATCTAACATTTTCAACGTGCAATTTAAATAACACTGCGAAAATGAACCCAGTGGATGATGATGTACGAATCAACTACTGTCAGTTAAATTTGCTTTGACATTGTATTATATAATTTTATAAGAGAAAATATTGTATTATATAATACTCCTAAACGATACACATTAACCCTCATGCTTACTTCACAGGTCTTGATTAAAGTGACGTTGGCGCTACAGTCTTAAATAGACAAATGCAGACAGTTATGCTAGTTCAAAAGGCTAGGTAAAAGAGCTATATCATTAAAAATTCTCAAGTGAATATTTCCCCTTCATGCCATATCCAAAGAAGCCTCCATTCTTTAAGCAAAGGTTGCAACCTTGATTAGACCAAAATTGCCACTTGACTAAATTTTTGATAATACTTGTTTACTTCAATGCCTGAAAACTCGCACCAAACTACTGTAGCTCTGCCTTTATTTGATGTAAAACCAAAGGTTGCAACCACTTTATCAGTTGTTATCCATTTTTCGATTGAAGAGTTAAGGCAAAAATATACCTTTTACAGCATAGGTGCTTTATATCATTCTCATTGAGAATTTAACGGTATGGTTTCTTGGGTTAGACGTGTTCGACAGAAAACAGTCACATGTTCCAATTATGCAGTATGAACATGACATCAGATGCTCTAAATTTTTAATTAAATACTGATGAAAAAAGTCGCAATCTCTAAGAAGAATGACAAATATTTTGCAGCAGGTCTCTCAACTCAGTTGCTCTCCAAAGGAATCATAACTTCAAAGAAATAAGATTAGGCTTATTTAAAGTTAATGATCCGACTTGTTTCGGCTGCTGATTCAACATGAAAAGCCGGCCATCTATAATCTTAATTCGGAAACCTATCAAGTTTAATGGAAAAGGAAATATATTCAAGCCTAAGAAAGTTGTTTAATTTGGCCTAACTGAGAACAGACAAATCGAAATCCTAATCCACGCAAGTGTATCGCAAGACCAGCTGATTTTAATTCGGTTCTTTAGCAATCTGTTTAAAGTATAGCATATAATCTTATCACATGCAATGGTAGACCGCTGTTGTGATCACCGGATCTGCAGAAAATCGTGATTCCTATTTATTATGATGCAGGCCTGCCGAGGGATTTTCTGGGGCCTGGGGCAAAAACTAAAGTTGAGGGACCGTGATGACGTCATTAACTGCGATTGTTTTTTTCAATTGTTTTTGTTAGGAATTATTTCCTAACTTGTTGGGCCCCTCAAAGCCCGGGATCGAATTTTCACGTGTCTTAGCTAGATATAACATCGGTAATCGTGCTCTTTTACAACCGTGTTTCGATTAAGTTCAGTTCAGTTCATGTTTTTCTAATAGTAGGATAATAGGAACTTGCAATGGTCTCTCTATTCTTTTATAGCCTTATGAGTTGGAGAGAAATCATAGATACTTAAGAAAAATATATACAAAATATATCTATATCTAACACAATAACCTTAATCAAGAAGCAAACATTTTAAGCTAAAAAGCATTGCTAGCAACCAATAATTCATCTTCTGAAAAAGCAGCAATCGCGACCTTGTAATAGATATTTGAAGGCACATGGATTTCGAATATGGGTCAGCACAATGCTGGGACAGGCACCTGTCAGTAGTGTTATTGCATTCATTTAAAGAGCCTTAGTAATCACGGATGAGATGCATGTTAACTTAGCATTTGACATGGATATCCGTCTGAGTGCACTGCCTTAGCTACCATTAAGATTATCAAGTAACAGACAAAGTTTCTCACGGTATCTCAAGTAAAAAGCCTTCATTATAGGCTCGTTACTATCCGAAATTCTCACAACACGAAGGGAATCTGTTTACCAAACTGCAGCATAACATTCTACAAAACACTCAGATTTCCGTTCGTTTCATTTAAGATATCCGAAGACTTAGTTCTAAACAGCTTATCGCTTTAAGTACTTTTCAACTTATCCCGTCTACTTATGGTTTTCTCCATCTTAGAAGTTTCATTTCATTGAATGTATCTGATTAACAGCTAGATCTTTATGCTCAGACGCTAATTACAAAAGGCAATCATGGCCAAGACAGGATTCAGTATAAAAATAATTCAAGATTCATTTGTGAAGAAAGAAGGAACCCCGATGACCAAAAAATTGCAAAATTTGAGCTTAAGATTTGAAATAAATACTAAACCAATTAAGAATTACATTTGAAATGGTTGTTACTTTAGCAATGCAAAGGCGGTGTTTATTTTAGTAAACAAGAATTTTCTGTTAAGATGTCATAGAAACCTGCAAACACAAACTCCGAAATTGTTAAAAATGTAATATTCTTGTCAGGAATCAACCATTATTGATCGGAATGTGAAGACATTGCGAGTGGAACAGTATATGTTCAGATTCACAACAAGGTCGTCATATAGAGTGTAACTAGAGAGCAGAGACTAACCTCTGTGTTGTCCTATTTGATGAATCAAGATACTCCTCAAATCTCAAAGTGATCTTCTTTTGATATGCAACGATTATTGGTAGCTACTGGCCATCTTCTTAACTTCTTGCAAACCTTTAATTTGAAGAGGTAAAGATAGGGTAATTATCAAGTTTGAGCATTAGAATTGTCGTTCTGTGATACCAAAGAAATAATTAAATATTGAAATAAACAATATTATTGTGAAAAGTAATAACTGAAAAATGTAACAGGGATAGATGATTTCGCGGACAACTGTAACAGGGACTTGATGAGATGTCTATTCTGAGCATACTTAACATGAAAGAGCAACAACTACAACATCGCTATGTTTATTTTAGTAAAGATTGTGTGAGGCATTAATAACGAAAGGGCTTTGCCTTCAAACTACTTGGTATTGCTGTTATACAATAGCATAAAGAGGTCAATGGGTAGCCTTGCCTATCATGCTCCCAAATCCCAATAGCATCATCATTATAACTTGTTCTTGTCAAATTTACTTTTTAAACATCGTACAAAAGAAAAAAATGGCTATCTTACTTAAAAAAATTATTTGAAGTATTTCAGCACAATTTGCATTAGCACACCTTCAATTTGAAACAAACACATGCTTATCTTATACTACAAAAGACAATGAGCGCTGTACGTCCCTTTCAGAGGAAAAATCAACCAATGGTGCCATCTCACTGTACCTCTAAATGGACGATATTTTCATATACAAATGATTGGCAACTCTCTTTATAAGTCTGCATAGTGCTCTTATTGGAGAAGGTTCACTGCTATCTAAACATACTGATCTAGAACTAAAGGTCAGCCTTTTTCAAGCATGAGGCTTCACTGACTGACACTAAGCTTTCAAAGGCTAATTAAGTACAAGATTATACAGTCCAAATTTTAAAAATAGATTTTTATGCAGTTGTCACCTAACCATTCTTCTAGCAAGCCAACCTAGACAAGGGGATAGTGGTCTTTTGTGCGTAGCAATAAATCCTCCCTCAGGGGGTGAATGATATCATCAAAATTCCTAGCTGTATAGTTGTTGCATAATTGGCCTGCAGGAAGCAGAGAAGAGCCAGTTTCCTTGAATTCAAGAATTGTTCGAGGTATATTCAGAATATCTGCGGACGGAAGTGTATAAATAGCAAGTGGGATGACTCTCGTCAATTTATAATCCTTTCAGTAAAACTGTGTCGATTGTGATTTTGTCAGATCCTAAGAGCGCTACAAACTGGGCAGTTAGTTAAAGAAGATCAGTACAATAAAACTTTTTTCTTTAAATTTTCTGGATTCCATGGTTGAGAATGATCTTCCATGGTAGGAAATTCATACAGTTTTCACCAACAAAGGATTAAAATTACAATTCAAAATTTCAGCTCTTATCATAATCTTATTCAGAGCTTATCATTTATTGATTTGTTACATTGACTAAGATTAAACCTTGGGTGCCAGAGCGAAATGCTAATTTTGCATTCAATTCATTTCGAAAATTTGCTTTTACAACATATTGGATTCTTGTCGTCGTTTTGCTTTGTTTCTGCCTAGTACCTTAAATCTGAACTCATAACAAAATTCACAGAATCCGACGGACAGCCCATCCTGCGTATCTCCATATTAACGATATATGCGCTGATAAAATTTACAATGCAATGCATTGAACAGTGACGAAATACGTATTTTGATTTCTATTTTTACAAAATTCTGCTGGAAAACTAGTGAAATGGTCTTCAGCTCAAATTATGGAAAAATAACCCCATTTGAGCTATAGTGAAAGGCAAGCATTCTTTTTCAAAAATTATTTAATTGTTTTATATACTTTGGCAGCATTAGATTTTCTTAATTGTATAGTAGGTATCAAGACAAACATTTATTGGGCTTGAATATAATCAAAACATGAATCTTGCAATTTATGCTCCCATGTATCTTGAACCAATTTATGCTCCATGCTAAAACTTTGAGCGCAAAAACTTTTCTTTAACTTTACCAATCGCGTTCGTAATTAAGATAAGACAAAAATAACAGAAATAGTACCTGCAGCAGCGACGACGAAAGAGCAGTTACATAAAAACCAAAGCAACAACAGTCTATAGAGAGAGCAAATATCTCAAGAAAATAATGATTTTCACGATTTCAAAACTAAGTTAGCGGGCTTAGCCGTGCCAAATTTGGTCTACTCCGTCACTTGGCCTAATTTTGACGCCCATTTGTAGAATGTAACAGGTTGATGCGGATATTGTTTCATGAGAGATTTCTTCTCATTTACATTTAGATTAGGAACTCTTCCTCTCATTTACAACGTAAACAGGATTTTCAAGACATGGCAAATACTAGTCTCATCAAAATGTCATAGTCAGCCAAACCTATTTAAGTACATGTGATTTCATCATACCCGAAGTTCAGAGTGAAAAAATTGAGTTGATTTCTGGTCCGACCTGTTGAAGGCAAGAAAATTTTGCCAAAGGAGAAGAAAGTGAAAAAACAGTGGTCAATCAAAGCCCTATGCTACGCAGAAAAGATGTTTATTTTCCGAAGATGGTTTAAAAAACACGGTTTTGTTTGTAAGGAGACTGTCATTTAAAAAGAACAATATATTACTAGTGTGCATGCATGCGCAAAATTAGAAGTATCTTTGCCAAATCTTCTTTCTTGCCTTGTGCTTTGTGATTGATGATGTCTGTTTCTACCCCATTCCCAATTACTTTTTCGATTCGCCATTCCAGCAATATATGTGCGAGAAAAAACCTAACCAGTTGTGTTACATTCTCTTTTATGTAGACGACTCCATTTTAGTCATATGACGCATGGTAAATTGGATGTTTAGACAAGTCATATTTTCTGTACTTATACTTTTTATAATGCAGTGGGAGGCAGCCTTCTAAGCATGCCCCCAGGATGTGCATTTCTAGCAGGTGATCAGAGTTAATATCATCCTTGGTCCCCCGACAAATGAAACAACCTGAAACTCTTTCTATGCTCACTCTTTCTAGATCTTTTTATCAAACAGTATCAAAACTTGTCCTCCCTTCCCAGAGCTTGTAAACTTTGAGTCTATTTCATGTTCACATAAATGCTGCACCCACAAACTGCACCCACAAACTGCAAACTTGGCACCCACAAACTACAAAAAAGTAGAAAAGCCTCACACAACATCAGTCACAAGCTCCATGTTTTATGAATGCTATTAACAAAAAGTGTAAGCTTAAAAAGGGCTGTAACACAAAAAGTCTGTAGCGGGCATTAACGATGTTTGAATACAAAGTGATTCCTTTCAATTTGGACTGGTTTTAGATTAAATCAGCAAATCATATAATCTTTTCAGTATACTTATTTAATCTAAAAATTTGGCAAATATTGTAAATTACAGGATTACTGACTCTGATACTAAGCTTAATGATTAAAATCAATATTGACCTATAAACCTTAAGCAAAACAAAATATATTTAATTGTTGTGTCTCTAAAGCTCTTTTGGTAAGCAAACTGTCTATTCTTTCCTAAGCAAACTATAAAAGACAGTCCACCTATGCAAAGATGTGTAAAACCTACAAAAGGTTATTTTGTAAAAGAGCAGCACAACAGATAACATAAAGCAATGTTTGTCAGCATGATAGTAAAATTTGTGAATAGATATTGTCAACAAAACATATCGGTCATTACAGCCAGTTTTAGCTAGTAATGTTGTTCTGATACTTTGCAAATGAAGCCAGGACATCAACAAAATTTGGTGTCTTGAATCATTAGTACCTTGTTCCAGTCAATATTTTCAACTAATTACCAAATTGCTCAAATAATCAAAGCAATCAACTTTTGTAATTTTTTTGAAAAACTTTGTAATCACATCAGCAACAAACAAGTTTTGTTTAAAAAAGCTTTTGATCAAAAACTTGAAGAAGAGCTTCAAAAGTGTTGTAGCTATTTTTGCTAACAAACTTCATTAAGCGGTATCTGCAGACTATCATTAATGTGTGCAGTGTTTTGTCTGGAAAATCACCAGCATCTCTCAAAATTAGCTTTTAATTACTGGATAACTTATCTTTTAAGTTATTTTAAAACAACATTCAAAGTATACTATCATAACAACTATATATATATATGAAAAGGGTACAGTTGGGTAAAACCGTGAAAATGATGAGTTTTTACCCATTTATTGATAGTTAGGATCTGTAATTCATATTAAAAAGCCTTTTGGTTAAGCCATTGACACAGTAACTGCTAAAGGCTTTAATTGCAATGTTCAAAACTGTATAACATCACAAGGGAAGGGACTTTTGTTAGACTTTAATTATAATTTGTTGGCAAAAATACCCAAGACAAGAGGAATAATATCAATAATATGTTTTATGTTTTAAGTCTGATGAGTAAGTCTGAATAATATGTTTTATTGAATAGGATTAACCGAATAACCTTGGGTAGAGCAAAATTTGAAAATAGCATGGGAAGGGAAAACATATCCTACAAAAGTATATTTTCATCTGACACTCATCAGAGTAGAAATGTCTGATAATGTCCAAAGATGAGCAGAAAATTTATATCCACTTTTCCACAGCAACAGAAAGAAAAGAATACAGGATATAACAGCTTTCAAAGCAATACTCAGATCCAAGTGAAAAATCAACAAATTATATACAAAGCAGCAAAACTGGATAATCAAAGAATGGGTAAGGGAGTCACTGGAAAGCGTTAGCTGAAATTTTCAGTAAATTATCACATATGATTACAAAGGACTGAGTTACAATCTGAAAATATTGATTAAGCGATTAACTTTTGAATATTTGTGCACGCAGCTCACAGCACTGAATTTTGTAATATATTTATATACCTCAAATATTACACTATTACACGGATTATGCCTGATTGTCATTATCATATCATTACATTATTCAACAACAAAACATACACTCTTTTTAAGTAGAACCATTTTGTAAGGACAAGAGCCTTAAAATTGGTCAAAAAGTAAGAACAAATTAAAATAAACTAAGGCTGAAGGAATGTAAAACATGATTTTGAGCAGTGATTGCATATGGAGTTCAGGTTTTGGCAGGACCTGTCAACAATACCTTAACTATATACCCTTTGGATGTTTTTCTGAAGAAAAATATTGTTTCCTGTCTAATTTTATTTTACTTATATCCGCACCATTAATGAACAAATTAAAAACAATCAAGTGTCAAATTAAGACTTTTGAAGAAATTAAGAGCAGGCATCCTGACCTTAGTTTCCTGGTTCTTTTATAAAAAGAGTGTAATCAAATAAAGAAAGTTCTGACACAGTTCACAAAGATGTTTGGAGCATCTACCACTCATAGGTCCATACATATGCAGTCATTGTAGTAACCTGAGGTGACCACTCAGGGGTACTTTGGAACTGTTTACAGTCCCCATCTGCATCTTTCATCTGGCAATTTTTGTTTGAGAGCTTGAAACATGCATTGTCACGGGCTTCTCCACAACGCCATATCAGCTTAAATGTCTTTGAAAACATCACTGGATCATCCTCAAAGAACTTGTAAGCACTCATTGTTCCTGGTTTCATAAAGTATGTGAGTCCAGACTGATCAGTATGAAAGATGCCAGCACTGTAATAGTATGCTGACAAGAAGAAGTCCTCTGTTCCTGAAGATAAGTACTGGACATCATCATCGTCGATCATTGCTCTGAAGCAGGCCTCTAGGTATTGAAAGTTGCTGCTTGCAGTTGCCAAAGTTACCTGATACAAAAGACCTGATTTATTTGAACTGGAAGCAAGCACAGCATATTCAATTGGCTGTATGGCATAATTTTCTATTTTATGCAGTCTCAGCATAGCATTTTGAGGAAGTACCAAATCTCCAACAACAATAGGGTAGTTCTGAGCCCCCCGAATAATGTACCAATAATAGCCTGTCTCTGGAGTCTCAAACGTTACCCTAATGGACTTTTTAAACGGCATTCTTATCGTGTTATAAACGCCTCCGCCAATGGCAGTATGACCGATTCTACGAGTACCCCATGGAATTCCCATGTCTTCGCCAATCACGGGATTGTCAGGGTTTCCAACCATTTCTGAGACTGTCGCGTTCGTTTTCTCTTCCGTTCTAGTAACAAACCCAATTCCATGACCCATGTAAAGATTCATCTCGATATACGGTGACGAGTTGTCGTCAATGTAGTACCTTATGATGGTATTGGGGCCTAGGCATTTATTACCAGTAAACCATTGCTCTGTTATGACACCGGGGCCTTGCTGACGGCTGAACAACTCGGTCTCAAGGTTCGCATTACAGTAGGCCCCCTTGATTGCGTGCGAGAAGGTCTTCGTGTCAGATCCCCATTCTACTTTGCAGCTGACGTAAAAGACAGCCTGAAAAATTATTGCTAGTGCTAGCTTAAACATTTCTGCCAGCAGTTACAACCTTGTGTTCTGCAAACTCTCCACCGTTTCACTCAAGTTTCACTTCCTTGCGAGTCGTGCTTGTAAGCAGTACGGCACGAAATAATTTAGGATTGTTTATGCATCACGGCGAAATTGCGCTCCTCCGCAATGAATTGTTTTATCTCCATGGCAAATCGTCAGGGCTTCGGAGGTTGTAATGTAATGTGTAATGTATTCATTGCAAAGATCCTAAGTATAATACAGATTTTTCACTGGCAGTAAAATAAATAAATAATTAATAAAACAAAAACCTATAAGTAAATATCACTAAATGTAAGTATGGTCCTTTATTATATCAAATAAAGTTAGGCTAGAAAATATGTACAAGCATAGAGATAAAAAAATTACATTATATGTGTATGTATATGACTATTGTGATAACCGCGTGTGTAAAACTACAGTGATTTTAAGTTTTGTTTAAATTGAAAAAATGCTTTTGATTGCTTCAATCTTGATGGTAATTTGTTGAAGTCAGCATTGGCTTGATACAAGAATGTTATATGATGGCTCGCCGTTGTCGACATAGGTACGTGTAAGTGGCGTTGTTGTCTTTCATTGTACTCATGAATTTGTGAATTTATATGGAACATTTCAGAGAGATATTGGGGGGGGGGGGCTTGGTTGTTTAGACATTTATACAGTAAACAGAGCATTTATGCAATTCGTTGTTCCTCAAGCCTCTTCCACTGAAGTATGTTTAAAGCTGGTGTCACATGATCAAACTTACACATCCCAGTAACTACCTTTGCCGCAAACTTCTGAATTGACTAAGCTTTGTGTAGTGCTGTATTTGACGCATTGCCATAGACAATATCGCCATATTGTACGCACGAGAGTACACATGCTTGCATAACCTTTGAAAAAGTTCCTCTTTTCATACAGTTTCTGATCTGTTTCATTTGTATTAGCTTTCCTGCACAATATTTCTTTAGCTGAGAGATGTGGCTGTTCCATGAAAGAATGTTTTATCAATCTGCATGCCAAGTATTTTAACCTCCTTTGCAGCTTCAACTATATTGTCCTGAATATCAATTTTTGAATATGGTGGTGGAATTTTCACAAGTTGCTTATTTGTGCCAAATATGATAAACTGAAACTTGTCCTGGTTTGCCTTTAACTTATTTGCAGACAACCACTCAAGTATCAAGTAAATATCATCCTTCAACATTGAGAGCGTTTCTTCAACCTTTTCAGCTTTGCAAGAAGAGTATAGCTGTAAGTCATCAGCATACCCATGTATATTTGAATCATTAGATAGTAGTTTTCTTAAGCATGACTGGTATCTCGTTTATGTACAGTTTGAGTTGAATGATTCTTGGAAAACCCAGAGTAAAATTTTGTGAAAATATCGTTATATTTCAGATAGTGAGCCACTTGTGAGTTTACAATTTTTTCCATCACAGACACAGATCCTGGACGATAATTTGCTATTGCAGTTTTAGCTCCAGCTTTAAAGACTGGAGTAATCAATGGTGATTTTTATATCGAAGGAAATGTACTGATGTGCTCAGGTTTAGTGTGGATGCAATGGATGAGGACACTATGTCTGCCGCAATTTTCAAAGATTTGATGTCAATGTTATCGGCACCAGTTGCTTTATTAGATGGGATGTACAGCAACAAATTTTTTACCTCAGCACTTTTTACAGTTTTAAAAGAGAACTTGGATCTCTTGTCCAAAGGAAAGAAGAAGCTCTGTTTAATTGGCTGTAATTTATTTTGGGTCATCACACCAATTTCTGAGAAAAAAGTGTTCAGTTTATTTGCTTGATCTTTGTTCACGTGGAAGAGTGGAAGAGAGAACTACTCAGGTGGAAGAGGGTTACTTTGCTTTGTTGTTGGAGCAAGTTGCTTAATGCAGTTCCACATCTGTTTAGGTTTACATTCAGTTAGTGTCTTTTGAAAGAAGGAGTCTTTTGCATCTCTCACAGCCTTGATAACGCTCTTTTTCTCCACTTGGTATTGCTTCCATACTATTTCAGATTTGGTAGCAATTGCTTTCTTCCTGGTATTGTCTCTGTTGTTGATTAGAAACTGTAGTTCGTGCGTAAACAAGAGGGCTTTGGTTTTGATCTAATTCTTATTTTCCTCGAAGGGGCATGCTTATTCAATGTGTTTGTGTAAAGCTCATTCCATTTACTAACTGCCTCATTTATGTCATTTGTTTTGAGACAATCCTTGACAATCCTGTGAGACACCAGCTCTGATTTTTTCAGATATAAAGTTATTGTAAGATCTCACTGTTTTGTAATGGGTGCTTGGCCTTGGACACTTTCTCTGCGGTATGCAGTATACCAATGAATGATCACTTATAGAAGAGTGATATACCCCTGATTTGATTGTGTTCAGGGTGGGTGTCTTAATAATCAAGTCAATAAAGGTTTATGTTTCTGCAGTTACCCTTGTTGCCTCAGAGATTACCTGACTAAGGTGGTAAGATGATATTATCTCAAATTCCCCAAACAATCTCTTGGATACTTGATATGACTTCAAGTAAGGTGTTTTCAAGATCAGCCAAATGGCTAACTGGGCTGTTTGGAGGTCTATAACAGGCTCCAAGTATAATTGGCTTACACCTTCCAATGCTAATTTTCATTCAGAGTTGTTCTATTGTGCTGCTTTCTGAATACATGTATGTCTTAGCTCAGCAATCTCATTTATATCAACGTGTGAACACAGCCATAATACCCCGCAGATCCAATACCAAGTGATCTATATAAATATATATATTTATGTATACATATATGTAAAAAAATATACACGGTTTCGGTGTAATTTCATGTTTCACGCCAAAGACAGAGATACAACTTTTTGTTTTGGGGCCAGCCTTGATAAATAAGTGTAACAACAGGCCAAGCACCCCCCCCCCCCCCCGTATCTCGGTCCTTGTTTCACGTAATAGGCAAAGTACAGATCTGCCTATACGACTAGAGCGGATGACAGGAAGGGAAACAGTAATTTTGACAAAAAATATCACATGACAGTCACTGTTTCAGGTACGTCCGAGGCGGGAAGCTTGGAAGCTGTAGCCCCCCCTCCCCCCAATTTTTTGCCTGCAATGAAAATGAAATTGGTCTTGGCTACCCAACTAAGCAATGGCTACCCAAAAATACTAATATGTACAAAACATCTCGTCCAATACCAAAGACATTCAGTTAAAAGAAATGCATCATAGTACGTTAAGGACTCATGTCTACAAAGTTCCCTAAAAATATCGTGAGACGACAACAAATCCCTAAAACAAAAATCCTCCACCAGCTTGTAAAGTTCCAGCTTGTAAAGCTAAGCCAATTTGTTAGCATAATGTATCATATTCTTGGTTTCACACATAAAAACCTTAGCTAAGCCTTTGACAGGTTTGTTAATTTGCGCCTATGACAGGTTTGTTATAAGAACTGTGACATGTTTATGTATTGAAAAGCACAAACTTAGCTTGAATACAACATAAATCCACAAACAATAACATAGATCTTAGCAGTTTAAAGATAAAGCACACAAAACACGAACTTTTACTAACTGATATTGTAGCCCTCGGATAGGACATTTCCTTGACAAGCCTAAGTAAAAACAGTGGTGGCGCCAGGGGAAGACTAGGGGGCTATAGCCCCTCCGTCGGAAGCATCTAGCCCCCCATCGGAGGAAATTTTAAACTATTGTCGGAGCAAATTTGACAAAATAACGTACAAAAACTGCTTATTTTAGTCATTTTAGCCCCTCTATCGGAAGCTTCAACTCCTCTACCGGAAGATTTCTGGCATCACCTCTAAAAACAACTGGACTCATATATGTACATACCACAATGCATAAAATCCTAATAGCGATCTTCACAAGAGGAGATACCAAAATGTTTAAGGGCATACTCATCATCATCATAATCTTCTTTTACCTAGTTTGCCTTTTCAAGACTTAGTCACGCTCAGTTACTCGTATTCTCTGCCTCAAACTTTTCCAGCCCTCCTACTCTGCTCCATTTCTGGCCATCTCAGATTACATTCCTTTGTGACAAAGCCAACGAGCTTTATTCTAACGGGTGAAAGCACGTAAATATGGCTGAGTCAGCAAAATCCGTCTCTGACTGACAGGTGATGTGCAGGAGTAAAATGGGTAAAACTAGCAATCATGCTGGGTGTGCTTGTTTTCAATTAGGAAAATGGGGGTCAAGTAGGTAAATTTAAGATTATAGATATATGAATCGTATCAAAGAGTGAACTGACTGACTGGGCCCAATGCCCGGCTCCTTCAGTTTTTTTCAAAAAGGGACCCCTTGCTAATAAATTTTTCACTGGGAACGGTTTACATAGGGCTTGCTACATAGGAATGTTCACATTATATTTCCAACTCGATGTCCATCTTCCACAAACAATACTGGTCCTGGTAAAGACATATGTCCTTTATCTTCTTCAACCTATGACCATTCTTTGCCAGTGCTCATACAACTGAACCATGTTTTTCTGCACTTCGTAGCGCTTTTTTGTGTTTTATGCAGGGTCACATCCATTACCGCTATTGGAAATCTCCTCTTTGTTTCTCTATTATTTTCTCGTCATTCCTTGTTAGTACTTAAAAGTCTGGTCTGGTTTAAGATTATCCACTTTCACCAGTCATTGGCCTCCTGAATCTCTTAAAGATCAGCTGATGCGCCACCATAATTTATACTATTCTAGATATAGAAAATACATAACCAATCATTACATAGGTAGCTCGATTCTCCACTAAAACCTTTAAAAACAACTCGAGAACAAATGAATGTTAGGACACTTGATGACTTTCTTTTCTGCTTTCTCTGTTTCTCGATAAGCTGTTCTTGTGATTGTTTATAGTCTCATACAAGCAGCTTACTTGACACAAAGATCAACTAGCTTACAAGATATTCTGCTTTTTCACATAAAAGTGACGATGTTTCTTTACAAACAGTGGTGTAGCGAGGGGAGGCAGGAGGGGGCGGACACCCCCCAATGGCAAAAAATCTCTTTGAAAAAGTTAAAATGTCACTGAAATTGAACTGTGGGCCTACTTTGGGGTTTTGATTGTAATGGGCATAAAAAATCTGCCAGAACTTCACATGTATTGGTCGACTCAACGAAGGGATCAAAAAAGTATTTTCTCGTGACCGCTTCAGAGAAATTGGACGGTTCTTACATTTTTCAAATTCAGCCAAAAAACCAAAACGCGGAGAGCAGGGATATGATCGCCTTTTCAAAGTTCTTCATATTTTGGAGCATACATGGGAAAACTTCAAAAAAGCATACAAACAGGGAAAAAATTTGTCAATCGACGAGGGAATGATTGCCTACAAAGGAAGAATTGGTTTCAAGCAGTATATGCCCTGGCAGCCAATAAAGTATGGGATGAAAGTTTGGCTTTGCGCGAATCCACAAAATAGCTATGTTCTAAACCACGAAGTTTACCTCGGTAAAGAACGAGAAGGCCAATACATGTATGCGGGTAAAGGATTGGGATACTATGTTGTTATGAATATGACCGAACCTTGTCATGACAAAAGTCACCATACCTACTTTGACAATTTTTCTCCTCTCCTGAGCTGATGAAGGATTTGTTATTAGATAAACAAACTTAGCTACGCTTGTAGCTCGGTAAGATAAAACAGGAAGTGCCTACCAAAAGTTGGTGGAAAGAAAATGGGGAAGGGGGACACAATTGTCAATCAGAAAAAGGAATCGAACCTAATGTTGACAACATGGAAAGATAAAAGGGAAATTAATGTCCTCTCTACGAATTCTTCCCCCCTTGAGCCTCCGTGAAACATTATTCGCAGAGGAAAGAAAGGCGTGCAAGAGTAAGTTGAGAAGCCGGCCGTCGTTTGCCTGTACAATGCCTATATGATCGGCGTCGATCTGTCAGACCAGCTTCGAACATATAATCCACTTGGGAGAAAAGGCCATCGATGGTGCAAGCATATATTTTGGTTTCTTTCGATGTTTTGGTTGGAAACGCAGTGGTTTTGTCAGGGCCGTAAATCCCGGGGGGGACGGGGGGGACTGGACCCCCCCAAAAATCTGGAGCAAAACGATATTTTGGAGAAATTACCATCATTTTTCTTGGAAGAAAGAAATCCCTGGTAGCCGGGATAGAACCAAACTACGTTTTCTGTGTTATTGCAACAAACCTCAGCCACTAAGGTTATTTTTGTAAGCAGAGTGGTTTTCATAATTTTTACAATATAAAAACTTACCGTTTTCTACCGTTTTTTACCGTCTTCTACTGTTTTATACCGTTTTATTTTTGAAAACAGAGTATGAAATAAAAAGAGAGCAATCTGTCATTTTATTTGACCTATTTACTAACTTATTTACGTACATTTCTATTATTTGTCTATTATTTACTTTTTTTTAGTAAATCACTTTTTGTATCATTAAAATATATTCATTTTTGATGTGTAAACATGGCCTACTGAAATCAGTCAAAATAAGAAAGACGCACATTTCTGTTCAGAAAGTAAATTTCTACCAATCAATACAACAGTGTCCCATATTTCCCCAAAGTCTGTCACTAAGGTTTAAGCATGACTCTTCCCCTCCAAAATTTCACCCAATAAACAATAATCTGTGTTCTATTGAGAAACGCCAAACTTTCTATCCTGAGCAATTCTAGTATTTTATTAAATTTAGTCTGGGGGATGCTTTTTTAGCCTTTCTAGAAGGTAAAATTTCAAAAATTTTCTTCCGCGTCGGACCCAACCATGGTGGGTCCTCCTACAAGAGTAAACTTGATTCTTAGCTCCCAAGGTTCAATTTCTTGGGGCCGTCTCTGAAAAATGTTATCAATCCAATCATACACACAAGTCAATGTACTAAGGAATATCTGTAAATACCTTCTATAGAGCAGAAGGTCTTGAGAAATCCAAATATATTGACTTTTGTTTTTAAAGTAATTTGCCCCTCAACTGTTTCCATAACACATACCATAAATCCCTTGTGGTGCCATGACCCACTGCATACTTTACATTCATTCGCTCTGCTGACCCCCCCCAATTCACATGACAGATTTACGGCCCTGGGTTTTGTGAAACGAATTCCAGCCTCAAGAAACGAGTCAGCGAAGGAGCGGTCTGAAATTTCGCCAATCTCTTGCGATGCAGATGATTGGAGGCTATTATAGAAGAAAAAGCGGTACGAAAAAGAACATTGCCTACAACAGATGTGACACAGAAACCATAAGGGAAGAGGCAAAATATGGCCACTTTATTTGTAAAATTGACGGCAGAAGAAAAGAGTGCATTCAATGCAAATATGCAAATGCCTCGACAGGAAAACACCGAAGAAAAGGCCGAGGGAGACATCATGGAAATGCAGCCACTTAGACATCCCTCTCTGCAAAGACAATTGCTTTTTGGAGTACCATTCCAAGCAAGCACTTTTTATTAACCAGAACATTTACCTACTAACAGTGTGTTATTAATTGTCATTTGTTTGTTATAAAGTTTGTTTATTTGGGATTTATAATGAAAAACCTTGACCTGTTATTTGTTTTCGCTTGATTCTACCGCTTGAAAAAAATATCGAAGGTTATTTTGCAGAAAAATTTTGAAAGTATGACACTTTAAGATTTTGCAAAACAAATGAAAAAGTTTTTTTGGTAGTTAAATAAGTTTGGTAGGTAGCATAATTTCTACTGCGCACGTATTTTATTTTAAATACTATGTTACTGCTGCATAGGCCTGAAAAAGGCCAGTCCCACGGTGAGATTTTGGCGCGCAGAATTCAGGCAGGAAAGGGTTAAAAGAAATTCAAGCTCGAGTGTTGTTGCTGTTGCTACTCTTACATTATATTATTGTTGTTGTCGTTGTTGTAGAAAAATACTTTTTTTGACCGAAGTATATTGCAGGATCATACAGCAAAATGCTTTATGCAATGATTTATTGCTTTCTGAAACAGTATCAACCTTAATGAGCGACGTCCGTTATGTATATGAGGTCATGAAGTGAGTAAGCGGGAAGCAGACGAGCTAAAATCAACGCCGATGTTATGATTTTGACAACAAAATGCAAAGCAAGTTTCTCGTTTAATAGTGCTGTTGTAGTAATGAAGATTCGTATCAAAAATTCATGTTTAAGAAACTATCAAACCGCTTTTCAGTTTGATTACGAACGAGCAAAAGGAACTGAGAATGCAAAATGGCTTAAACTGACAGGAAAACAATCGATGGAGAAATTTATACCATTAACAAGAAAAACACTGCTAAAGACAATTCTTGAAGACAAAGAAATGATTTCAGTAGGTCGATTAGATGGATTCCAGAAACTAGCAACAGGAATAGATTCATTGTTGTATATGAATTATAAGAAGAAATTAGATGCAATAAAGGTATATATAGGTTGCTTTTGCAAGGTGTTTTTATGTTAGGCACGTTATATAAAAATTAAAGCACATACAGGCCAGAAAGTGTCGGCATTATATATTGTGTGTTCCTGGGCTGGCTAATGGCTGGCCCGGCCCCATTTTTGGTGTAACCTGCCACAGTGAGTCAGCTAATAATGAAGGATACAATTTATCAAGACTGCATTCTTTGTTCTATATGGAACATGAAAAATCACAAACATAAAGCACACAAATGCTAGGTGATTTATGTCATTGTTTAACACAGCCAAGAGATGCCAAATTACAGTTTTGTGCCAACAACTCTGTGTTTTACAATGTAACTTCAAATTCCCTGTGCAACTAAAGTGAAGATTTTTGCCAATTTTATTGGGTTAGCTGTTAAATGTAAACATTTCTGGTGTATACATAATTCAAGTGAGCAGTTCTTCATTTTATGTGCCAAAAATACCTTTTTATAATGACAAAACACATCTTTTCTATTTATAGTAAGTACACAAAAAACAGTCTATTGTTTGGGAAGATTGTTTATGCTCGATCAATTTTATTCAACAAATGTCAAAAATGTATTTTGCTCTATGGTAATATTGCTTTTTTTTGAGGGGCTCTTTAAATCGCTCTCCAAGAATTCTTTTGGGGTGCGCTCTAGGCGTGCATGCTCAATCAAGTGCCTTTCTAGGCAAGGCCTGAAGAACCATATCCTTCAGTATAGCCATACATTTTGGGGAACAGTGTCATTGCCTACAAAGTATGGCATTCAGGTTAGAGAGGTGTGATTACAAAAGCACCATGCAACAAATGGCAATTACAATGATTTGAAAGCTTTATCAATTGAACAGCTATAAGTTACAATGATTTGATAGCTTGGTAGCCTGCACACAGATTCGACTGGTTTTCCCAGAGATGAATCTAGTTGATTGGAGATTTTGTTGATTGGAAATTCAGTGTTTCTCTCCTACTGGGAGACAAACCCCCTAAATTTTCCATTCAACTAAATTCATCTCTGGGAAAACCAGTCGAGTCTGCACACAGGCTAATAGATTGGTCAATTGAACAGCTATAGGCCTGTTTGTTTGTGACAATCAATCAATTAGTCTGTAGCCTAATAGGCCTTTGGTGCACCCATTGCCTGTCGATCACTTGCCACCATTCCCTGTCTGCTTTGAGGTGGTGGCATGCTTGTCCGCAGAGGCCGGTCCATATTTGTGACACCTTGTTCATTTGTTTGCATACAATAAGACTTGTGTTATATCTATGTTCATCAGTTAACAATTATTGAAATATTATTATATATAGTAATATCATCTGCGTTCATAAACCCAATCTAATATTTTCTCCAAGACTGCCGCAAATTAGGCCCTTCAGAATATTGGGGAGAACGCACCCTCCTGTGGTGCCACTTAAGCCTAAATGACTTATAATTTTGTAATAGTATTTTTAAAAATGAGCCCCAGCCATGTATTTCATCCAAAAGCAATGAATCATAATCTTTATTGCACTTTTAGAGTTTGTACAACCCACTTTCACCTGATCGAGACACTATGCAGATGAAATCATTTTCAACAGATGAGCTGAAAGCCAGAGAAAAAGAGATTCTACATGGCCTTGAAGAGTTGTTGGGTGAAGCAAGTTTCTATAAATTACCGCACAGTGTAATGCTTGATGCAATTGGCGAGAAAAATGTTGCTGAAAAAATGGTTGTTAAAGTTTCACCAGAAAATTATGCTACCTTGCAGTTCTGGGTAATAGGAATGGATGTTGTGCCATTTGATGACAGACCATGGTACGTGATTGCAGAAGAAAGAGCAAGATCATATAAAAATAGAACATTTAGACAATTAGATCCATTGTCAAAATACAATTTCAGAAGATCATTTGTAGCTCAAATTCGTTCACAATTATGGAAGAAGGCAAGATTTAAATTATCTACTTTTGTCATGCCAATTTGAATTGGGGAAAATTCTGTCATGCCAATTTTCTAGTTTCTATAAACCCACAAAAATTCTCATATTCGTAAAAATAATGAAAGTTTATTTCTTTTGTGACCATGATATCATAAATTTCCAATTCTAAATTTATGAGGTAAGCTACAGTGCATTTGTTATTGATAAGAAGGTATCCTTTTTTGTTGAATTAGTATTATGGGTCTTTATGCCTTATATTGAGGATTTCTTTGCATATTTTAATTTGACTTCTTGCCTTAAAACACCTAAAACAGGTTTTGAAAAAAAACTGTTGATTTATTTACAGTTTAGGTAATTTTGTTTCCCATAGTTATTTGGTGAAAGTGTCAGACGAATTGCAAGATACAAGCGAGTCATTGTTGCAGTGAGGAGAAAAGAGGATTTAAAGCTTCTTATTAAAGGTTTCAAAGACATACCATGTGAAAATCTTGAGTTTCTGTTACCAGATGGAAAATTGAAAATGGGAAAATTGGACAAAATTAGACTTTTTGTCCAGAGCTCATTGATAATCACTTTTGTACTTGCAACAACTGCTACCAACCTTATTGACTTAAAGCTGGAGACAAGTTTGGTTTTTGCAATATCATCAGTATTAATCTTGGCAAGAAATATTGCATTTTACAAACGGATGAGGAATAGACATGTGCTTGACATCTCACAAACTCTGTATTTTAAAAGTGTTGCCAGCAACCATGCCCTATTGGCACTCATTATTGACCGCGCAGAAGATGAAATCTACAAGCTATCACTGCTCATCTATGCCATTCTTCATCAAATCAAAAGTACACCAGCACTAGGTTTGTGATATGCGATTGATTTTTTCCTTCTCTTTTTAAAATATTTAATCCTGCAGGATATCCTCTGAATATTAACTGTTTGTTGTGTTATGCTATCAACCAATTTTGGCTTTAGCATTGATAAGTGTACAGTATGATTTAATATAATTTATTTACAACAGTAGATTAAAAGCACAAGAAATGCTGTTTTACATGTTTAATTAAGATTCTTTTACAAAATGAGCCTCTGGACTGCTTATAATGAAACAGAAATTAATAAAAATTGAATTTCATTTTCAAAACACCAAATCATAAATAACATATTGCACACTGGTAAAAATTCCTCCAAAATAAAACCAATTTGTAGAATTTATTTTGGTGCCAGTAAGAAAGAACAGAAAATAAATAGAATATATACTGGATAACATTTAAAAAATATATGCATATATTCTTTTAGCCTTCCATCAATATGTCTGAAATTGATATCAATTTTCTAAACTACAAATGAAATTATGACATGACACTTATTTTGTCCTAGGAAAGAGATTTCCAAATGGTCTCACAGACAATCAGCTAAAAGAGCTCATAGAAGACTGGCTAAGAGAAAAATTTGATATTCATGCCAACCTGAATGTGCAGAAAACATTAAACTATATGGAGGAATGGAAAATTGTAGAGAAGGTTATAACCAAAGAAAAAGTAAACTACTTTGCAATAGATCTAAATGAAGCTCTAGATGCACTTCCACACCTGAAACGTCCACCATTGTTGCACCAAGCAGACTTATTAAACATTAACACTGAAAGAGAGATTGGAGATGAATCTGAAGAAAATCCTGCTTATTTGAGTTATGATAGAAGATATAGCTGGCAGTAAGCATTTCTAGCTTGCAACCAAGAAATAGATAACCTTCAAAATATCACGCACTAACAAGTGATTTGGTTACCATTGATTGAAGTAATGTTGCCTTTCATGACTTCAAACAAAATTTAACTGGTGTTCAGGTTTAACATTATGCTTGAAAATAAGATGGAATCTGAGTTGTTTAATATTGTATTGTGTTTCTGTATTTATGAACTTATAATAGAAGATTTGAGGAAAAAAAGCTCTGATTATAAAAATGACAACCTTCCTTACACTTGATGTATCATCCTTAGTCCCTGCAACTGGAATTACAGAAAGCTTGGGAAAGACACTTTAACTTTGCCAGTCAGTGGAAACAGGTTGTTGTTTCTAGGAGGCTACATTTCACACACAAGCCTTGAATTATGGTACATTATTATCTATGCCTATCTTCTGTCTACTTTATCAACAAAATATTTTTTTAAAGCAGACACTACAATCATCTCACTCGAAAAAGTATACAAAGTAACTTACCTCTTTGTTTGTCATCAATATTGAAAACTTTTCTGATTTAGGACCATTTTAATGAGTAATACACTACCTGTTCAAAAGTGTCTTGCAAATGCCACTGTTTGTGACAGTGTTTCACATTTACCGCTTATATTGAATTATTATCTTAGTTTTTTTTATGTACCTGCTTTTCTTTGTTTGTTCAGTAGTTTGGAAACATAAACATCAGAAAAGTGAAATTATGCGAGAACTAGTAATAATTCCTTTTTAAAAAAAATCAAATACAATATAATAAGCTAATTTGGTAGATATGCTTAACAAAACTGTGCAAACCTAAATTTCTGGCATTTTATGTTGTGAGGGCTCTATATAATGGTCTATTTCTTCTTGTGACTCGCATCTCCATTTGTTCTTCAATGCATTTTGCTGAAAGAGAACAAAGCCAGACATTTAATTGTTATTTTAAGAATCAAATGATTTGCATGGAAAATATAACACTTTAATGGAACTAGCAAACCACCCCCACCATAACAATTAAGTTGTTTCATCTATGAATTTCCATCTTCTTAGGGCTCTTTTCCTTTCATTAACATGAAGTTAACATATTGTTACTTGGAACTAACAGGTTTAGATTTTGATTTTTTTTGCAGATTAGGGCCTGTCAATTTTGTTGACTTGTGTTGTGCCCTTTTTATGACACTTAAACTATTAGCTAAGGAAAATATGTTTCATTTCTCATAGAAAATCAATATTTAATACATATTAACACAAGTTGACCAGCAATAGTTGTCATCAGGGTCATTTTGATAGAGCTTGTAGTTGGATGTGGCACCCTGCTTAAACAGCAAATTGTTAAGTGGTCGGTAAACTCACCCCATTATATGTAAAAAGGTACAAAATTGTTAAAATTTAAGCCTTTCTCGCTAAATGTATTTTTCATGACCATCAATACCCTGATGAGATTTAAACTGTCAGTTCTGCTACAGGGTTTTTATAAGAACACTTGGCTCTAGTTTCAGCATAGCGTTGGGGCATGGCGTACTCCCATTATTGTCCAGTCAGGGTCAAAGAGGACCAAAGCTAAAATGTTAGAAAATTACCCCCAAGTTGTACTCTTTTTTGACAATAGCCCTTAAATTGTAGCGAAAGGACCGAAATTATGTCCTTGGTAGCTTCTATTTTTTGTGCATGCCTTTCCTTCTTTGACAAATTTCTTCACCATTGACTCTTGTTGATTCAGGAAAAATAGAATCTTGTTCATTTTCTATGATAAATCGCAAGTCAAACTAAACTGTTGTGTTATTATCAAAACTGGGCCATTTGGGAGCCATGGGCTCCGACAAAGGTTGAAAAGTGGGGGGCCAAGGGAAAATTTAACACCCATAATAAAAGATTTTGAAAAAAAAACTCTATTGCTTTGCAAAAATGTGGGGGGCCAAGGTCCCCCCAGCCCTCCCTTCATTGGACGCCCTGGTAGCCATTTGGTAAGACCCTCAAATAGACTGGACCCCTGTCAGGCCTTAATGGGAGCACACCCCCTCCCCCGAGCAGCATGGCACTTCTTATTTTTTCATATAATTTCTGCCTCCCATGATTCTTATTTTGTTTCATATTTTGGTAATGGAATTTCTTGTGGATAGCAGTGTCTGTACAAAATCATGACACACGCCACAAAATGGGGGGGGGGGGAGGCTAGAAAAAGTTGGAAGCCAAGGCTTCTTACCCCTCTTACTGCAGCTTTAAAACTACTTGCTTTGCAAAAAAGGGGGACATGGCCACAACACCGCCCCCCCTGATAATGTGGGTTTGATAAAATAATTAATGCCATTTTGCTAATTGCTTGGCTTTCTATTGTTTTGTTGTTATTCTTTTATTTTTTTCAATTTTGCTGGCATTTTGCTTGAGTTTTGTTGAATCTCAGCCTGACTTGCCTTTCATGCTGTTCTTATGTTGTTCATTGTTCTCATAAAAACGCGTACGCCGTTGTACTGCCGTGATAAAAATTTCCTAAGCATACCCTCTCTTTTGCTTTCCGTCTTTTTTCCTCTTCGTACTCTAATTTTCGTTTACGGTGCTGCCTGATTTGCTCCTTATTCCTCTCAGCCAAATCCAGCTTGTGAAGATGTTTTTCAATTTTTGCAGCTCGTTCTCTTTCCCATCCATCCAGTGTCTCTCTTCTCCTTTGAGCATGCCTTTCCAGCCTCTCCTTACTTTTTACCTCCCTTTCATGCAAGAGCTCGAAGGTGATAAAATTCTTCTCCTTTTTACGGCCAGATGGCTGGTTCTTCTTTCTGTTTGAGTCCGGCTTTTCGTCCATTGGCTGTCTCTTAATGGGCGGGAGTTTGGTCCTTCCACCAATCGAATCCTTTCTTGTGATGTTCATGAAAGTCGAAGCGCGAACTGAGATAGCGTCAGATGAAATCGGTGGTAGAGGCGAAAATTTATTGAAGCTGAATGTACTTTCATCTGGCATTACTCTTTCTCTTTTGTTTTCTCTCTCTTCATCAGACGAAAGTAACTGAGGTCGGGAGATTGCAGCTGACTCCAAATTCCAGTCATCCCTTTCTAACCTTTTCGCAGCCTTCGACTTTTTTGAGGTGCCAGTTCGTTTCTTTTGCCTTTTGTTCCCGCCCACTAGCTTGATAGGGATCTGGCTCTCCGAAGGTAAGTCAGAATCACTTTCAATCTTGCAACCTATTGCATCTTTCAAATCCTTGTTCCTATGTCTAGACTTTTTCTCCATTTTTCGGTGTTTTCTCTTCAGGCACAACAAACCAAATGAAACGAGAGTGAGAAATACAGTGCTGAAGAATTATTTACATCTTACGTCAGATTAAAAGAAACGATTTTACGTCATTTGTTGCATGAAACCCATTTTGAGGCACAGCCTGCTATGCATATGCAGAATGCAAAAAATGCTTGATGGCCTTCAAGCACAACCAGCATACTTAGCGGCAGCTGTCTCGAGAAAATTATTGTATTTTGCATTTCCATGCAGTATGATATTAGGCCGGTTTTGAAAACGTAGTCGCAGGGCATGCCACTTGCTCAAGGGCCTTTAAGATAAAATATAGTCGAAATGTGAGGTACGACATTTCATTTATTTGAAAAACCTTTATCGGTATTCAAATTTTCAAAGGGGACGTCATCAATTCAACTGTCTCTGTAAGTCGTTTCTGAAGATTGACCAGCCTTTTCTGCTACACTATATATATATATATCGTAGAGGATGAAAATTAATCGGCGCTTAATAATTGACGCCCATTCCAAATGTTTATAGAAAAATCGACATTACTGGCCAACTGCATGCAAAATTTGGTTTTCAGAAGCAATTAACCATCAAATTGAATTTCATATTTGGTAATTGATTGCTTCTTCCACCAGTGGTAGCCCTGAATAAAAAAGAATAGGAAAAGAACTGCAGCCACGTTTTCAGTTCAGCAGAAAAGCGAGACGATGAGCTTGCTCATTTTAATGTTAATTCGAAACATGAAAAGAAGGCAGGTCACGCCGGTATCGCCCTGGTGTAGGAAAGTCTTCTGAATGGGATCCACGGATTCAACGGCAATGATAAATTTGATCCTATGATTGCAACCCTTCAAATAACACTACGACTTAACATGTAACATGCCCTGGTTTCTGATCAAATTTCACATTGATCAGTTGTTCAAGATTTATATATTTGCCAAAATCCCCAAAAATGACACACTATTGTTTAAGACAACGAAACACAACCAAGAGCATGCTTTCGAATACATCTCCCCTTCGTACGATTGCACCTACAACCATTGTCAAGAAGTTTAGCGCATTTGGCCAAAGCAGACACAAGAATATGCCCCCCTCCTCTCCACCACAATTCTGCTAAATTTCGACATGCCAAGGCTGAAGATAAATTCCGCCATGGGCAGCAGCACAAGTTGTTGAAAAAATAAATGAAAAATGTAGGGAAGTTTGGAAGCAACAGAGGTATGTCGAGAAGGCAGTTTTAGGCATGCATTGTCTATTTGCATGTCTAAGGGCAATAGAAGTCACACAGCTTCTTAAAATTAAATTGAGATGAATATCAATTTTACGAATGTAGCAAAGTTTGTTACATTTCTAACATCTATTTAATACACCAACTTATTAGCAGGTTATGATTCGTAACAGAAATGGATGAAGCGATCATCATCATCATAATCACTCGATTCTTTCTACATTAGCTTAAAAATTAATTCAATTTTTTAAGATATTGAATTTAACATATTTATAACCAAGAGCTGCATATAGACATCAAAACCAAGACATTTATACAATTAATTCAACAAGAAGCTGAGAACGCGGTGACTACATTCTGCTTCCAAAGCGTGGGTCTTTACGTCTAATGTGAAATTTACAAAATTAACCGTAAGATTGGCAACTTAACACAAAGCAATTAAAAAATTAAGAAACAACGTATGAAATTCTACAAAAAACTGGAAATTGAATAGTTGCCTAATTGAAAAATTGCTACAAAATAAGGTTTTGGTGTATAATCCCAAATGATGATGCCAAAATACGCAAAGTGTGGAAACACAGTGTGGCTGGCTCCGGTAGCCACAAACTTGTACAAAATGGATGCATTTAAGGAAATACAAAAAAGTATCCAAAACCCTGCAAGTTTAAGTGGAGTTCTACAGGGTAAAGAGAAATTTCGACTATTGTGCCGTGGCACGCTAGTGTGCAGTGAGTTATCGTCTGGTATGTCATGGAAAATTCTCCAAAGTCACTTAACTGATCATTTTTCCATTCCTGCCAGGATATCAACAATGTGTTAAACAGAAAACAGGCCCAGATCTCACATTGGGTGAATAAAAATATTCTATTTTATTAAAAAGTACCTTTCTTTGTGCTTATCTTAGTCTTGTTCAAGATGATTCGTTGAGAATGACTCAATATTGCGAATATAGGCCACAGAGTTTCATTTGTTACCTTTTCTGTTGGTGGGGTGCCTCATGATTTTTCTTATGAAAAAGTGTGCCGTTCATAAAAAAGGTTGAAAAACACTGCTCTACATATTATAACACCATCAACATGGAACAAAGAATGAATGAATGAATAACTTCTACAGTAAGAAAATTGTATTAAAATGTCTTGTGGAAAAATTATTTTATGATATAAGGATTAATGGACAATATGATTAAATGTCGAATGAAAGAGAATTTGGTTACAATTCAAATATGTTAAAAGATGCACTAATGCATTGTATGAGATTGATCGACCCTTTTTTCCTATTCGCGATTGCATTTGTAACACTCGTCCGATGTATCGCGATAGGTGCACCGAGGAAAGGGGCAAGCGCAAAGCAGTCAACACAAACTTTTATCTGCCAGAAAAACAAGACGTAATAACTTTTAGATATTCAAAACTTATATGCAGGGTGGTTTCTTTGTTCTCTCTATTTCATAACAAACAACCCAGTTAAAAGACAATATTGAGCAATTTTTCTGGCAAATTTTGCCATACTTCGCCAGATTTGATTAGAAACTGAAGCAAACTTTTGTCCTGGAAACTCTCGATTTACTAGCAGCACCTATTCTATACCCAAATATGCTACTTGATTCCCTTTTTAAATAACAAACCTGCCACTGCCTCATCAAGGTGTCCTCATTTAGAAAACCGATGACAAATAATGTTTTTCTAAACTAATTACACAGTTCATCAAATTACACTAACAAATTGAAATTTTTCCTTTCATGCAACTAAATGCGTTGTGATACTTTGCTAAGCTTGACGTTGTCTGTCTGTTTTGCAAGCGTCACCTTTCGAAAGATGCCTTTCTCCATCTCCATTATCTGTGAAATGCAGATTTGAAACGGAAGTTATAAAGACAAGCAATCAGCAAAAATGTAAGAAATCTCTACGCTAAGCAGACATGAATCCTGGACCGTGCTTACTTTTCAGACTGGGTGATAGACGAATTAGTGGCATAATTAACCTCTTTATAGCGAGCAAAGAGCGACGCTATATCCGGTGCTAGCTACAATGACTGAAAAACGTAATAATTTGCTTATTAGTTCTCAGTTCTTGAACTCCGTTAGAGTATGATATTGATTAGGCAGAAGTTGAAAATAAATATGCAGGGGAAACATAAAGAAATGCTGTTATTAGAAAAAGAGTTCATGACTTAATGATGCAACCATATAATTTCCCAACCTGATTATGTTCCTTTACCATCCTTTCAACCTCTTCTTTATGCTTGATACTCAGAGCTTCCATCTCTTTTTCGTGACAACGCATCAGCTATGTTAGAAAACATCAAACTTTCATTGCGCATAGTAATTTGAACATAACTGACAACCGCTCCGTTTTGTTATAATCGGTGACGTATAGAAACATCTGTATACGCTTTTCTGCCTAGGTAGTTTCAAGGGAAACCGTTTCTTCGGTGCGTCCTTATCGCGGTATTCCACCTTTACACTGATTCGGAACACTGGTAAGGTGGTTTAAAAAACAAAAATTTGTGGGAAGTATATAGATGGGATTTCTTCTTGGCTCTGTTTATCGTGATTATACCGAGTTGAGTATTATTCCGATTGTGTCAAGTGAAATTCACTTGAAAGTTTAATTGCAGCTCTAGCTGTCAGGGAAGGGTTTCCTAAGTAAAGGGTCTTGCAGTTACAATTATAAAAATCAACTCCTATCAGATAAGTGGGGAAACAATACGAAAATTTTTTCAATCACTTCACAAAGATTGTCCATGCACGCAGGACCTTCAAAACAGCTCAAAACATTAGGAGCTGCTACAAGAATCAAGAGCACCATAACCTGTGCCAATTCACATGTCTTTGTCGTTTCTAAACGGGAATATGTTTCATGGTTTTTTCGTTTTCATAACCAACTCAGATTCAAACATAATAAAAGCTGCACGACTCGCTTTTATTATGTGTAAACAACCCCAAAAAGACACAATATCAACGCATATTAAGCGTGAGGAACAAAGGTAAAATGAGCCAGAAGATATTCGTTTCTGAAAAGCCTTGAGTTAAGATCAAAATTAGAATCAGAACTTACCTCTTGCCTTTCAAGGATAAAAAGACTCATGTTCTGTTTGTCTCGTTCTCTCTGCAACCTTATGGAAGAATTCACATCCTTTAAATGACCAAATCAGTAAAAAATGGCAAGAAGATATTTATGCATTCACTGGCAAATATTTTATTGCATATGCAATAATATTTATGCATTCATTGTCCATACGTATTTCACAGGCACCGAGTCACATTGATGTATATCTTCCTGTTCTAGCGAGAATTCACCGATGTTCTCAAATGCAAAAAACTATATTTCGAGGAGCTACTTTTTCAGATATAGAAAAGACAAAACGAGGTTTTGAAATTCAAAGCAAAGACTTTGCCAAGAGAGTGGATGAAAATGTAGTACAAAAATGTATACACATCCAAGGGGAATAGAAAGCGAATTTTCCGAATGAACTTAACTCACAAGGGACCTGCTGGCCTTACCTTTCCTTCTCTTCCTTGCTTTTGATTGAACGATCTGAATTCAAATTTTTTGCCTCTTCTATCGACTGTTTTGCTTGCCTCTTTTTCAGCTCAGCCATCTCTCTACAGAAGATAAGAAACGAAGAAACTCTTAAAAAGTTGGTCTCGGCATTAGCTGCAGTCTGCGATTTGCAATGCTGTTATTTTGGACATAAATAGCAACATCAATGCTAATCTAACTGCAAATGGAAAATATATAGACTGAAAAATGGGATAATGCACATTTTATACAATAAAATTGGGTCTTTTATCATACGTATGAGCGTTATATCGTAACAAATGTTTAATTTTCGGCAAATATAAAACAAGATTAAAGTGGACCTTATTTGGATTAAGACGAAGGTTTTCAACGCTTAGAAACTTCCATTAGTTGATGACAGCAGAGGTAGAATTTCAAGGTGCTTAAAGAGAATAGGACAAAAAGCCATTTTGTATCGGCAACTGGCATCTAATACCTAGCATCTAATACCTCGGGATTTCAAAATAAAGAGTTACAGTAAATACTCGTATATAAGAACCCACGGACTGAAATTATGAAATTAAACCCTCATTTCATAAGAACGCACCAAGCCTGTAATCTGAAATAGGCTCGCCAAATTGCATTAAAAATCTAGTTTCTTTATTATTGTCATTCAGCTAAAATGATGTACTGTTTATCATTTAACTTAAATTCAGATCTTTGGAGGACTCCTTATTTAAACCTCCACGCACCTTCTTTAGGTAGCAAGGTTTTCCACCAATAAGTTTGCACTCCACAAGAAATTAAAGACCTTTCGCCCCTTCAAACACATGCAAATGTTTGAAAATTGAATGCGAGCAGCAGCTTGAAGTTAGAATATGAACAAAATAAATTTGTGAAACCAATCTAAGAACCTAAACAGCTTATTGAGTACACAATGCCTACTTAAGAAACTTCCCATTAAGTATCCAATATATAAAACCTAGTCAGGCTGACTTAATAAGCTGTTTAGCACTTTGTAAGCTGCCTTTGTGAGCACTTTGTAAGCGGCTGACTTAATAAGCTGAGGGTGTTTAGTGTATCTATATGTTATGAAACTGACCTATCTAGCTTGTCCTTTAGAAGTTTCTCTTCATTGCGTTGTGCTTGAGAAAGAAGGATCTTTAGATACTCTAGCTGCTCTGCAATTTGATAAAGACGTAGGCCCACTCTTTCGTGTGCTTGGGTGGTAGTCAAGTTCTTTTCCTCTTTGCTTATTTTAGATGCGTTTACTGCAAGCTATTTTAAGACAGAAAGCAAGACTGGTAACCAAAGCTAACAGGTAATGAATTAAAACGAAAGCTGAGGAATGGAAGACCGTGTGTATGATAATTGGTTTTAATCATTTCATGTTAAATGTTTTTATGTCAAGAAAGTAAATAAATGACAAAGATGTATCTATCAGTATGAAGTAAGTACAATATCCAAGAAACTGACAGTTTTTTTTACTTCGCAAAAGTACACATGTTTACGTTCCAGCTAAATTTATCTCTCTATATCCATTACGTTGTATTTGATTTGTGCAAGGGGTGCATATTCTTCAGGATCTTGAAGCGATTTTAAAATGTGTAAAAAATGTTGTAAGCTCTCGAAATCTAGTTTGATATAGAAAAAAGTAAGAAACAGTATGTATTCCATGGGCTGCCAGTTCAATACCTTTTCGTTCATACGCTGCTCAAGGTATTGCATTTTCTGATTATACTTTGCAAGGAGATCATTATTTCCATCTGGCCTGCAAAATAGAGTGGTGAATGTTATTCTGCTGCATAAACTTTAGATAAAAACATACTAGAAGACAATGATGAAGGGGCTTGCTCTTTTTTAACCGTTACAACATTCATGCTATGAATACAGCTTTGATCGAAAGCTAGAAAGAGCTTCATTTTGCAGAGCCAGAAAATGATCTCAAAGCAAAATGTTGATTTATTTTTGCCGATTTAATGGAACTTCCAAATTACAATAATAAGACAACAAGATATCGTGATATTGTTTTAATTTAGGTTATCTTCCAATTATTTCCTTTTTTATTCACTGATTAAACCTTATGCTTGACATCCCTTTAGGTCATCTACGTAATAGCCAATTATCCAAATCATAGGTCATTCCCCTAAACATTGTTATACTTTCATTCACCTAAGTTAGGCTAACTCTATTTCTCTCAACATAAATCATGCAAACTCAGCATATTCGATTCTAGATATTTGATTTGTACAAAATTCTGTGAATCAGTTCATTGTGGTTAGTCACGAATAGGCAAGGAAAGTCAAACACATTATAATCTTTTTGTAGCTCCGTTTTCTCCAGACGGAAAATAAACTCAATTACAGTCCTGTAAAACATGTCAGTCAATGGATGAAAATTTATTGAAATCACCAAAAAATTGATTCTAAAAGATGACCCATTTCCAATACCCGAAATAAAAAAATTTTTACATTAGACTCGGCAGCAACGATGAAGCTAATCACTTAAAGCGCTGCAGCGATTGTTGGGGTTGCTGCTTGAAAAGAGACTCGTTTAAATGAGAGCTCATTGTAGACAAAATTTTATAAAGAACTGAACGTTTTAACCAACCTGCAAGTCCCGGGTTTCTTTGAAGCTTTTTCGTAAAGCCTTTCTTCGGAAAGCTTGTACTTTTGATAAGAGACTCTTATCTTCTCTATAGTTGATTGGTTAGATTTCTGTAGCTGAACTCTTTCCTACGGTGGGATTTGTGACAACTGAGAAGCTAGCAATAGAAAGATGAGAAGAAAACGCAAATGGGACTCTCCGAGAGGTGTTCCAAATCCTGATCATTTTGTTATCATAGTACTGTTACTTGTGGGCGCCTTTCAAAACACGGGATTCGATATTTAGGATTTCTTGAACCTTAGTCTAGATATTAAGGATGCACCAAGAAAATATTGGTACGAGCCCAACGTATTGACTGACCCCCTCACCAATCCCCCTCCCTGCTCCCTGCCAAAAGCGAATGCAAGGGACTTTGCCTTAATAATATAAAGATTCTTGCAAAGATTCTATATTGATGAAATTCGTACGAAAATGTCCCCCTATATCGTCTTTTGGTAACATGAAACAAAGAATACGAACAGCTAAATATTTCACAATTTGCTGCCTGAGTGATTTCTTGGTTTGCATAATTAATGATATTATGTTCTTTAGGCCTATAAAACTTGATTATCAAATTAAGAAGGACGTCAGAACTCTTGTACATTACCAAAAAAATAGATTTAGATAATAAACTGAAAACGATTTTGTTTCACACAGACATATACAATTGAAACTACAAGTTACAAAATACCATTCAAATTGGACCATACGGCAAAAATCTACGAATGATTTTATAAATTCCTCAAAAATTAAATCTCCACCTTATCATGTCTTTTCTCAAGCATGTCTACGTCTTTCTGGTGCTTTTTGACCAACTTTACAAATTGCTAAAAGGTAAAGTAAGTGTTTTCATGCACATGTTATGTGGAACAAGGGCAACTTGCTCGTCTGTAGAAAAAAATTATAATAACTGTGGTTGTTCTGTACAATAAAGAGATAAGAACTTTTGATGGTCTGTAGAATAGAGTGAAAGCAACTTTTCCTGGTCTGTAAGATTAAGCGACAACAATTTTTGCTCCTCTGTGAGACGAATGATAATAGCTGTGATTTTTCTGTAGATTAGGGAGATAAGAACTTATGATGGTCTGTAGAATAGAGAGAAATCAACTTTTCCTGGTCTGTAAGACAAAGTGATAACAACTTTTGCTGGTCTGTAGAAAGACAGATAACAACTGTGGTTAAACTTTAGAATAGAGTGATAACAACTGTGGTTGGTCCGTAGAGCAGAGTGATATCAACTATTATTGGTCAATTTCAAAGTGCTCACTATCATTTAGACACCGCTCTGCCAACTTCAACTGCAGAGCAAGATTCCTTTAAATTGAAATACTTGACTTTTTAGCCGAGTATGACCAACGGGTCGCATTAGGGGGGGACTTATCTAATGTTTGCAGTATAGATAAGTTTTACCACTTATGTTTATGGATTTCGCCTGCCACCAATATAGGAGTTAATCTCAAAACAGGTACCTTGTCACTTTTCAGATCCTCGAACGAAACCGGTTCATCAATCTTCTCATCACCTAGAAATAATTATAAGGCTTTATAAAATAACAAAAGAAGGTAAAAAAGTTTGTACTTAGAAGTTTAGTGTATCTCCGGTTGCAACGATAATTCATTATTTCAGCTTTCCATAGACCATCTCGGAGATAATGACAAAAGTGGGGTGAAAACCGGAATAAATACAATGACAGCCTATATCATCGAGATTTGTAAATTCCTCTGCTCAAACAAAGTCCATTGTTACACAACGAAATTCAGAATTTCATTCTAAAGTATTTTTCTCTATTCTCAAGAAGTTTCACGGTCAAAAAATAAAAGAGTGGCCTACATCTACCATGAATTCTTCGCTGATTTGCCCACCTGAGGGACTGGAACATGTTATAGAACAAAATAATTCCATTATGGAATCGCGATCCCCGAGATGGTCTATTGTCATCAATATATCTTTTTTCTTTTTTACTAATAAGTCAATTTTTTTGTTTACTGAAATGGTGGGCCTTGATAATCAGCAATGTCGAAGTGCTATCCTCTTCAGAGATTTGAAAGTGGAATGGAAAGAGATAATATATTATGAATTTTCTTGACCAGACCAGGAAAAGCTTCGCAGATAGTTACTTAAAACAACAAAACAAAAAGATCATAGCACTGAATGAAGCTATCGAAGAAATCTGATGTGCAGCAAATTTTCCCGCTGAACAAGTAGGCATTTTTGCAGTATCGCTAGCAATGTAAGAATTTCTTCAAATGCAGAGAAATATCTTGTTTTTACTGGACTATAAACGTGAGGATCTGGATCTTTCAGCTGGGTCAGGGAAGTCTGCAGAGGGGGGCCACTGCCCCCGCTGCTCCCTGGCGTAGGCGTCCTTTAGTTGGGTTCCCCTTGATAACAAGTTTCACAAATAGAATGAGGCAAACTATTGCTTTCGAAAAGTATCACTTGCTATGTAAGGTTTGTCTAATTTGAAGGAAAAAATCTTTTTCTTGCAAAAAAATTAAATAAATGGCATCAAAAACAAGCAATGGTCACTCAGCAGAGGTATGTTGCAAGAAATTCGTTATTCGAGGCACACACGAATTTGACCATGAGAACGCGTGATATCGGGAGCCGCTATGAAGCATTTTAAACTATTTTCTTTGATAACAGAAGTAGACCTACCCTCTCCGAGTAACATAAGATTTGTTCCACTGTCAACTTTTCCAAAAGATTTCCGATTTTCCGCAAGATGAAACAGTGGGCTTCCGATAGAAGAGCTGATGGAGAATAGTGAAGTGATGGACTGTTTTGGTTGGTTGGAGCAGCCAGTCGATTCCTTTGAAGAGAACATGTCCTGAAATTTAAAATTAACTGATTTTGAATGGGGGAAAAATAACTACATAAAATACAGGTAAAGCTTGAATATCAATTTAGTGGCAATAAAAAGGGTAAACCTTGTTTGGCTTTAATGTAGATTGAAATTTGAATCTGAATGAACTGATCTAAATATCAGTCCGACTCAGTGGAAGTTCGAGTTATCGGAGGTGCGACGTAACGCGATTCAACTTAACTCATAAGGAAAGCGATCAACAGTTTCAAAAATTCAATTTAGGGCATACCTCCTCCATCTCAGAAATATCAAACACCTGCATTTGCTCCCTTCTTTTGTCGACTTCCGTTTGATATTTCATAGGATCAAATAACCGATCCGCGAAATCTAAGAGAAATTAAACGGCCTTGATTTTTCAATGATTGTTTGTGAGAGCTATTCATTATAGTTCACTTTAACTGCTAAATGTTGTGACAGTTTTGAGTTTATAAAGCCCTAACTGAAATTGAAAGAGTGTGCAATGTGAAAATGACCAACGATATTATAGTCTCTAGCTTTTGTGAACTTTTCACGAAAGAAATAACATGCACCTTAAAAGCTGTCAGGAAAATCATTGCAATGATGAACCAATCTAAATTTGCCAGAATTCTTAATTTCGATAAACCAAGTATTTGTTTACTGAAATTGCTAGTGAATAATACGATAATGTGTATTAATTGGGTAAAAAATAATGATAAAACTGAACCATACCGGCAAATTTTTCAGGAACGTATGTTTTCAGAGTAATGTGTACGAATAGAGTAGAAAGTGAAGTTGGCTGACCAGACTCTGTTCTTAATGGAACATGACGATAACCTGTTTATAAAATATACAGTAAACACTCCATACTTAATACATAAGATATGATATGCATTATTTTTGAATACACTAAACCCTAATGTCCGCTTGCAAACCCTAAAGTTTTCAGATGTATCTCTTCTTGACCGATCCCTCATGAAAAAGTTATTGTGTTAACCACAAATATATAAATCGTTAGAAATCTTAAGAATGGTGTAAGTGCTACCTGATAAATAACCATTAAAAGGGGCCGCTTTTCAGCTTTCACAAAGATAACAAAACACAATTTCTAGGTGCTAACATCACAGTTTTTAGAGGTTGGCGTCTAGCGGTTTCCATGATTTACAGGAATGCAAGGGCAGTTTTCTTGAGAAAATGCAACTGAACATAACAAAGTAAAACAAATATAATTAACCATTCTACTCTTGTCAAATCTTTACCGTCAAAAAATCAATGGTTCTGAAAGACAAGCCTATTTTTCCGTTGATCATCAACAGCAATCTTTCAGCTACAGCTCCTTCTCTATGGTAAAATCTTATCAGATATGGCGCGGGGTGTCTATGTAACTGTGTGAACATAAAAGTCTTAGAGCATGGACAAATTGCTGAAAGGTTACATATATTGATACATACCTGGTTGAACTCCATCCAGAGGAAGAACCCGTTGCCCCAGGATCTTGTCACTTTCATCGTAAACTGTTAATTTTAGAAGAGCTAGTTCTGGAAGGATGACCTATGGTGATGACATCAAAATCAGAGGCATGCTATGCAGTCAGTAAATCTCGGCAAATTCCGATACAAACTGATTGCTTGATCAGTCAAACAAGAGCTTTAAATATGGTCAAAAACAGTTTGATGTCGATTCTTTGATTACATAGGCAAGTCATCTAGTCATCTACAGTTTTCTAAGATACTTAAAATATTAAGATTATAACTACCAAAATTAACCTGCAAAGATCATTTGAATTGCAAAACAAAGACAGCCTAGAAAACAATTTCATCAAAACATCTTATATTATCATACCCTTTATGGTTGTAAATCAAAAGCTCTCTGCAAGAAACTGTCCCACATGTAAGCAGTAGGGACGCAGTAGAAATGGCAGTAAAGGAAGTGTGCTATTTAGTACAACAAAATTAAAGTTTCGTATACGAAAAGACTGTCTGAGCTTTTCTCCATACTAGCACACAACAAGCAATGTAGCTCATAACTGACCTGGTATAGGTTTACCATGGTTGAGCTGATCGCAAAACATGATGATAGAGAGATATTATCATATTCCAAGTAAGGGCCAGGCAAAACATTGATAACAGGCAAAACAAGTAAGGGCCAGGCAAAACATGAAATTTATGAATACCTTAGTAAATACAAAACATTCATCTCCAAACAAAGTATTCATGAAATTGCTTGAAGAGAGTTTCGTTTTGTTCTTTCTTTTCGTGTCAGCAGGCAGGCCAAACAGTTCTACCATAACGTAGGTCTGACATTTTTTATCCGTTAGAAATTGCCCTGAAATCACCTGTTAAAGAATGAATTTTCTGGTTAGCTACACATTTCTTTTCGAAAATACCTACATATTCTTAAAAATTTTGATTCTGAGCCTTGGGTTATTTCTAAATCATTCTTAAGAAGAAATATCACATCTTGGCTTCTGTTATTCACGCCTTCATTGCAAAAAAATTGTAGGAAACGAAACATACTAGCGCAATACAAGGTTGAAGATTTTACCGCAAACTTCTCGCGTGAATTTCCTGCTTGTCCTGTTTGTTCAATAAACACATATAGATGAAGTTTTAAAATTTCGATAAAAGTCTTGAGATTCACAAATTTTTAGCCTAAATTTTTTAAAACTTACTTTTTTAAGAAAGTACCGTAAATCCTCGAATTAGCCCCCTGGGGGCCTATTTATTTTTGATATTTTTGGATGGGGGCTTATACGAGGGGGGCTTATAAAATTATTGCAGATATTAAGAAGACATTATTAAAAGACCTCCTTTATTTTAGTAGGAATTTCTTTATGAGCATTTAATTAATTACTACCAAAAGTATGAATTTGTTGGCAAACTTCAGATGGCAAAAATAATCAAATGGAGGGGTCCGATTCGAGAATTCGGGCTTATTGATAATTTGTGGTTCTATGGTTCTATCGAGGGAAGGGGGGGGGGGGCAATTCGAGGATTTGTGGTATGTATCTAGAAAAATAAATTCTTGGCGTCATTTCCATTGAGAAAGTAAATGACCTATTTTCAGTTATATACCTTAATTATTAGGCTGATAACTGACGAAAGAAGAGAGTGAAAAAAAGGACTAGGAAAAAGCAGAAAAGAGAAAGAAATGAAGAGATGGATAGTTCTGTGTAGAAGACAAATTACTGAGGCTTTGATGCAAACTTTAAGAACATGTAGCATGTTTTTTGGGAAAAGAATTATTTCAAGTTTCGCAATTCAGTCTTGTGACTTTTTGTTGGCGTGAGTTTGTGAAAGCATCATTATGTGAACCAACAAAGGGAGGGCTTCATGATTGAAGCATCCACGAAAAAAATTCAAATTCTGGGATGAAGGTCCTTCCCAGATAAGATTGTAGATACCAGGCTACTGTGGCTTTTAGCTATTGTTAATAAGAAGGTCTAGCAATATGAGGCATAAAGAACTTTAACTTGAATGTGGATTGAACACGGAACTCTACTCTGCTTCAAGAAATTCTACTAACTTTTACTGTGACGGTAGCTGGAATAATCCCATCGATTGGGGATTCGGTGAACGGGTCGAATGCTTTTTCTGGCCTTCTCATAATCTCCGGCTTCAAAAGATAGCTGTTGAACAAAACAGATGGTAAATGGAAAAGCTGTTTTAACAAGGAAAACAACGTTAAAACGGCGTGTTAGGAAAAATACTTGAAATATTGCGCAAGACGTGACCAGAAAGACTAGGCAACCTTAATCTAAGATAATCATATCAGCAAAACAAATTCCAAAGATTTAAACATTCTTTTCGAGGATTATGAAAAATTATAAATCATAGGTTTACACGTTTATTAGCGGATAAAGACAACTTTTTCAATCTTTATTTAGTACGAAATGAATACCAGAAACGGAGCTACAGGATTTTCTTGTGAAAAAAGTTAAAAAAGTTGTCGTTTAAACCTGTGGCTCGTGAGAATGTAGTTGCCGGTACACATATAAAAGCGTTAAACCTGAAGCACCTTCCTGTATCAAACACCATTGCCACAAACATGAATAATTGATACCTGGCATGCATGGCATATATACAGTTCTCGTATTACAAATATGGCGACGAGCTTTAACTATTTACTGTTCTAACCAAGAGAAAGTGTAGTATTCTTTCAACTGAAAGTCTATAATAGTTTTGTTTAAATGTTGTAAAGAACCAAGAGATGTAAATTCTGTCCACAAGTCTTCGCAGTACTTGTGCAAATAATGCACATTCTCATTGGTTCAGAGAAATGGATAGAATTATAGTCCTGAACTAAGGAATCAAGACTTTTATCCACAACAAATAAGGGGTCGGTCTCAAATAGCGATCACACTCTAATTTACGGAAAACGAATCCAACGGAAGTGGCAATAAAAATCAAGACGCAAAACATTATATTACGATAAATGATCGCATTTTTCTGCAGTTTTCAAGATGTCATTTTAACCTTGTTTTTGAAAACTTCAAGAAGTTGTAAGATCGGCCTGACTTCAGCTTTTGAATTAATGAAGGAATTATTGACAGAATACACTCGTGCAGTGACTGGCATAGAAACACGCAACGGGTTGATTTAAAAACGATATCATGGGAGGGCGGCTAAATATCATGAATATACTATAGGCAGACCAGCATTCTACTTGATCCAATTCAACTCATTACGGCACATAGACCAAAGCACAAAATAAGACAGTAAAATGTAATTGTTTACCCAAGTTGTCCATTTGCTTCAAATTTAGCCTGGTTCAGTTGATAAGGGACATCTAAAAATGCAAATAAACATAGCACAGATACTTCATAATGATGAACATGAAATTGAAATGGCTGATAGGCGCTACAAATGTCGATGATATTGTGGATTTGTAGTTACTTATGAATTTATAAAAATATGGTAACCAAGAACCTTTTATTCGCAGAAAATATTGACCTATTGTCTACATACACTTCACTGTATGGTTATAGATTAACTCATTCACTGACATCTCAGTAGATCTCACTAGACAGTGTGTGGAAATCAATTTAAACTTGAGTGCTTAGCGTAACTAAAATCATTGGAAAATCTTCAAAATCTTCAATATGATTACCTAGAGCAGATTATATTTTCAGCTGAAATTAGACGCATTTTAAACATTTTCAATTTCGATCAGCGCATATTCGAGAGTCACATGCTGTTTATGCACTTGGAGGCTCTATTCTGAGTTTCAAGCTTTAATATGGTCTTTTCAGGCAATTCGGTTTGTATGCAAATTTGATTATGTTCCTGTACCCCTGTGGTACATGGAAATTCAAACATGGCTTGCAGAAGAATCTTTCATAAATCCTGTTTTGTTAGTAAATCTGCACCGCGACAAAAAATAGAGTATGGTACAAACTGCCGATACAATTTTACATCACAGCATGGCGCCTTTCTCGCAGAGGCAAATGCTAGGAATTTTCCAAAAAATCAACATAAAATTGACGGAACATACCGGTTGTTTGTAAGTTTAACGTTACTAATTGACAACCAACATTCCAGAAAGCCTAAAAAATATGAAATCGTGAATTCGAAAGCAGAACTGATGGGCATAGCTTTATTTTAAAGAAATAATTTGCAGCATTCGACTGTTTTTGCATTGCAGTTAAATTTCAATCCCTGCTTTGTTCCAAAAAGGAAAACGGAAGCAACAGTGGGGAACATGCTTCAAGGAAGTGAGCCAGAAAGCCTTCCCCTTGTAACACTCTTGTATGGAGAAACGATCGACGTTAGATATGATCTTCAACCAACAACTTTTGTATTAAACCAATCACAAAATCAAATTGGGTATTTGTTGAAACAAGCAGCGCAAAAAATTTAAAATAGTAAACAACCACTGCACGAGTCGTCTATCCTTACACTGCAGAAAAGATCTCGATTTCTTTAGAGGCACTCAAGTAACGACTGTAGTATGGAGAATTCAACATTGCTAGAAGAATTCAACAGGGAGCAATCTGAAATCATAATCTTGACATCAAACTGAAAAAAACCAAAAGAGGATTGTTGGTGAGATCAATACTTGTAAAAATGTAAGTCAAAAACCTGTGGATTGTAATTGGTGGAATCGACGCGGGTTCCTTTTGGGTAAATCCTACTGAACTGGCGATTGTTGTACATGATAATGAGTTAAGGAAGAAGCATACTTGAAATGTCAAATACACATAATGTGTACTTGTTCAGCAATCCAAAAAGGTAATCGAAGGTAAGTCTATCCTAAGAAAAAGAGCATATGCGACTCTGGGTCAGACATTTCAAAGATGGGGCAAGAAATACTTTTAATCTAGAAATCTAGGGCCTGTAACAGAATTGAGCTTCAAATGCATTTTATGTTCACACTATTTAGATAACGATTTGGCAGAATGCAGACAGCTGACTACAGAAAAAACATTGGTAAAGTTGACTATATGACAAACACAGCAAAAAACCTTAGTGAAATCCCCGTGAATGATATCTTCAACCTACTTGAAAGTTAGATATAGAATGAAAAATTGTCCTTTCTTAAGAAATAACCAAAAAGAGAAAACAATTTGTTGATCAAGTGACATCACAATGTTTGGCACTGGCTTGCCGTGAATTAGTTGCTTTCTCGAGAATTATTATCCACTCAGAGTAACTTACTGCAATTTAAAACTGAAAAGGATACTTAGTGAACTCTACAGGCCCAGTTTTAACGAGATGTATTCCCGAGCATTCGTTAAATGATGAAATTTTAAAGGATAAACATCTCTCTGTAAAAGAACGATAAGAGCTGCAGTTCACTTTTTATCCCACAATTGCGTAGCTCACAGTCGATAATGAAAAGTAATGTAATAGGCTAAGCCTGAATAATCAAAAACTGCGCTTGAATGAAGCTTATCAGAAAGAGCTTGCTGGTCGTACACAGTTTGACGTTATTTCATTACAATCAAAGTATGGTCCTACAGCCCTAATTACAGGCTTTGGCTAATAGTATGGCTAGAAATTTGAAGAGCTTGAACGATAGACAGGACCTTGCTCACAAAGTAGCACCATTATCAAAGGATCAAATGATTTTTAGGCGACATTTTGAAGTCAGAACTAAACAGAGACATGTTCTTTACAGCTATATGTATGCAATGAAAATAATCACAAGCAGAACTGAAAAAGGAAAACTGAATAAAACAGATTAAAACGGAGAAAACACAGCAAAGCAGGCAAAAACAGACCAAAAAACAAAAATTAATAAAAAAAGTAACAAAATAAAACAAACAAAACAAATCAGAACAAACAAAACAGACAAAACTAAACAGGACCGAATAGAGAGGAAACGACAAGACAGGACGGGACGCGACAGGAAAAGACGGAGCAAGACGGGAAGGAAATGACAGGAAATGACAGGACAGGACAGGAATAGACGGTAGAAAAATTGGCATGGGCGATAAGTTCGGCAAAGAAGGGAAGACCGGGACAGACTGGGACAGAAAAAAGAATAAAACCTTAGAGTAAACCAAAACATAATACCATTGATCAAATGAAAGAAAAAGGCAAAACAGAAGACAGCAGAACAGACACGTTATACTTAAATAACTTAGGAAAACCAAACCAAGTTAGATTTTTTAAATCAAATCAATCAATTAGTACCTTCAGACGATTCGAAATTCTGGAAAACCATGGGTTGCACGTAGTTGACCAGGGAAGACAATAACGGATCGATAACATTTTTCTGACTTGAAAATTGCTGGTTGAATGATTCTTCATCCTCGCTACTGAAGCTTGTACCTCGGGATGACTGACAAAAATGAAACGGAAGTAATGTGAGGCTATAACGCAGGGGCCTCCAACTTACAGCCCGCGGGCCATATCTGACAGAAATGCTGAAGGACATAACAATAAGGACATTCTCGTAGATCTAAAAGAGTACCGTTTCGGGCCACATCATGGATTTCTGTTGACTTGTCGTAACAACTTAGGCAAAATCCATATTATAAAAACATAATTTCAACTTGTTTCAACGACAAAAGTAAAGAACTGAGCAGGAAATTGAGTTACAAGCCAATCTACGTGATTTTGGTACTGGAAATTCAAATGAAATTGACCTATTCTTAGCTGCAGTTACTTTAGAAACTTTAAATTTCGCTAACGAAGGAAATACTGTTCGGGGGTCTGTAATTCAGGAACAGGGATAATTTAACAAAATTCTAGTTCTATTGAGGTATTCAATGTTTAGCATATATTTGATGAGTTTATGTTAAGCTTACACGGAGGCACATCAAAGTTAGTATTACAAGCATCAGCAGCTTAGCCTGATCTCCTACTGACCTTTTTCGAGTGCCTGGTCAAGCTAGAATTCACTGTGCTAGATGATGTTGTACTGGACGACCTTGAGTTGCCCCGTCTCGCTTCATCGTCACTGTCATTGACATCATCAACTGAGCTTGCAGTTATTAATTTTTGATGTCGAGTGTCCTGCAGTTCCCCTGATGCATTTCGATTGATACCGTGTCGTCTCAATGAAGGGTTACTTGAAGAACGAGGCAGATTGACACGATGCGATTGTATCCGGCCTTCAGATGTTTTGATTGACGATGTATCAGAAGATACGGAGCCTATGCTACGATTAGCGTGCGTAACTCTTTCAATAGATTCTACCGAGTCACGCATATGCAGGGACACGTCTTCGTCACTCACAGTGAACTTCGGGGACTCGAAACGATCATGGGCCTTTGTGTCTCCCATAGCTGTAATATCACTGGTAGAGCCTGCTTTTTTTGAATTAGAAAACGGTGCATCAGTTTTTTCTAGGAACACATCCACTAACGATTGACTGCCGCCATTTGATACGACCATTCTCTCTTTTTGCAGCTTTTCAGCTTCATTTTTGTTCAGATCTCTACTTGCACTTTTAGTCTGCCTCAAAGAATAATCGCCTTCTTCAAAATATGCAATATCCGTTTCAAATGTCATTACACTAATGTCATCTTTGTTACTATCATCAGAATCTTCAACTGCTAATTCGCCTTCATCAATTATATCTGTAAACTGGATACCTTCGTTAATTACAGAAAGCCGCTTCTGCGGAGCATTTCCTTTTCCAGATAAAGTGATAGATCTGCTCAAACCACTTTGATCTCCCGCCACTGAACTGACGTCATCTCTTGTCACATCAGGCTTGTCCTGATTGTTTATTGACTCTAAAATTACAAAAAACAGAGTAAGTGAAACTGCAAACAACGCCTGAAGTTAACATTCAAAGATATTAGTGCCTGAGGTATGCTGAAAAATGAAAATCTTTAAATGTTAGAAAGCAAAAATGGCAAATTCGAGAAGCAGGGTACATTTATGCTACAAATTGTATCGAATATCGAACAGAAGAAAATATCAAGGTATCTGACTATTTGACCATTTTAGTTTTGTAGGCGACATTAAATCACGAAAATTACAACACTACACTCTTTTTTTCATAAGAACCAGTAAATTTAAGTTCAGGCTGACAATTCTTAGCAGTGCTATTGCTAGCTTTTTCGCTCTAAGGAGGTGTTCAGGCCTCATTTGCCAACAAAGTGAGTGAGACAGCCTTAATTTGCTGACAAATTTGAATATTCACCGAAAAAGCACCCACACATCGCTAAAAATCCTCGATTTTGAGAAAAAACGTTGTTCAAAATTGCATTTTGAAGAAGCTCAGCCTCAGCTTGTTCTTAATTTGTTCTTAACTTTTAACCAGTTTTGAGGCTCGTGCTCTTACAAAATTGTTCTTATAAAAAAAAGAGTGTACTGTAGCTAATAGCGTTATAGTACATACACAGATAAAATATCGGTCCATAAAAAATTCGTCAATAATTACCAGCTATCAAAATAATCACTTTGACATCGAATGACATCAAAACTTATATCGGTACGATGAAAATTATATCAGTACAATTATAATCGCAAGAAGAAAATACCTAGAGTAAGCAGTTCTTTCTCAATTTCAGGTGCCAGCTTCTTGTTCTTTATGATTATCTTGTACAGAAGCTGATTTGGTGGCGGCAATGGCATATTCTCTTCAAGCTAAAAAGCAACCCAGACATCATTACTTTAAAAAGGATCAACTAAGAAAAAATATTCGTATAAGTTTACCAAAGATACAGTTTTGTTGTAAAAGCTACCGAAAATGGGACTCAGTTTAGTAAAGTGGATGCTATAGCACAAGTCTCGATGGCAATGGAATTTTCCCCGTGGCACAGTTTTCTAGAAAAAGGTATTATCCTTTTTCTATACAAATATAAAACTATACGTAGCAGGAAAATTATCGCCCTTCTTGCTGTGCGATAAATTGGGATGAAATGCAAATACTGATGCATATGATCTGTGACCCTACGAATCAAAACTCTGCTCGTATGTTATTCAAAAAGGCACGTGACAGGATATTACTAAAACGCTTAAGAATTAAACACGCTTGAAAAATACTGCTTATAACAAAAAAGAACATTCAGAGGAATTTAACTATATGTTTAAGGAAAAAATATTTTCGGGAGTACCAAACAGTTGTACTTATACAAGAAGGAATGAAATTTGATATTTCAACTTTAATTATTACAAAAACTTTTCCTGGAATTCAAATGCTGTTGTAAACACCCTTTTATTTAACATAAAGTCACTTCCTTGAAGAGAAAAAGTAAACGATAGCTTAAGCTAAAATTAACAAAAAACAAACTAGTTTAGAATAGATAAAGAGCACAAACCTGTCGAAGTTGATTGTCTTCTGACATTTTTTGCGCATAGGATATTTTGATTTTAATACCGGATAGAGCGTACGGGTAAGTATTTATATCATAAATAGGACTAAGTAACTTGAACACCTTCGTTGACACTTACCGGCCAAGCATCAAGAGGCTTATCCAATAACATTTCTCCAAAAATCTCTATGCAATACTCTGCAAGTTTCCGCTGTTGCAAAAGACTGTAAAAAGAATATCGGCATTGAGAGTCATGATATTTTACCCAGGGATGCCGGAACGACCAAGGGGCAAGGGGGCGGGCTTGAGTAAAAGGGCATTTGAAAAATTAATTCCCAGTTACCAACAATTCTTTCGTAACAGTCATTTTCTTTCGAACTTATGTCGGTATCTCAAAAATCGGCTGAATTTTGGCATAAGAAATTTTTTTCATAAGTTTCGAGAAATGTCATCATAATCGTGATTTTATATGAATCTCGTGGATTTCCTACAAAAGGCCGGCGTCAAGGGCACTTCTATGAAAAAAGCACTTAAGCTCACCTTGCCTCTCTTCTATCAAAAGGCAACAGGGGCGTTTGACCCCCCGCGTCCCTATCTCCGGCGTCCCTGATTGTACCTTTCTTGAATTTATAAAGCTGGTCAAGGTTTCAAGACCATACGGTAGCATTCGTTTGAGACTTTCTGATGATCTCGATTAGAACCGTATAATATTTTGCATCAGCATTCCATTTATCGTGTAAAACATCTATTAATTTATTCAAAAAAGTCTTGCTGCAAGATGCTGCTTCAGTGAGACGATGCAACTTACGAATCGAAAGGTGAATAAGAAAATCGTTATGGCATCTCGGGGGCTTTACCAATTAAATATCTGCGGGGGGGGCTTTTACGCTGGATCTTTATTTATCTTGATTTCAATTATTCAAATTTAAGTTCAAGTTTTTTACGATTGCATTTTTATTTCAATGTGTCATATTTCAGTCCTACCTCGAAACCGTATGTATGAATGCAAGCTACTATGAATGACTCGATCGTAAATGAAAGTATTTTCATGTATAAAAATCTTTGTTAAACTATTGGCTTTAAACCTTGAATGTCTATTTGAAAGGATATAATGATCATCTTAAAGCAATTTGAACAGTTGATAAATATATGTTAAGATGACTGATCTTTAGTCCTTAAGGCTAATCTTATGTTACATGCCTGTGCTACAAAGAGGTTACTTCAACGAGCATATAAGGGAAAATCATATTTTATTGATGACAAGAAGACATATAGCTGCTATTATAGACGGATGGCTTGATAAAAAAGAGATCGAAGTAAGGTAGTTTTTAGGTTTTTGTGATATTGGTGTTGTTGTTTCTTTGTCAATTGTGCGTTGCGTGAATATAAAATAGAGTTTTAAAATTGAATAAAAATCAGGGTACAACATTGCAATATTTTTTAACTTTCTTTGAAACCAGCAATACCTGTAATACTCTGAATCCAGAAATGAGAAGAATACAATCTTACAATAATCCAGCTATTGGCTTAGGCTAAGGCTGAATTTAGTTGATAGAATAACAATGAGACGAGAAATTCCAAAAGACATATTGAGATGACAAGAGAATTCATAACTGCTTGAGAACAATGACAATGATAAGTACAAATGACGTCATCAAAACTAGTTTTTTGTAGGTTGAAGGACATACCTGCAGTGGTTTTCGAATGACAGAATTAATGGCAACGGAGTAGCAACAAACGCCGTCTCTTTTATCGCTACAATGACATCCTAGAACAACATTTTTACCTCAATAAATCTGATTTGCAACAGAATGTAAGGATATCATGAAAATGCGGAAAAATTTTGCCTGACTGCTAGAAAATGTCGCCCAATAACGGAACAAAGACGCCTTGACTCAGTGAACATTTAGATCATTTTCTTATGACCGAGAGAAAAGTCATTGAAAACAACAGAATTTCACCAGTTATATCCAAAGCTTTGTTCAAATTGTTAGAAAGGTTCAAATGATTCACTTAGTTAATTGCAATGCTATATTGCAGTATTTTTCAACACTCTCGACCTAAATTAAACGTCAATCATGTTTTCTACACTTTCGTTTATTTCTCAACAACACATAAATCAACCTGAACATGGATGAGCGAGGTATTTCACCTGGGGGCAAACATTATGATGGTTGGTATCCTGATGAGGCTGGGTTGGGTGCCCTGACCCAACATGGAAGTTATCAATATCTATGTACCATTTTTTATGGTTCAAGGGCCACTAAAAACGGCTTTGAAAAAAGTAAACATTCTGAGTCACAGTAATAGCTTTAGCATGACTCAAAATGTAATAACTTTTTTCAAAGCCATCAATAACATTAGACATAAACAAAACTAAACGGCAATAAAAATTTCTCACCTTAAAAAGTATATTTGAACAAAGAGCTCTTCCGTGTGTAATAATCGGCTCGTCATTTAGGCCGTCCCAGCAATCTAGTTCTATACACCTACAAAAAATAACCGGCTTGCTCAGAAACAACCAAAACATACAAAGGCAATTTAAAGACATTGTCTTAGGTATTCTAAAAAAATCCTAAGGCTATAAAAGTTATGATGAGATAATCACGTTCACATAAAAATTTGTATGACACAAAAACTTATTTCTACAAATTTCTTAAAAGCTATTTATCTAGCATTTTGATTTGTGAAGAGGTAGCCCCATAAATGCCAGCAGATTTCTTACAAACTTTTATTTTCTCACTCGGCAAAGTAGATAATTGAAAACATTCAACGAATCCCAATTTCAGGACACTTCTATTACTTCTATTACTCAGGACCCTTTTAAATGAGTAGAATTGGATCTCTTTATTCTGCTGACAGTTTTGTACACCTTACGTCAGCATATTGAGCATGTCTCTAGCAACAACTGTGTGAAACAGTTCTAATTTACTACTCTGATTTCGCACTTAATGCGACCATCAGATAACTACCTTAATTGATGGGACTGACGGATGCTATTGGACAATCTATACATCTTGATTACAGTTGAATTCCGTCGGACCTCAAAAGGGTGCAAGGAAATGGCCTGTCTAGGGAACGTCCGACATATCCGGGGTACCACTTTTGACTTGAATAATGTGGAAAAAGCAAAACTAGTCCAACTTTGTGAACGTTTGAGCTATTCTGAGTACGACTTAACGGGATTAAACTGTATTTAGAAATTTGGATAACCTATCGACTAGCAATATCTCTCAGAAGCTCAACAAAGAACTTAATACTGCCATCAGCAACTAGACAAATAGACCAACGTGGAGTTCTGTTTCTAGAAACAAAAGCGGTAACCTACACCCTAGATACATCTTGAGAACTCGAGAAAAAGCTTTCACTATTCGGGTCAAAAGGCTTTGAACGAAATCTCTACAACCATTAAGGAGCTCTCTACTTTGAAAAAAATTAAAAACACCTCGATATACATTTGTGGAACTCAAGCACGACTCCCTGGAAGGTCAGCCCCACCCTAAGGTTATGAATTTTTATGTATATTTCTTTTGTATGATTGAAATTTAGTTTTTGCTGATGGGATTTCGTGTATAAATAATATATAATTGTTTTCAAACATCTCATTTTTATTGAATATATTTTAAATTCACACTTATACGACTCGCTTTTACAGACATCAAATAATTGGCTTATCTGCATAACTATTGCTAACAATATCTAGAAGACAATCAGTTCGGGACTTAGCCATGGTTTGTTTCGACGACAGAAGATATAGTGAAGCAGCGGATAGAAATGTTCATGAGTTTCATCAAGATGAATTTAGTTTGATTTTGAAATCAACCCATCTAACGTCATCCTTTCTATAAAAAACTCAGTCACCTATGATTATTTTCAGATCAATTATGGAGTATCAGACGACGTAATTAATACAAATCATTAATAATAATAATGATAATAATAACAATAATAAATAATAATAATAATAATAAATAATAATAATAATAAATAATAATAATAATACTCCTATTTAAGTAGCCTTGCGCCTTTGTTCAGCATACTGCAAATCTTACAAGTCATCTTCAAATCCCTAACTAACATACCTGCAGCCAGCAAGTAAACTCTGCCTGTACATCTCAACGGAAGACTTTCCACCGAATTGTCTACCTAAAAATTCGTACTATAATTAAACATAAGAATAATATTCCTTTGACAATAAATGATAGGATAAGAAGGGCTTAGTTTGGGTTTTATTATCAAAATCGCAACTTTTTAAGCATTAAATCATCGAACTAGATGGTGAGATAAAAATGGTTCGTAGCATCAATCATTTAATATTTTGCACAACTGAAAAAAAGGTTTATGATGCATGGTTTTTGTTGCTCTGTCTGTTGATGTTGTGGTGATACTAAAATGCAAATATTGAACAAATCGTGCCGCAAGAAGCGTCACAAGCATCGTCACAAGCAGTGCTAACGATGCATCTGCTGCTAACGCAATTCAGTGGCTGGATGATGGTGTGCGTCGCAGATCAACAGCAAGTAACTTGACGCATTTTTCGTATTGTTAGTCTAGTCGCCACCAGCATCCAATACACCAACTCTCGTGCATAAAGTGGTTTTCTTCTTAAATCGTTAGAGCAATATTTGCTAAAGTTAAATATGTACTTACCTATTAAGTACGTGTTATGCGATGAATAAATAAAGTAATGCGAAAGCGGATGATTGAGGTCATGTTCTTCGGAGAGATAAGACTTTTTGAGAATCAGATTGTCGCTACTCATAAGAAATCGGGCAAGGCCATCAAAGCCCATTCGATCTAAAAGAAAACATAGCAATGAAGGTTTTGTAGTTCGTAGAAAGAGTACTGCGCCACACAAAAGTTAGTTATGTTGTAGATTTGCATCTCAAGACAGTCAATTCTGATGATTAACACAGATTGCCAGCGTTAATGCCTGATTTGCGCTCAGATTCATAAGGTCAGGCCATGGCAGGAACTGTAGAACAAAACAGTTTAAAGTTCTGACATAAAGTTTAACCCCCAATACAAAAATCAAATCGAGGGGGAATTCATTCTTGTAAATAGCGTACGAGATTTCCAAGAAAACAAAAGGATTTCCAGGGATTTCCAGACAAAACAATAAATACGGGATTTTCATAGAGTGCATAACCTCTCGAATCAGATAGCCTAACTCTTGGTTTTATAGTGACATTTCTTTGTCTCGTTATATAACGAGTAGCGCACACTTGATTAAAAAGTCATGGTAAATATGAAAGTCTGCATGGCCAAACGTTAAAATGCATTGCAGGGAACAACTTGACAACTAAAGTGTGAGCATTAGAATTCAAACTTCAAGTATCCATTCATGCACTTATTCAAAACATAATCAAGCTAAAATCTTAGGCTACGAGGTGTGTCTGTAAGTTACTTCAAGTGAGAATAACCTACTTCCATTGTGATATAGTGTCAAAGGAATAAGTAAGGGAGGTGAAAGGGGGCTGTATATCAACAATACCTTCCTAATTCAGTGTTGAAATTCGGTCAGCCTATGAAATTCTTAATATAATTTCCATGTCTTCATGGTGGCAAAGGAAAAGGACATAATTGTTAGGCAACCATCGTGAAAGCTGTAAGGACACTCGGTTAATACCCAAATTGATGTCGCGAGCAGCCTGGAAGAACGTAGGCGAATTACATTACTCACTAGTTTGAGATAGTTCCGGTGAGGGTTCATATTTGATTACCAATTTTGATGCTTTATCGTGGCAATAAAATGGGAAAAGTATTTCATTGAGTCGTGGGTCCCGTTGTTCTTCGTTCAGAAATTTGACCAGCTGCTTCAGTTTTAGGAATGGTGCTCGTCCTCCACACCTGCCGATAAAAATCAGGATAGAAATGACCGATGAGCAAGTACCTGTTCATTAAGAGGGCAGTCACATCCTAAAGGCCTCGCCGTCACCCCTCTAACCATTTGATTTATCTGCGATTCGTGGGAAAGACTTTTTTCAAATTTTTCAGATCGTGAAAGATAGTCATCAACTGGCAACATGAACTGGATTAAGATGATCGGAAACACAGAATAGTTTATATCCACTTCCAGCTTTCTATTCATTCAATAACAACTAATGATAGACAAGCCAAAGAAATAGAAAAACGTTCAAAAACCTATAGATATATTGCAACCGATTTGGATGCGTTGTGGTATGCTTTGTCCATTCCTACTTCACAAAAAAACTAAACTACCACAGTGTGTGATAACAATATTTGCCACTCAATTTTATTGGAAATTCCCTTGCAGGCAAATTGCGTCTATCAACTGGCAACTGAAGTTAAAAAAGAAATGTTACTTTTTTGAAGATAAAGGCTCCTGTTCACTCACATTTTTGTGAAAATTTGGTCAAGATCTTGCCTTGGACACAGAAAGGTGTACAATTTGTTGAAATGGTCTAATGTGAACTCCACTGGCTCAACTTCGTCATTTTTAAGATGTGGTAACTGAAGAGTTTGCATTCCATCATAAAATCTTTGCTCGAATCTTGTAGCGTTCAAACATTTGCAAATGCTGCCAAAACAAAATGACGATAATGTAATTACAAATTTAAAATACATTTCTGTCAAGAATCTCCTTCAGCGAGTCTTACAAAATGCAAATTTCATAAAAACCTGGTAATTATTTTTTGGCATCTACTGTGATTGATAAACTAAATCTACGCTATATTGGGAAGTGACAAATTGCTAAAATTCTGTGAGATGGTTATTAGCCTTTAAAGACGTCACATTATTTTGATTAGATTCAGATGCGCATAAAAAATGGAATCATCAAGGCACTATTTAGGCACACTCTGAGTTCACCGCAGCAGTCACTGAGGATAATAACGCTTTCTATTAATTAAGGATGGAGAGCACTATGATAGGTTATTTCAAAATGAACGTTCTTCGGCAAAATATTGCTTTACTACAGATCTTGCTCGTTTATTTAGAAGTACTTAGTTGAAAAGGTTAAATGTAGATTTGTCTGGCTAATAGAAATAGCTGATTCCTACAATAAGTAAATAGTTGTATAAGAGAAAAGATTTGTCTTGATCAGTGTCGACTTGAAACAAGGTTACTTAAATACTACATTGCATGAATCAGGGGATTTCAATTCATGCCAAGATATTTAGACAGGACAAGTTTCAATTTGACACAAGATTGTTTTAATGTACAGTGGATTTTAAAGATGAAATCCTGCCAATTCCTTTGCCTAATTGCATATTGTTCCACTTTTTGAATAGAAACGAGTATCAACAAAGGACCAAAATCTTCAAACACAGGGCATTTCAAAATATATTCAATTACGTCAGGCTTTTCAGCACAATAGGACTCTACTGACGCAAAAAGACATCTTCAAAAGAAGCTGAAATGGTATGCAGCCACGTTTCCTGAGACTAGGGCTTGCAGGCGATTCATAACTAACTCACTTTTTGATTGGAATTTTTCCTGATGAATTCTGCATAGAGCATACTTTGGCATACCTATAAAATTTAAAAAAAGCTTATAAAAAATAATATTTAGTGAGAAAATATTGAGTTATGGAAAGGAAAGATTTAAATCAATAACCTGTACCAGGCAACAGCATCTCTGTGCTGAACTGTTCAAAACTATTGAAGAATCTTGTCAAAAACTAAATGGTCATTAACTGGAAATAGTACCTTCTGTTTTGTAATATAGAAAAAAACAACTTACTGCTTGGATAGTAACGTGGTAACACTCGGGTTGCGAAACCTCCTACTTGCAATCAATATATTTATTGCTTTAACCCATTCCTGAAAATAAAAAAAACCTTTGAATTCTAATGTTCAAAATTAATACTTACTTGATGTACTTAATGTACTAAGCATTTAAGAAATAAGGGTCTATTAGGCTCTTAAACATAGCTATTATGTAAAACTTTCTGGAAAATTGAAACTGTTGCACGGAATGACAACCCAAAGAAGAAAAAGAGTTTCTCTGCACGGGCGGTGCTACGGGGACAGTTGGGGGACGTGACAACTCCCAAGAGTTATGAATCGGTTCTTTACTCGGCAGATTCGGCATTTCTGGTGCTTACTCGCAAACTTGATGGTGGCATAAAACGCATAAAACACGACACGCATAAAAAGTGTTGTGTGCTTGTTCATTGCTCGTGTTCCAATTATCTGCACGCTTTTGTGATGTCAGAAAACGTTTTTTAAAGGAAAAGCATATCCCCAATACCCTTTTTTACGACTAGTCTTGCGCGCCTGTGTAATTTACTATTTCAACGCTGAAATTATTATGTTATCAAACGAAAATATATTAGCCAATGCTTAATTTTTTAATTTCATGATGCTTTAGACTACCATCATTAAGATATTAATCAGAATGGTACTTTAAGGTTAGGGATAAACGGAGGGTTTTAAAAAACGAGCTGACCTTTAAATAAATGAAAATTTTTTATTTACACTAACAGTCGGAAAATTGTTGAAGAATCACAAAGAGAATAGTTAGTAAACGGGGGAGAAAGACCCTTCCAGTTTCGATATGGCAGAGTATGCCTTCATTTATTTAATTAGAAAATCTCGTACTTGGCAACCTGGCACTTGACACCCCCTACGAAATTTTTCTAGCACTGCCCCTGTTTATTTGTGGGAGCCTTGCCCTCTTTGCTAAGAAAAATGATAAAAAATATATACCCAATTGCAGATCGTAATATACAATAAAAAAAATGCAAGCACATGACCAGTATCGTTATTCAATCAAGTTTGGACCAAAAATTTGGTTCGCAAAAGTGCCCAGTTTATCTTAAACTACCATGGATTGGTAATACTTGCTGACAATTCAAAAGTCAGATTAAAAACTTTTGTGGCAAAGCTACTAATAGTATATAAAAAAGTGAAATTATTCACCTTGGCAATATGGACTGACCAAGAGCATATACGAAGGAAGTTCACATCTACAAGACTGCTTCCATACACAATTGAAAATGACCTATCCGAAAGAGGCTCCTTACTGAAACTCTCTAATGTCTCACGAACCTTTTCCTGCAAAACGTTTTACTCCAGTCAGTGGTTGGGCTAGCTGGCACATTTTTACAAACTGATTGATTTCTCATACAACAATACAAGACACAACAAAGAATAAAAAGCATCATCATTTAAGTTTCAATTTGCAGTGAGGAATTTCTTATACTTTCATGAAATACTAAGCATCAAATCTTACAAAACTGTTTGATATCTAGTCTATTTTCAAGATTTCAGATGAATAATTTTATTGTCTTTCATCTACAAATCAGGGACTGCTCATCATTACTCAGGTTAACTGCCAGTTGATCAAATTTTTACTAGAATTGTCCACTCCTGTTGCCAGAGTTCCGTTCTTGGAGACCAGAGGCCATTTACCAGAGACCACTGAAAAAGCTGCTTGTCTCCCACCAGGGGGTCACCACTTTACAGTAATTGTCTGCCACTGCTAATCTAGATGTTGATTTCAAACATGAATCATACAATATCTAGATCATCATTCTGTCCCTGCCAGAGCAATACCCATGTTGGCTTTACTGACTATTTATCTTCAAATATATATAGGAAAATTAAAACAGACAGCTAAATTGTGCCTCTTATTAATCATTAATTATCATTCCTCTGATAACTAGGTATCAATATCCAAGTAAAATGCAGACTGCTAAGAGTAAAAACCCATAACATGCTACTAAGTCACAAATTTTTACAAACATATTTAGACGGTTATGAATCATTTTCTATGCCACAAAATTACTTGTTTCTCCAGTCACTCACATTTTGCCAGTCACTCTTGTATTGTGGTTATCTGCATACTCAATGTTTCTGCACTACTACATTAAAACAGGAAACCAAGATATTTGTTACAAAGATAAATGCATGGTTAAAAACTAAACAAATGTCACCTTTGGGAAGCAAAACCTGACATCACTGATTTGTGATAAATCAATGCTTATAATTTCCTGAAAAAATAAAGACATAAAACTTACAAAAAAATCACCAATCATTTATTTTGATTTGCAAAGATTGGCAAAGAACAATTCTTATGTCTAACTGTTAAGTAAAACGAAATTGGATTGCTATTCAATAATTGTATTGAAGAACAATTTTCTTCCAATTATCTTGCAAATAATTTTACATATATAACTTTCTCAGATACTTAAGTCCTTATATCAACATGTTCTTGGTTACTACAAGTTTTGAGTGGAGCAGAGACAAGGAGAAAAATGAAATGGACACCAAAATGAATTCCAGTAGTCATATTTATGCAATTTGTTTTGAAATTTTGAAGCTTGCAGTGAATAGAAGACATATAGGCAAACAAAATAATTAGGCTCCCAGACAAAGTTAAATCAACCTTCTCTGCAACTAATATTATCAGATTTGTAATGAAAATAAAAAAAGATTATTTCACTTTGGTGCAGTGAGGGGGGACCAAAAGAGGAGAAAATCTCTTTGAAAAAGGGCATTTTCTGGCATCCAAAAGGGTGTGGACCCTCAACTTTCCCTGGCTCAACTTGTCTTTGTCCCCAATCTAAACACCCTGACCATGCTTCTGTAGACAAGTATGTAAAGATTTATGATTTATACTGAAAAAATACTTCTTAATAGTAATACAATAATAAGAATTGGTACAATAAACTAACCTTTTCCAAGTCTGATGTATAGGACAAGAAAAATCCATATTGATCAACTTGAATAATGATCTCATGGACAGATGGCGGTTCCTAAAATTTAAACATCTAGCTGAATAATTCAATATTAAAATTCAAAACTCCAAAACTTTGTAAAATTGAACAACATATTTTCAGTTTTCTGAAAAGTTTGCATATTTTCCTTCACAGTCTTTTAAAGACATTAAAAATATGGAGGTCTTGTTATCACAAAAAGTATAAAAATTTCATATCAAAATAATTTGTGGAAACAATTTAAAGATCAACACAAACGCAAATTGATATTTTTCATCTAATAGAAAATAAAATAAGTTGGTCTTCTTTAGAAACTTCAAGCATGATATGATGCACTCTCTCAATCGCAAGAACAAACATGTCAATTTTTAACTTTCATCACACAAAAGCACTGTCTTGAAAGCAAACTATATGTACATTAAATGTTTTTGGTTCGCAGATTTTAATATTTTGTGCACATTAGATAAAAGTCATAGCATAAATGTGTTTTCAATTGTTTTACTTATATTATATATAATTGTTTTTATTGCAGATTTTGCTTATCAAGTGTATTTGAACACAAAATGTGCAAACATTTGATTAAAATGAACAAAGTTTCCAGTCTGAATGCTGGACAGTGAGATATAGCTGGTGGCATGTAAAATCTTTTTATGCTACACAATAATCAAAGCAAAAATGCAAGTGCAAACAAAAAGTGCAACAGCTGTCAATTGTTTTCTTAAGAGCTTCAAAAAACAGCACTTAAAGCAAACTTCAATTTAAGAAATGAAAAGTTGGCAGGTTAACTTGAATCTTAAGATATACATGTTAGCTTTGATCAGTCTTTTTTGATCTTCCAAAGCCCCTTTTGCAATTTCCAAGCAAAGTTTTGAAGGGGAAAATGAAGTAAATTCAAACACCAGTCTGCTACTTTAAGTAAAATACGGGTCTGAATCAAACCTAGTGCAAATCAATTTTGGATTTTATCAAAACCATGATACATAAACACCAATATTAATTCCAGTCAGGTTGAAGACATATTTTGTTCACTCATTTTTTTTATAAGAAACTGGCTATAAGAAACGAGTACTGGACAGTCAGAAAAAGTTGAGAAACTTCAGTACTCGAAGCAAAAACATTAAGAAACTATTAAATAGTGATAAAACTGAGAACAACGAAATTTTGTAAAATCCAAGAACAAGATTGCCCTGTTGGCCTAGAACTTAAGACACAAGGGATAAAAATATACTCCCCACATCTAAATACATCATCGGAACGGAAACGAATCTCTCGACGTGATAAAAAAGGTCACGAATATTTCATAACATCATTCCATGACATCATAATTAAGAAAATCTCAAGAAACAATGAATATTGAAATTTCCAGAACATTAGGAAATTTGAGTACTCAACATTGACCTTTGTTTCTCATAAAAAAATGAGTGTATTGGCTGAAAGGAAACGAGATAAAAAAAGGGAATTGAACTGAGCTAGTCATTCGCTTCACTTAGCACTCATCTTGCCAGTGTTTACTTTACAATGAATTCAAGCGGAAATAAATACAGACTATGGAGTTTCCCGAAACAGGAAGGAGGATATGAATTTTATGGCCAAAATCTAGAATATACAACTGTTTAAACCTTGATCACAATATACACCATTAAAAAGATGTGAGGCCAAATAATTTAACTACGTTAAATCCCAGTGCGAGAAAGGGGCGGCAATCTCGGTAAACCTGAACCTCACAAGGATGCCATTTGACATTAACCCCTTTTCCTTCCGCAAATTGAACTAGCTCCGTTTTTGCATTGAAACAGTTGATAGGAACACAACCTATTCAAAAATTAAGCCCCGTAATGTGTCTTTATTATGTATGGAGTATGAGTTGAGAACTCGGTGGACGATAGTTTTGTCAATGTAAACTAAATCAAAGCCCGGAATGGCAAAGTTGTTTATCTTTTTGAGAATGGGCACGTGTTACCAAATTTGTTGGGCAATTTTGTTTGGGAAACATCAATAGATATATTCAAACAGTATTTGTAGTATTGAATTATTACTTATACAGCTGCTGATTTAATTCCCTAAAAAATTATCTTGTTTCGATTATATGTTGAGGGCAAGCTTCAATAATACAGGGCCTAACTAGAAGATCGGGTTGCACTTTCAACTGCAAGGAAGGAAACAGCTCAAAATAAAAGCAGAAAATCTACAGTCGTCTAGAAAAACATTTACAATACCTCCTCCCATTTGAGAAATACGGATTTGGTTTTGAGGCATTCGGGCACGTTGGCTTGAAAACTCAAAAGCTCTTCCTTCCATGTGCTCATTCCTGTGCAGGAGAGTGCAGCTCTTCCAAAAAGCAGTTCTTCGTCATCATTCAACCTCGAGACATGATGGGTGTCGAAGAAAGAAGAGCCCTGACGTCTTAGTTACAAGCAACATATTCATCTCCTTGCGGCATACATCTCCTTAAAGTAATTTCGTCCTATGTGGATTTCCAAATGTAATGCAAGATCATGACCAACTTTACACTAACCTAACTCCGAGTCATTTGAGCATATCTAAAAGTGTGAATTATGTCATGTGTTTCAAGGAGGTCGTATGAAAACCATCATAGAATAGAAAATACGTAACAAAACTGCACCACAGAATAGAAAATACGTATCAAAACTACACCACAGATATTTCCTATTTTGTGACTGCACTAATACAGCCTGGGGTAGGAAACAGTGAAATAATGGGAAGGAGTTTTTAGTAGATACACGAGGCTGCTTTTTATCACAGCCTTTCGAGATAAGAATGAAAAAAATAATTCAAAAAGAAACTGGATTGGCTACAAAATTCAATAACTACGAAATTTGTAGACCCGTTATACAGAGTCCAGTATATTTCTTGTGAAAAAACACAGTAACAATATTCGTAAGGCTGACAACCCTAGGGGGTAGGTAGGTAGGTAGCATCATTGAAAGGTGCTTATCACAGGGCCTCAGATGAAGGGGCGGGGGTCCACGCCCTCATCTTTTTTGCAAAACATTAAAAATAGAGCTTGTTTCAAAATCCCTTGTTATGGGTCTTAAATTTTTCCTTGCCCCCCCCCCCCTCCCTACACTTTCAAACCTGTGTCGGAGCCCATGCATTTGTTTATCAGCAGAAATATATTTTCATTATCATTACAGCCTGAAAAGAAGCCATTTTAGAATGAATTTGAAACGTGATTCAATGAACTGAGAAACCTATAAACTTTGTTTATTTTTGTTAGAAGGTATTTTTGAAGAAGAAAAATTCGTTTAGAGCAAAATCCTTGAGGTTCGTTTAATTCAAAAGGGCGGACAATCATGAACAGTACGACATTTTTATCTTTCAATATTTCCTTCTTAAACGGCTATTTTAAGAACAATCAGCCATATAAATAAAGGGTGCGATTTTGACACACGTAGGAGCGTTATGAAGGTGGGGAGAACATGGTGGCAATAGGGGGCACCCCTGTGCGTTGGCAATAGGCACTTTACTGCAAATACTTCACGTGCACGGGCAAAAAGGAGCATGTCCCCCGTGCCCTGCAGTCCCTGCGTGTAGCCTTTTTGTTGAAAATGTGAATAGGGGAGGGAGGAGGTAACGAAACAGCATAGAAAACCAGGGCACCAAACAGTGGTTTAAACAAGGTATTATTTTCCAGTGAATGTATAAACAGCGGTATAAACAAGGTATTGTTTCTAGGGAAGAAAAGGCGCGCTTCAAGCGATTGTTCACATTCGTTTACCTGTTGTCCACTGCCTTCTAGCTAAATGCTGGTACATTCAATTTTAGTTACAAAATACAGCCGTTATTTTTGCTGTTCTCCATTCATGAGCCGAGGCCCTAGAAAAACATTTTTGAATATTTTCAATTAGCAAAAGGCACTGATTGGGCTCGCATTTATGATCGGCCTAAAACATTCTCAAGTGATGACGTCATAAAATTAGAATCAAGTTACCTGGATGAGCACCATGAAACACCCTTTGATGTTAATTATGTTACGAACTGGCTGAGATATGGCTACAGGAGCACAGCCTTTTTTCCAATCAAAAATAAAAAATCGACTAGTAATTTGCTCAAAGTTTATAACTTTATGAACAGAGACAAAATAACAGTAATCTATTGGCAAACATCAAATCTTTCATTAGCCATATCTCTAGCCTGCGTGCAGACACGGAAATTTAAAAGTGGAGAGAAAGTAGAGTCTGCGCAACAGAGCCGCTTTTCTTGTTCGCTGACATCAACATTTTATTTTAAGCACTAAAACAACAACTCCATTAGCGTGCAATGTTTTTCTGTAATTCTAGTTGTTCAAAAGAACAAACAGACCTATTCTATAACTTGATACCATTCATTTATACTTCTGCTCGAAGGCGCCACTTTGAAAGCTAAAAAAACCAATTGAAATTCCCCCAACTAATCAAATTCGGTTCCTTGATTTTGAGGAACCTGTGAACAAGAAAATCGGGTCGGCTTCGCAGACTGTACTTTTTCTCCTATTTTCAATTTTGTCAACAGAGTCTGCACGCAGGCTACCATATATCATGCACTTTGTGGCATATTTAACTGATTTTGCATATTTAGTAGCTTTTGAAGGAGTTCTTCTTCATTACGTGGTCGAAATTTAAACATTTTAAAATTAGATCCACAATAGGGTTTATATGTTTTATAGCTTAAAAAGTCAATATTCTGTTTTTTTCAACTCTGAAGAGTGTCAGATAAATAGCCCAGATTTGTTTAAAATGCTTGGCCTTTTTAAAGCCATTTTTCAAATATTTAAAAGGAATTGAAGGGAATAAAAAAGTAGTTCAGAATAATTTGAGATTTGTGCCAATGGAGGTTAAGGAGAAAAACGAACTCCGTCTTTCTACACAACAATGATCACTCAGCAAAAGAAACGAATACTGAAATGAATACTGGCAATGAGAAAATATTAAGAAACTTCAGTACACAAAGCACAATAAACTACAATTGAATTTGACAGGAACCCCAGAACTCTCAAATTTAAGGAAATTCCATAAATATAATTGACTAGTTACCATGAAAATTTAGACACAGAAAGCGAAAATTCAATTTCCACAGAAGTGAATCGTTTGACAGAAATGTTTTATACAGCATTTGAAAACAATGTCTTACTGGCTGCAGCGTAGAAAACCCTCCCCAATAAGTTTCTTAGCGTTGAAAATTAAAATTAGGAACCGAATACTAAAATTAACGACGTCATATTTTAGAAACTCTTGAGAAATACTAAGTATTGAAATTTCCAAAAACCCTAAGAAACTGGAGCACTCAACTTCGACATTTGCTTTTGAGTATACATATTTTGTGTATTGAACGGAATAAATAGAAATCAAAAGGAGATTGCTGTTATAGTTGTGTTAGTGTTGAGACTGCGTGAGATTCGTGGGAATACCTAAATTCCATTGTTTAAATTCTGAGGTTAAATCATGTAATATCTTATTATACGAAAGGCGGGATCTAACAACATAAGATCTAAAAGCTAAAATATTCCTAGAAATGAGGAACTTCCAGCTAGTTTCATGTCATCGAGATCAGGGAGCATGACCTCTACTTTTCTAAACGTAGCAAAGCACAAATGTTTGAAAAACACTGCGGAATACAACCATTCACTTAACCATGACCTAAATATTTGTAAGGCAAAATGGCAAAAGACTAGTAGGGTTCCAAGGGAAGTTGTATTGGGTCTACGCCCTGTTATATGCTTTACAATGCCCTCCCGATTGACAAAGGCTGATGAATTCTCTTTTGGACCATTTCAAGTCATAAATTGTGACCTTCCAAGCAAGAAGCGTAGCAAAATATTGCTTCTAATGAATTAAAAGTCTTTTGCAGAAGTTTAAACCACTGTTTTAGGAGAAAGATTCAATCTTTCTGTGAAGTGTGTTCAGGTAAGAAAAATAAAGTTTTTTTCATTATCAGGAAAGAATTTCAAAATAACCATTAAACAGATCTCATTTTCACCTCATTATATAGGCAAGACATAGACCACAAAGTCAGGACTGTTAACCAAAAACAAGAAAGACCTTAAAAGTCTATACAAAGGAGATCCTGATACTTGGCCCCGAGAAAGTTTACTTGGTCAATTGTTTTGTTATGTGCTGCTAGAGTATCTGCGTGCAAAATTTCTAAAACACTATGATGTTATTTTTTACATGACTACTTCTAGCTTCGTAAGTTCTGAATTAATAAAGATAAGGCATAAGTGTGGCTATATGAAGTTAAACTGATAATCAATTTTATAGGTTCTTCCACCTTTTTCATAGTGATATTCGTCTTATCAGTAAATAGATAAAAGCATATGATAGCTTGGTACATCGTAGTAGAAAATTATGAGCAGCAAAGGCCCAAGAACGGTTCCTTGCAGGAGTCTCAAACGTCATGCTTGAGTTAAACCAACTTACGCGTAGGTACCTAATAAGGGTTTAATCGTCGAAGTAAAATTTGCATCGCTGATTATGAAGCACTGTTCGAGGTCTGATACACAATTTAAATGCATTTGTGAGTCACAAAGCATTTCTCGGCCAGTTTTGCTGCTATCAAGAGACTTCTGATTTTCTCAGGCAAGTTGTTAAGAGTTATTGATTCAAACATTTTTGTTGTTAAAGATAGTCATAGAAATGGCTTTACATCCCTTTTAGAAGTCCTGCTGAAAATAGACGACAGTAATATAAGGCTTCGTTGAATCCACCAGATGAAGTCGAAAAAATTGCCTCGAAATAATTTATTCAGTTAGAACATAAATAATTTATTTAATTAGGATAATAATCGCTTTCTGTTTTTCTTTTATTCATTTTGGAATTTCATCAATTTACTGTGATGTTATTTCATCAAAGACGATTTATCATTTTGGCATCATCTTCTTGAAACCACCATTCACCTTGCGAAAGCATAAAATGAGTTCCTAAATTGTACCTGCATAACTAAACCAGCATTAGCTAACTTTTGACCCCTGTTCAGTTTACTTTTGATACGTAAACAATAAACTCGTAACCAAGTCTGAAAACTGAAAAATTACAATGACTGATCACCACAGATGGCATTCTTTTGTCATGCGATGCTTCCCGTAACCCCAAAAGAAGGTAGGCCGTATGAAAGATTTCAGCATCGACTGTAATATTCAAAATATCAGTAGTTACTCACAACAAACCTAATCATTAATCTAGATTATCGATAAGGCCATTTGACAAGAGAGATAATCATCAAGTAACATCTTTAGTAAAATAATAGTCCATAAGATCTAGGATCAAACAGCAAAGTTCTGCTGCCCAACCTTTTCCTCAGTATCAAACTGAATAGATCTTAGCTGCAAGCCTAACATATTTGGTTGTCGTATTGTTCATGCGCTTTCATATTTACCAGTTACAAAAACAACAATAGGCAGCTGGTTGTTTTGAGTTTAGAAAAACGCTGGAATTTGGCCCTGTTGCTTCAGTTTGACATAAAAGACACCCTGATAGGTGTGACGAAGAAAGGTAGGCCTTGCGGTTTAAGAGTTGAGCATGCAGATGTAGCGAAGTTACTAAGGAAATCCTTTTATATTCATTGAGTTTTTCTACGACACACTTTGAGACGAAATGCAAGTGAATTGGGGAATTCTCGGTGCTGGCAACATTGCTCATGACTTTTCTGTTGCGTTGAGGACGCTTCCAGTGACTGAACACCAAATACAGGCCATTGGGTCTAGATCGCTTGAACGCGCAGCGGCGTTTGCAAAAACACACAAAATCAAACAGTTCTATGGCTCGTACGATGAAGTTTTCAATGATGCAGAAGTCGATGTTGTGTATGTTGCAACAGTTAATAACACACACAATTCATTGATACTGCAAGCACTGGAAAATGGAAAACATGTGCTGTGTGAGAAGCCTATTGGAGTCAACGCCGAAGAAATTAGTGCTATCTTCCAGCTGGCTCAAGAAAAGAGACTGTTTGTAATGGAGGTGGGCATTTTAACACTACAATATAAACATGAATATTTGATCTTTAGTTAGCCAGAATTGGGCGAAGAGTCGTTAGGAAATGGCGATCAACTGCAACTGGCCTATAAATCACCCCAGTTATTGCTTAGAAAAGGTGTTTTCTGTTTAGGGAAGCGTTACAGTCATTCAAGCTCTACGTAGGGCGGGGAACTGAAACACCAGTTTCAAAAATGAAATTGGCTACCTGTGGTGAAGTCGCATAATGTTGCTTCGTGAACACAATACGAAAAATCCAATGCATCAACTGAATTGAAACACCATATGGCATTTTAAAATGTACTTTCTTCATCTCAATTTTAAATAATCAACTCAAAGGGTGAAGTTGCATAGAACACTAGACACAAAGTACATGACCAAAAAAAGGGTCCTCAAAATCGACATTTTTTTAAAATAACTCATCGATCTTTTTTGCCAAGTCAGGTTCTGTTTAAATAATCTTCAGTCCTTTTATCTTTTCAAGCTCAGTGTTCCTTTCCATTCTATAGAAATCTTGTCCATAAGATGTGGAACCTTCAAACACTTGACTAAGCACAGCACTCGAAGCTGCAAATGGGTCCCCTTTAGATTCTCCACTCATCAAGTATCAAACATTATTTCGTGCATAAAATTTCCATAACCAAATCTATACAGATATGATTCTAAAAACTCTGTAAATCGCAGACGTAAATCTTTAAAAACGTAAATTAAAATATTTATTTTTTAAAAACAGGGACTTTGGAGCATGTTTGTTCCTTCCTGGCTTGAAACCCTTCTACAAATAAAGAATGGAGCCATTGGCAGACCGAGATTTATGAACTTCATGCATGCAAGAAAAATGTATCAAAAAAGGGAGAAATTTTATTCCAAAGAATTGGCAGGGGGGATGCTGAGCAGCCTTGGTGAATATCCGCTCGCTTTTGCTTACTGGGTTTTCAATAAAGAAGAACCAGTAAATATTGTCGCGTCCGGGTACAACTTTGGCACGGGGGTCGATAAGACCCATTCGGTGACCATGTCATACAGGAATGGAGAGACACTCACCTCATTCATCTCCTGCGGTAGGCACAGCTTTCCATTGCTCTTACATTTTTCTTTCGTTGCTATCCACTCATCTGTTGTTATCCACTATAGAATACAATGAGCCATTAGCAAAAGTAATAACTATTAATTTATAACATATAACATTTAATAAATAATAAATTTATAACACATAATAAATAACAAACCGCTTCAATGTAATAACTATTAATTTTCATTCATATAGATTCTGGCAATCTGAAATAAGCTGAAAAACATATTTTGTATCTACTTTTTTTTAAATATGGGTGAGACTGTCATTGAAAATGAACGCTTCTACTTGGATCTGACGTTGTATGGTTCAAGTCAGTAGGGCAGTAAATGAAAAGGAAAACATTGTCTAACTTTAGGGAAATGCAAGGAGACCCTTACTGCACATGTGACCAGACCCTGTGTTTGAACCAGATCCTTGATAAAATGTACCTTGATGTGTGAAAAGGATTTGTAAAAAGAAGAAGGGGTCTAATTAGATGATTTTTAGTCTACATTTGTTGAATACTTTATATATAGAAACAGCTTATTTCTTTGGTCATCTTATCTAGCCTTCCACAATTTCTTTTCGCAGATTTCGATGGCTTGGAAAATGCTGAAATAATTGGAGACAAAGGCAAAATAAAACTAAACTACCCTTTCTGGTGTCCAACTACAGTGACCACATCGAATTCGGTTCTCTCATTTGAAATGCCGCATGGGGATATGCAAACAAATTTCACCAATTCAGCTGCACTGAGGTTTGTGAAATTCTCAACCAATCGAATAATCTGAAATAAGCTTAAAAACATAATATCTACTTCTTTATGATCTTTATGATCATAAGATCTTATTTTACAAAAAGAATGATTTATAAGAAGCATGACTCGAAGAGCAAGGAATCGCACACATACAGCAGATATTCCGCAGGGAAGCAAATAGCTTTTCTAATTTGAAAGATCTCGAAATGTCAGGCAGTCGAATAAACAGACTATGACTGTCTCATTGTGCGTGACAAAGGAGTGAGTTTACTATTAGTGGTGATGAGCTTTTTGTTAGCTGACAACACATAATCCCTTTTAACAACTGACCAAGAATTTTCAAATGTCATTTTATGCGAGTACTGCGTAAAGGTCTGTTAATTCTAGTAACAGATGTGCGCTTTGCGATGGGATGAGAAATGGCCAATATTAATGGGGTTTGAATTTCTTGCAGTTACGAGGCAAGACATGTTCGACATTGCTTGATGTCTGGCTGGTTGGAAAGCAATGTGGTGACACACAAAGCATCCATTACTATCGCAAGGTGGACGGACGAAATTAAGCATCAACTGAACGTCATGAATGAGCTGGACGATGTTAACAGATAATACTAATTTCTACATGCCACAATAGATGTATAGTAAGATAAAATTAGCAGTAAAATGTAAAGTGTTTTTAGTAGCGATTATCTTTTATATTTAAAACAACGTTTCCTTTTCTTTCGTGTTTTATCGATAGCGCGAAAGCATCAATACTTAATTCATTGCAACATATCATGCCAAATGACTTGTCCATCAAACGTGAAGAAATCTTTGATACTGTTATATTTTCATTGCAACAAAAAACAAATATTTTACCCTTCTGATTTTACTGAGCTTCTTGCAGCACTTCTTTTACATTCCTTATAAAATAGTAGGCACAGGCACAAACGAAAATTACAGCGCTCGTGTAAAGAACTGTCCTACTGAACATAAAGAATTGAAAAGGTAGAAGAATTTAAAAGGTCATCATCAGGTACCATCTTCTATCAGAAGGTTGGCTACCATGACCCTTCAACTATCCCGAGTTTTGGTTTGTTGTCATGGTCATAGTCATAATTTAAAAGGTAGAAGAATTTAAAAGGTAGAATGCTTATGTTATTGAACATTGAATCCTTGGTTATTACCGCAGTAAATAAAATATCATATATCATAAAAGAGGTTATAATCTAAGGATACAATTTTCAACAGCTGACTGGACAGAGAGTTTAGCTTAGCCAACATTTCCCTTAGCAAAATGCTTTGTTTGGCAATCCTAGATCACCGAGCATTTTTTACCAAAGAACAGTACACATATAAAAAGGCAACACATAAAAAATGTTCTGATCGTCTATGAAATTTAGCTGTTAACAGCACGATCTTACAGCACACGGCTGCATGGACAGAGGATTCGTCCAAAAGATGGTTGTACAGTCCATAGAAAGAGACAAGCACAGCTGCTAATCAGAGTCACTGTCGCTTTCACTGCTCATATCCGTATCTTGATCAGGGTTTTCCTCAACGCTAGGACCAGCTTTTTGTGGTTCTGTGCCTGCATCTGATTCGTTACTCTCGTCACTCTCTTCATCACTGCTGTCATCTTTAGCATGTTTCCACATCCTCGCCATTTGCAACAACTTGAAGTTTGGTTGATTTGCTTCATCATCCGGAAATATGTAGTCGTAATACTCCTCCCAGCCTGCATCTGACTGTAGCCGGAGAGGAAAAGGAGACATGAGCAGGAATCATTTCATATAGAAACAATAAAGAGGAGAAAAAGTAAAAAAATATTTCCTGCAGAAACGATAAAAAGGTGACAAAAGTGAAAAAATTAATTTAGAAACAATGAAGAGGAGACAAAAATAAAAAGTTCAATGTAAAAACAATGACGAGGAGACAATAGTGCAATTTTAAGTTTAGCCACACATAAGATTTTGCATAATAAATGTTTTTTTTGATGTTGTTTTCTAAGGAGCGAAATTAGCTTTAGATTCTGTTTAGCAAATTAGCATAAAAAATAAGTAATGTCTTAAAATAGGTGTACGGAAACAAATATTTCTTGTAATAGACACGTCAGTTCTTTCGAATGAAAAGATGTATCATAAGGAGACACCGTGCAACTTACGCCATCATCTGTTTGTACTTTTCTTCTCTTCTTCACTTTCTTCGGCATCTTCTTCTCGATGGCTGCCTGGCTGCTCTCATCTCCATGTTTATGCTAAAATTGAAACAAAATTGTAAAATTTAATTAACGGATAAAAATTGAGATAATAACAGAAAAAGAAAAGTAGCTCAAAGATAAACGTGAAAACCTGAATTTCGATATACCAGTTCAATTTATGGCCTCGTTTTTTAAATAAAACTAAACGTTATTGTCTGATATTTTCACCATATAATTTTTCATATTAATTGTGCTTGTATCGTTAGTTTTATGACGACAAAAGTTTTGAATAGGTATGAGCGACTTGACCGCAAAATATACCATGAAAGCTCACATTTAACTAGCATTTGATATCTCAATCCTAATTTGAAGTAAAAAAATTTTAGTTAAAAGCGTTTTCAAAGTCGGAAATTTTACGAAGCCATAAATTGAATTGGTGTATTAGGTCAAATATTCGTGAAATGCGAAAAGTCGACAATAAAACATTTCAGACTAAAAACAGTTGTCGTTGATCTCACAAAAGAAAATTATACGTGCGATCGGCATGTTATTGAGTTGCGTTGAATCTTAAAACTGAAATATGAGATTCCTAAAAATTACGAATGCAATTATAATCTGCGCACTTCTGCATATTGAAATCTTTAAAGTAATTTGATTTATAACACTTATAATTTGATTTTGCAAAATAGTCGACATCTTTCGGCTCAGGATATGAGGTTGTTTGCTCCAAAAGAAGTTGCAATAAAAAGGCAAAACAAAGCAGGGAAAGATCAGGCGGGAGCAGCTGTTTCGATGCTATTTCAAAACGTTCGCCTATACGGGCTAACAACTTTGACAGGCTTATGTTAACTTTTGCTATCAATCCAATACAAACCTAGAAGTGTTTTGAAGATATTGCGTTTGATGTTTGAAAAATGACCCTAAGAATTCTGCCATTTCACAGAATTGTAGATTTTTAACGATAAGCCACGCTGAAATTGTCAGTTGCCAAACTAAGTTTCTCCGTGAGTGCTAAATAAGCGCCTTCACAATGTAACTCGTCGAGACTCAAGAAGAGTGAACTTCTTCTGACGCGGTGGAAGCTCAAGGGGTTACGAATTTAGTTGAACAATAATGCCAGTTAACGGTAACAGATTCCAACGCATAGAAACGTATTGCGCACAAAGCTATACATTACCATACGGTCAGCTTTCTTTAACTAAATGCATCTAAGCATAAACATTAATTTACAAGCGTACACCAAATCCATACCTCAAAATCAAACCAAGATTCCAGTAGCAACAGTCGCTCCTCTTTTGACTCTGGGTGCTTCAGTGAGCGATCCCCACGCTCATAAATGCCCCTGCAATATAAAACATTGTTGCAAACAAATTTAGCAGCTGGTTTAAATTTACAAGACATAAATAGATAAACTCCATCTACAAAACTTCATTTCAGCCAGCTCTCGTTATTACGCGCGCCAATATTCTCCTTTCATTTGAAGTTTTCTCCTTAAAGCAGGCGGGAGTTATCCTTAGGGACAATATTTAATCTTAAACCAAAGTCATACTCGTGGGAGGACTGGCTGGCTGGAACATGGGAGGACTGGAACAAAAAAACTATTATTCCTACTTTGGCCCACCCTATACTTTAAAAAAGCCTACTAGCTCTCACCGTGCTAACGACACATTGTCTTCTTCGTTGGTGCTTGCCTCATACTGGGCGTAGCTGATCCATACCTGAAATGTGTACAGATAAAGCTATAAGTTTAGTCAAGAAGCAAAATCAACATAGGTTTGAAGATAGACATTTTAAACTTACCACCGATCCTAACAAGCTACTTGGCAGAGTGGCAAAACTGAAAAAGGCACATTTCATTGGTTGTTAGAGTTTTCTCCTTCTAGGGAATCACTCAATGAATCAACCAATTATATTTTGTGAAGGCTGATTTGTTCACAATGATAGAAAGACATTTTCTTAGACTAAAAGACAGTTCATCGTAGCTGTCTACATTGAAATTATTCGGAAAGGCGATTTTTGCAAAAAATAATTCACTAATTAACTCTACAAGGAGTTTTATGCCTGTTTTGACAAATAAACCTTTTAAGTCTTTTCTTATTGCGAAAACATTTTCCAGTGAAACTGAGTTTCAGCTGGGCCGAAAATTTATCCCTTTCAATAGATGAAGTACACTGCATTGCGTTTCCATTATAAATAAGCATATTCCTAAATATGAAAGTACAAGGCTGAAGTTTGATGAAACAAATAATGCGTCTACTGCATTCAAATAGAGTAACTGCTCCGATATGGCAATGCGGTTAAGTATTAATATAAATTATATCATCATTATAATCATTATGATCTGAGGCTGGAAATTGGTAACATAAAACAGCCTATAGGCTCAATAATATGAACAGCGATAATAATTGCATTATTTTTAGTGAGTATAAGATCTAGTTCTAGCTAATTTGCACCAACCATTTACAATAAAAAGAAATCTTCAATATAATATAAAATGCAATTCGCAATATGAACATTATCTACACATTTTCAAGTTGCAATTATCTCCAAATCACCATGCCATTTTAATATAGCATCTGGTGAGGCGCTCTTTATCAAATCAGGCATGCTGTGCCATAAAAGGCTACCTCCAAATTTAATAGGATCAATGTCAAATTTAATAATTTCGTTGCAGGAAATTGCAATGTACGTTTCGTCCTAAGGTTATATCTGACATAATATATTTGGGGTAAAAATAGCTCTAATGATGTCAGCATTGCATGCAAAAACATATTTTCTTAGCTTGAAGGAAAATATACAGGGAGAAGATGAAAATTCAAATATGAAATTTCAAATATGGTCTATAAAGGGACTGCTAGATAAGAAATCGCGGCATGTTGTGTTTGATGTTAGTTCGTTTAAATAAGACGATGATTAGCCGCCCAGCTTACAATGCCGGCAGCAAAAAGCCAACTCGCTGTCTATAAAAACTCGATATTTTCTCACAAAAAGAAACACACTAGGCGAGCCTCCACAATCAAGATAGATAAAATCACTTAGAATGAAAGTGGGCGCAAAGTACAATTTAGATTAAGATAAAAGCAACCAAACGCAAATGCTGAAACGTAAGAAAAAAGCCTAATTTATCTGATAAATATTCTTTATTCTACGACATTGTAGAATGAAGCAGAACAGCTGAAAACATTCGGCATTTATTTACAAGGGAACAAAAGGCTTTGAAAAATCTCGTACACATGAATCAAAGTCAGGATTCACGATACTTTAAAAACAAGAAAAAGTATAAAGGTCAGAGCATAGATCGAAAACTCTAAGCTAGAAAAACATACCATAAATTCCATAAAAATATTCTATTAAATATATCCTATAAATTTCAATTAGCTTTAAATACAATGTAAAGCGAACGTGTCCTACGAATTACGACGTTCATGTTGCATCAAGGAACACTTTTTGTTGCTTATAAAAATTTCAGAAGAGTATTACATTCAATGCTATTTCATTGAATATAAAACGCTTTTTACTTAAAGCATCGTAAATGGAGACATTCTTTTTAGATATAAACATGAAATTTCCTCTTCCAGCTAAAAAATTATGCTGTGACAGAAACATTTTTTAAGAAACAAATGGTTTTGTTTCCTACAAAACGCGTTGTTATGTCATTTTTATAAAGTCCTCTTCCTGCTAAAAATAAATATTTTGACAAAAAAGGTTTTCTAAGAAACGTATGGTTTCGTTTCCTACAAAATGCTTTGTTACAACGTCAAAAGCATGCTACACTTTCAAGGCGAAATATGGGATCAGCTGTTCCGAAAAGAAAAAGCAAGACTCATAATAGTTTGTAGTGAGCAAGGTCTTGAATTTTTGTAACACTCGAAAGAGGGATTAACAAATTCAGGCAAAATCGACATTCCCAGGACCTTAATTATTGTGACATTTTGAGAGAGATTGGAAATCCCAGTCGTAAATGAGAATGTGAAGTTCTAAATATTTGCACCATTTCAAGGAGATTGAAAATGCAGACAATATGGAGATAGCAAAAGTAGAATGTTTACAAACTTGCATAATACATAACCTCATAGACAATAATTGAAGACTGTTATTACCTTAACATGTTGTGTTCTTTCCAGAAGTCGCTCATAAAGCTGGCGTGTACGCTCTGTCTCTTCCAACGAAATCTCGAAATCTATGTAAGCCTTCCAAATTACCTACAGTTTGATGTGAGAAACATATTTTGAGACAAATACATCTAATAGTTAAAGCATTGTGCCAAGAAATTATCAATTCTAGCATATGGTATTTGTATTTTTGTTTCTACCTAGCAGCCGAAAGTACTTTTTAGGCCACTGGGAAGCTTATGCTTGTCAAGCATTGTCCAGTTCCTGCCCTCGATGTGACCATACGTCGTGATTCCTACACCAGAAATTACAGAGAGCTGGCGACTCCCTTTACTCTGGGTGAATGTTTGGTCATGCCAAGGACTCGAACCACGGACCCTTGAGACTTTGAGTCTGTAGTCATCGCCTCTAACAACTGAGCCATCCTCGCACTTATATTAGCAACACACGATAAATAACGAAATACTGCAAAGCGATCAATCTTTTTTCTATCGTCCGTTGTTTGTCAGTGCATTAAATAGAAAATGGGTTTTACTGATATTTTCAAAGCTTCTTTAAGAAAAATATTTCGGCGGTAGAGAACTTGAAAATGGCTGTGAAAAAAGCAAACATTTCACAACATACTGTAACAAGCTAACAACTGTATGTTGTGAAATGTTTGCTTTTTTCAAAGCACATGCAGTCTGTCTTGTATTTAAAAGCAGCCTGGGGAGGTTGAGCCGACTTTTAATAATTCCCATTCAAAATGGCCGAAAGTCCGCAATGGAGTTGCACAATATCGGCAACCGAATAAATTTCAACGAAAAAGCTCTTTGTCCAAGGGCTGAAACCATCTGCGACTGGCTGAACACAGGTCGAGCGCGCGAAACGTGTTGAAGTAATTTAACATATCCGGCTACTACAGTGTTGCCGAAATCCCTTTTCCTACTATTACGACGTCGCTAGACTCTAATTTCCGACTGTTACGATGTCGCCGAATTCATTTGCCGGCTGTTTGTACGTCGCAGGACTTTCATTTCTGGCTGTTAAGACGTCGCCAAAGTTTTTTTCCGGCATTTTCCTGATTGCAACAATGATATAGAAGCGCTTCTATATCATTGGATTGCAACAAAGAGCAGCTGAAAGAGACTCTAGGTTGCTTGGAATGAAGCACGTGACCAGTAGCTATCCTGTCAAAAGTTTTGACTTCTGGAAAAGGTAACGAAGGAAAATGATTGGCTGCTGAAGGATTTCGCAAGCGAAAAGCGAAAAAAGTTCAACTCATTTTAACTTTTTTTTGCAAAGAAATTCTTAACGAGAAATCCCAGCAAAAGTTCACTGCGCATGCCCATGACGTATTTCGCGCGAAATTTTTCGCGTTTCGCTGATTTTCTCTCACTGGAGATTGAGCTTTACAGCTCTTTCGATTGTAAGGGAACCTGCTTTTAACTGGGTTGACCTGATTTTTGCATATTTAGAAGCTTTTAATTTAGTTCATGATGGAGTTCAAAAATTGTATAGAATATTTTTTGTGATTTTACACCATACTTACATTACTCCTACGATTTTTATGTACGAAGAATGATTACATATGGTACTTTGGACATAGAAGTAAATATTACCTCAGGCATATCCAGCAAGGGCTGGTTTATAGCAAGCTCGTAAATAGAACGACATCGGTCCACTTCTCCTAAAGAGGCTTCCATTTCTGTGTACTAAAGGCAAAATAAATACTAAATGACAAAATCTTTAAAATACAAAACAGTGTCAATGAGAAATGGTGACTTTGTCCTGTTTAAGGATTCTGAGCAAAAACTACAAACAATTACAATTACAAAAACTACAAATCAATAGACACACTATCCAAAATCTTGCGAATTTCCTCAAAAGACAATGAAAAAGATGAAGTCCGAGTGTCGCAACTGAAACAAAAGTTTCGTTTGAACCTAACCATGGAATGACAGTTAGTGGCGCAAATTTGCAGTCTCAACATAGTTTTCGAGTCTTCCTGATGACTGCCTATATTACTTCCTACGATCGATATTGCTTCTTTTCCTACGATCGATACATCTATATCACTTCTGCCGGTGAGCTAATGTACCTGTGCATCCGCATTGAAAAACAAAAGCGTACAATTCTTTTCAAAATACAAGAGCACCTGTGTTGTTCGTTTTTGATGCATTCATATAAAATAGGTTACTCTCTATTTAACCTCCTGAGAAATGTTTACAGTTGATTAATGCAAAAAGGACAATATCTTTAATGACCTTCAATGTTACATTGTAACAAACAATATCATTCAAAGGGAGGGTGGGTGGTGATAGAATACAAAATTTGAAATTGCAGTTATCATTGCCGTATTGGCAGTAGCCATACCTTTATCCACGTTGAACAATTTGATGGATCGAATTCCAAGAATTTCTCGTACAAAGTTCGACATCTATCATACTCGTGAAGCTGAAGCAGGTAGACATAAATTAAGCTACCGACTCAACTGTGAATGTCAATTACGAAAATAAAAATGGTTGCAAAATAACTATCATTTAGAGAATGCTACAAGAAAAAATCATTCTTTATGCAAATCTGGGCTAATAGAGTTGTATACTACTTGTCTTGTTCCAACATGCCGAGTTCAAACTAGTCTTTGGGTAAATATAATGAAAGGTTTTGCATTTAGATTTACAATGCAGATTTTTACAATGAAACATCCAAAGAGCAGAAAACTAAGGGACCGGAGATCCGAAGTTCCTCTTTCTGGAGGAGATAATTATGAAGCTTTGGCCACGGTAAGAATTAGAAAAATCAAATATTTTCTGTTTGGTGTCGGTTATTTGTAATTGTAAGTTAATGAAAAGAAAAGCTTCTTATAGAAACGTCAATCAATACAATATAAGCATACATTATGATAAAGGATGCCCTGAGTGAAGATAAGACTTCATCTCCATATGACAAACAGCTCCATATAACAAATACGTATAGCATTAGCTTCTAGGTTTCTATGTGGATTTATCAAGAATACTGTATTGTTATTCGTGCAAGAAACTTCATACCTGTTGCTCTAAAGCAATGTATTCTCGGAAAAGTTTGCTTTTGGGACATTTGCCAAGAGCTGTTCCCTGCGGCAAAATAAAGGAAAGTGTTCAAAAACAGGGCTTGCAAAATGAACTAAATGAGATTAAATATAATGAACTAGTTTAAAGAAGGCGATAAGGTTTATATGGTGCTCTACTAGAACAACAAATATAATGAAGCGGCAGATATTTGCAGGGTTGCAGGGTACTGCCAAACGACTGGCTGTTCTGCTAAAAAACATAAAAGTTTTCTGTATACCAAGAACGGATATGACAGGTAACAGAAGTAAAATTTGTCTATAAGGACTGAAAATCTCAAATTTACAAAATTATCACAAATACCGTAACAATCTGAAATCATGTTTAGTTGACAAAAGTAACAAGAATTGATTGTTGCTAGTGACAGCAACTATAAAATGAATCCAATCAATTTTTTTCTTTTTATACAAAGTATGGCTAAAGGGAGTGCTCTCTCTTCGAATAGCTTACCTATTGAGAGAGTTCCTCCTTAAGAAATTCCCCTTCGTATACTTTATTTTCCATTTAGTTTCCCTTGTATCTTGTATTTGGTATTTAGTTTCTCTGTAATTTTCTTTTTGCATATGTATTTAACTGAAGGTGTGTTTAGTGGAATTATTAAAATATGAAACTGAAACTGAATCTTTCCAAGATTTGGCTTATGAACATGAATAAATGAATTCAAAAAAGTATTTAGCTCTCAGCGTTGACTTCTAAGGCATAAAAACAACATAATAAAGACATTACAATAGAACATAGCATAGAACATAGAACACAGTATAGCAATTAAACATCAGATGTAAATAACATGATGACCCCTGAATAAACGGCCAAGTGATTCATATAATATTTGTAATGTGCTAATCCGAAAGCTCGAGGATTTGAATTTTCTCTTGCCCAGAAAACTTATTTGCTCTTCATAAACATCCCTACGTAGACCAAACTTTGATAATTTAAACTTCATACGATAATGGAAAAAACATATAATTGTTGATAATTCATACAGATCTCTGCATTTGGTTGTGTCTAGATAAATTATATTCTTAATGATATAATGACAACTTTTGTTTACTGGTTAAGGAAAAATGATAATTATTTTTAAAACTAACCATTGCTTGTCTGGCCCGCTTCAGATCTTTCTCGCGGATTTCAAATTGAGCATACAGAAGCCATAATTTTGCAAAAGTAAACTGAAAATAAATAAGCAAAATATCACAACGCCCGTTCAGTCTTAAGCATATATAGAACACTTCTGATAATCAACAAATAGATCCATTGGCATGAAAACTACCAAAAATCTTAAAATAAACGCAATAAAACATCAGTATACTGTTAATATAAAATATGGATGTTTCGAGTAGCGATCTAAAAATTAATTAACATCAGTAATAAATATCACAATCAGTTGTGAAGATACATAATAAACACAGGGTTTATTTTATTATAATTAAACTATAAAATATTGAAAAACTTGAAAAGGAAAAGAGACACTAGGACTTCAGCATAAAAACTGTGTCAAGAGAAACAAAGGCAAAGAAAAGGGGACTAAAAGCATAGGAGGAGAAATAATTGAAATCAAGGCAAAGAAATTAAGCAGTGCAAACTGATTTTGGTTTTCAACTCTTTTTCTAACCTTCTTATGTGGAATCAAGTCCAGACATGCTTTGTAAACTTTTCTTGTTCTCTCCATATCCTGGCATGGTCAAAATCGAATTAAATAGTTTCGTGATAAAGAAATGAAGGCAGATTTAATCTGCAGTTACGTGAAAAATTAAACTGATCAAGAAAGAATCTGTTTTCTTAAAGAAGACAATCTCATGGTAGCCAGCGATAGTCTTTTTTCTTTACAACTAACTTAATAATCATGAACATTTTAGCACAATTTCGAAATGGAAAATAAATGTAACGGTAAAACTGAAAACATTAAAAGATACAACAGAAGGCCAAGAACGTTATGCAGAACTCTTGGAACATGGCAACTTACCATAGGCATAATTTCATCATGACCCTTATGCGTTTATAGGTAATCGCGAAAGTTTCCCGATAATCGCATTAAGCGTGAAACTTAGTGTAGAAATTTAGAGCCGTTCTGGTCATACACCGTGTGCAGCCCTGCCTAAATGACATCAATTCTTTAAGACAGACCTATAAACAGTTACTTTCGTTGTTCTTATGTAGATGGATTTATCATTTCAATATAAATACGAACTGATATTGATATTTTCCTTTAATATATATTCAAAACATCCTCCCCTAGGTTTTAAGGAGAAACCTCAGTATTTGTTTCATTTTCGATACAAAAAAAGAAAAGTTTTTTTGTATCATCTAAAGGTAGCAGATAGTGGAGGGAGGAGACAATGAAGGGTGATATTAAAAATACACCGATCGAAACTAACATAAGTACCTTTGCTACAAGTTCTTCGAATAACGCATAATTGATCCAAAGGTATATATAACGGCGCCAGTGCTTCTTTTTCTGTAAATAAAAACAAAGATAAGTGTTATTAGATCCACAAGGCCTTACTAGATCCACACGGCATGAGTCCGACCCTTCAAGTCGCCCCTTAACAAGGGTTACTCATCGTGGAAAGGTTTCTAACACTGCGAAATGGAGCTTATAGAAAACGTGCTCCTCAAGATCTTTTATCAATTATATCTTGATGAATATCACGGAATGTTGGGCAGTGGCCTTTACCAACAAACTCGCAATAATAATGTCAAGAACAAATACACGAAACCACTTATTCTGCATTTACAATCTCAGCGATTTCTAAACAACACGACAAGAAGGCATAGCTGTCCTATTCCGTTGAAAAATGTATTTTCCCATTATATATGGATCGTAAACAGGACTTATCTTCACCAGCTTGACTACCGTGAATCGACAAAATAGCTAAAGAATCGTACCTCCAGCGGGGGGATATTCGCAATGGCACGTTCGTAAACATCTCTGACAACATCTTGTTCATCTGATTCACTCTCCATCAGTCGCAGGTAGTCAAACCAGGCATCATAATTACTTGGGTTTGCTTTCACTTCCTGAAATGATTAAAACCATTCTTAGGCATATGTAACAAACGTGGAATACATTTTCTACGAATACTGAAAATTGTAAAAAGTGACATCCACCTTGGTGTTTCTCATGACATACCTGATAACTGCAGCAAGCATCTTGTCTGCTGCTATTCGCTAATATTTTCACCTGATATCTAATTCGAGAGAGAGTGTAGTGCTCTTTGTTTTTTCTTCCTTTGGTAATTCGTATGCAAGTTGTCTTAATTTTTCGTGATGCCACGGAGTAGGCATAGTATTTTGCACCCAGTGGCATCGTCCTTGTAATGTCGTTAAGTATTTTGTAGGTAGTGTAACTAGTAAATTTGTATTGGAATGTAATAAAATAACATAATACACTGTATCTAAAGTTAAAACTTCACAACAGAATTTAAAATATGTAAAGACACAAACTAAAACGGTTTTTTTAAAGTTCCTAAGGTAGTTGGTGCTGTCAAGAAAAGATTAAAAACCAATTTTTCATCTCAAGAGAAACCTAAGGTATTGTAAAAATGTTGCTTTTCATACAATAAAGTTTACAAAAAGGAAATTTTCAAGAGCTCTAAGTACATCTAGTACATCACGTATATCAAGTACATCACAAATAGCTCTGTCGAAGAAGAAAAAACAACTATTGAAAAATATACATCAAAAATTGACAAACCTCTTCATACTGGAATTTCCTCTTGCTGACAATAACATCTTCTATCCCGCCCCTGTCACCATACCGTTTCTCAAACATTGTATACTTGTTAAACAAATCCTACAACATCAATAAAATGAAGCAAGGTTGTCAATATAGCTCATAAAATTCTGAGCACAGTTATATACAATAACTACAAACAGGGAACAAATCAAAGGAGATGTGGTATAGAAAGTATCACCACCCTTTAAATTCCTTTATTCATAAAAATCCACCCGAAATTAAATTTTAAACAATGGTCGGTAAGCAATGATCGAGAACAGTCGTTCAATTAGCAATTACGTCAACCCCAACTGCCATAAAATTGACGTTCTCTCAAAAAGATTGTTATGTTCTTTCCCAACTGTAACTTTCTTCGCAATTTTGAATTAAAATCAAAGCACGTTATCTATTCGCCAACTTCAAGAGATCACTACAGCCAAAGCTATATAGCCTGCAGCAAGAAAAATACCGGATCTACTTCCAAATGAATCATTCACAACATATTTTGACTGTTCACTATTTAAAAAGAAACATTTCATTGCAAAGCAAAGCTATCATTACCTCGGCGTGTTTCTTTGGTATATGATCCAGAGCATACTTGTATATGACCCTGACTCTTTCAAACTAGAAAAACAGAAAATGATTTAAGCATATAACCTCCCTAGCGCATGTGGCTTGACGCCATTTCAGTGCCTTTCTATCAATAAAAATGTTTTTTCTGGGCCTTTTGTTATTTTACCCTTGAAGTGTCAACAACTAAAAATTCAGAAGCATTTATACTGTATAAGGAAACAGATAAAACCCAAGTATGCCATTACTCAAATTTGAATTGACTAAAATCCCCGTAGCCTTTATTCTAAACACGGATATCTAGTGGCAAATTTGAATATGATTTTCAAATAGAAAGCGCTGGTGTGCTATAAAACCACTTACACGATAAAAAAGATATGAAGATAAGGTTTTTTGAATACATCCTAGTACTGCAAACAGGTAAATTAGGCGAAATCTAATCAAAAACATTCACAAATAATGACAGAAACAAAAATCAGTTACACTAAGAATGCAACTTCGTGTATTAAATATCTTGATTAAATATCCTAAATCAAAAACAAAAATTTGAATTTTTTGTTTAGTTGCTGGCGCCGTGTTTCGTCATTGATGAAACCAAGCATGGGTTAAAGACTGCAAAAGTTGAAAATCGACATCAGTGCACATTGCTGTGTTCTGTCACGTTTGCTTACGAGAAGTCTGGCGGCGAAATGAGCTCTAATTTGGGCAATCGAGAATCATGAATAACAACTAATAATCTGATTTGAAAGATTAACATTGACAGCTCCATTTTGAACAAGGGAAATATGGTACTAATCATGTACAACAAATTGCAGCATTTGGACAGACGGTAGTTGCAGCAGAGCAGCTTGGGATTCAAATAACACTTTTAGAAACAGAGGCATTGCATAGCTCTCTCTCTCTCTCTCTCTCTCTCTCTCTATCTCTCTCTCTCTCTCTCTCTCTCTCTCTCTCTCTCTCTCTCTCTCTCTCTCTCTCTCTCTCTCTTTCTCTTCCCCTTTCTATTTTTCTTTCTATTTTTCTTTCTTTTTCTCTTTCTCTTTTGCCGAAAATTCATTTGTTGCACAAAAAAGCCCTTTAGTAGTCATACACCATACGCTACGTCACAATGCTGATATTTAGCAGTATGTTGCACAAACAGTTATCATTCGTGTTCCAAATATTAACAGAAGTTAAATGACCAACCTCTCTTTGGTTTTCTTCAAATCTCGCAAAAGCAATGAATAATTTTTCATCCATATTGTCATCTCCAAAGTACTCAATAGCTCTCTCGTACACTATGCGGGAATTAGCTACGAATCGAGTAGAACGTATCTTCATTAGAAAAACTCGGTCAAAGCAAAGCGAAACATTTATATCCATACTGAAAGGTTGAATAATTAGAGGCCGTACCAGAGGAAAATGGTAGTGATATCATTGGAAAAAAAGATACTTCATTGTTGCTTCTGGAACGACAGAGTTCAACAATCAACCATAATTGTATTACAATAAGCAATAAAACTGTGCACATTTTTCTGATATATTTTTATCAAAAGCTTAGGCAGCCGATCATCACACAAAAAGCCATTTACCAGCATTTCTTTGGGTCTCCTCAAATCTAGCAAACTTGATCCAGTTCTTCACATCAGGATGGACCATAACAAATCTCTCGTAGATACGCCTTGCACGATCAGGCTCTTTGTACCGCAATTCCATTTTAATGTAAGAAAACCATGCCTGCTCCTCGGGCTCCCATTCCATCCAACGCTCAAATACTTGTCGAGCCCCTGGCACATTCCCAAGCATTTCTTCCATGTAAGTGTACTTGTACCTGAAAAGAATATACATGACATGGGGAATATTGGCAATTACGTCTAGCAACTACGGTTAAGAAAGACTTCTTGCTGTTACTCTTATACTAAAGAAATAGGCCTAGATACTTCCACGGGGCTTAAACGATGTTAACTCATAAGAAACAATAAATTGTCAATATAAGCTATATTTGAAATTTATGGTACTACCGCGAATAACTAGATATAATACAATGAAAGATATTACATCACCAGCCAAAAATATTCTTCACCAACAGACTAGTTTATAAAACACACATCAAGTCTTTTTGCATATAATTGCTGAAGATTATTTTATACTGTATAATTTCATATCTGCAATAAAAGATAACGCTGTATCCATTATTGTGGGTCTAATTTAATAGTTTTTGATGCCGTAAAGGCATAAGTTTTTAGATGCACTCAAGACTTGAAAAATGGCTTTTTATAAATCGAGAAATAAGTTTTGATCAAAGTACGCCAATTTTGAAAAACACATATATAAATTTAAAAAAAGCGGATGAAAGAAGAGTTTTCTTCCAATTTTCTTTCATTTTACAAACTGTCATTGCTTAAGGAATATTCAGTCAAAACCTGGTTTTGATATCGTTTATAGTTTTTGAATACAAAGCATCGCAATCATACAACGAAACATGAACTTTTCTTTCTCGTTTAAAACCTGTTAGTCAACCCTTTTCTACGTAGACATATTCACTGATTGATTTATCAATGTTGTATCTGGTCCTATGTATCACAGATGAAACTTACCAAAATTGACTTGCTCTAGGAAGAACAGTCACAGCTCTGTCCCATATGTTCCTTGCATGGTTTATTTGGCGATGCCTGTTTGGTTAAACGAAAAAAATCAATAAAAGGTACTCATGGTTAAAATTACAAACAAGAAGCACTGGCACTAACTAAACCAACCTCCCACATTACATAAAGATATCATGGCTAGCCACAACACAAATTGTACACATTTTGAGTACTCGAGCAACATGGAATTCAATTAATGCTGATTGGCAGTCTATTGTCTTAAAAAAGGAAAGATGCAGTGACTGGAGGGTCAATTGCTCCTTTAGTTAGGATGTTAGAAAAGGTTTCGGTGATTGGGATATTTTTAAACTAGCTCAAACTAGCACCAGCTTTATCATTCAAGAATATCAAGTCTGGTTAACAACGAGGACAAGAAACTTGTATATGTTAGATTTATCAATCCGTTGAATCAAAACATTTAAAATCTAAAATCCAAGTCTTTTCTTGGCGATGTCAGTCGAATTTATTGGGAATAATAGGAATAAGAAACATTGGGCAACATTTTTTTACCAACATATAAAAATGGCTATATTAAAAATAACATACAAAGTTAATGCATGAAAACATGTACAAACCAACACAGTCATGGCAGAGAGGATAAAGAGGCAACATGTGCATGTTTTCAAACTTAGTTTGATCTAAGAAAGTTTTTTGGGGGACTGTCTAAAGCATAAAGGAGGCCCAGACCCCTCTGCCCCCATCTTGCTACCCCCTAGTTAGTTTCATGCATAAAAGTTGAACTTTATCTTAGTAAATTGATTCAAAAGCAAAACAAAACAAGTTTGTGGCCCTTACTTCATCTCCATCTCAGCATATTTCAGCCAGACTGGAATACATCTGTGATCAACATCCAGAGCTCGCTCATAAACAGATCTTGCTCTGAAACATAAGAAATAAGCATCTGAGTAAGGATGGAATAGGTTCTTGTGTAAAATTCAATAGTTATTGTAATTTATCACCTGAACCTATTAAACCAAAGATATTAGAGGAGAATTATTTTACAAAAAGAGAAACTATCATTTCAGACAAATAACTATAACTATATATACATTAATATGATCATTATAAAATTTACTAAATAATATATGATATGTCAACCCTAGCTTTATTAAATGTACCTTTGAATCTCTTTCTGGCTCTCCTCCCATTGTGCATACTTAATCCAGTTTGTAACAACATTTCTATTTTTTCTGATGCTGTCTTCAAACGCCTGCAATTTGCAAATAAAATATCTTACCTTTCTAAAAAAGGAAACATCCTTGATAATGAAAACAAAGACATAAAAACATAGAAATATGAACTCATTTGGCTACTTCATGAACCACTCCAGAAAATGGAAATAGGAGGTGTTCACTAGAAGGAAGCTCTGGTTTGTTTGAGGAAACATGGTAATATGTTGCATGCGATTACATTTTATTTTCACTTTATCTACGTTTATAACTATCATGGCGTTAATAAACACTTTTTTGAAATTAAATCAGGGCATTTACATCCTCTTCTTATGGTGGGACAATTCCCCCAAAAAGATGCTAGAACAAAAAAATATGCTTAGCTTCTAAATTACCATCGCTACAAAGAGTTATCCATACTTCTAAAGCAAGGAAATGTGCTTTGATTTCAGTTCATCAAAAAGCTGTAAGTTAAAGCATCCACAGGGTAAGGAATCTCCAGATATATAAATTATTTTAGAAAAAAGGTAGGTTGCATTTGATTGTCTGGTAAAAATGAACAAATATGATGCTACAAACAAATGAAGAGGACAGTGGTATATTTGATATGAACAGTTCTGGAAAACAAACCTTGCGTTTCTTTAATCTGTATGTTTGTAGTTCTTCTGGATCGGTGATCTTTTGCTTTGGTGGCTATTCATCGAATAAAATGGCAATTGCTCAATATGAGAGTATGATACACCCACAGGCTTATAAACAAGTGAAAGTTTTAAAACATTGAGCCTAAATAGGGTCATCAAGATAATAAATGAAAATAAATTAGCTCATGAAATGCAACAAACCAAAACAACAACATCAATTGTTAATAAATGTTTTCTAAAAAAAGTATATTTCTTAAACTTGGTTTGCACATAATCAATTCAATCATCCCAATGCAATTTCATTAAATCAAGTTGGTTTAAAGTTGTTTGAGGTAAAGATTTGATCCTAAGATAAGTAAAACTTTTCAAACAGTGTCTTATAAAGAGATATAAAAAAAATTCTCACCGGAGGAACAATCTCAAGCTGCCGTTCCTTAGCTTCCCTAAGCAACTGCTCTGCTGTGATTTGAACAGGAGCAGGAGCTTTGTTTTTAACCTAAGAAAGAAGCATGATTATTTACTCTCAAGCTTAAGCCATGAAAACAGATTTGTACTAGACATACTTCATCTTCATCAGTCCCAAAAATCTTTCTGCTTTTGTTGCTATCTCTTGGTTTCTATGTGACCTATCAGATTTTCATGGCAAATTTCAATCAGGACTCATTCTCTAAATAGCTTTTAGTGGGCAATTCATATTTTGTGTCTTTCACTTCTAGTAACTTTCATTTGCCTGATGAATTATCAACCAGAGTTTAAAGCAAACTTTATGGAAGAATAAGGCATAATTGCATTTGTCTCACATTCACTGAAGGGGGTTGACAAAATTGAGCCCATATAACTTTGACACTACCAGCATTTCATCATATTTTCAGTTTTTGGTAATTGACCACTATGGTTAGACTTTTCTAAAAGTAGTCAGTTGTGTTACCTTTAAAACAAGCCAGAAAGAGTGGAATGCAATGAAATTTCAAGTCTTTGACTTTTTTGTCAATAAAGGCAAGTTCTTATTCATTTGACATAGGGTTTACATGCTTAACTTCCAATAATCTTCCAACAACTGTTTGCCATTTCTTCCTACATTAGTCCTTGTACAGAACACATCAGACCATATGTAAATATTTGCACATAATACTGAATCTAGGATGTCCATGAATCCAACATGATAATACATAAGAAAAGATGTTTAGCATTTGCAGATTTCTCTTAATGGTTCTGTCCAATGTACTGTGTCAGAAATTATGGCAAGTTTGGATAATGTTGTTGTCAATTTCATATGATTTGGAAAATTTACTACGGAAATAAAACAATTAGGCAAAGGAATAGAATTAGCTTCAGAAATATCCTTATTAATGAGCTACTGATCAAAAAATTTGTAATAAATCACCTTTACAAATATATGGGTCATACATTAATGACAATTAATGACAAGTGGTTAGACAGGGTAGGCTAAATTTGAGAAATAGTTTATTCAAGAGGGTAGGTGGAGTAAATTGTTTATAAAATTTTATTGTTGTTACATATTCACTTACCATAGGCCTGAAAAAAAACATTCAAGAAAAGTAACTGTTCGCATTTTCATAACAACATATTTGCGTTTTCCTTTACACTCTACAATAAATTTTTATAGCAAAAAAGTCAGGAAAACCAGCATAGATATCAAGTATTTGATATCAGGGCTATGCACCAACTACGGTTGTTGCAACGAAACAAGTTCTCCTCACAATGATTTTTATCCTTAATTCCACAAATGCATTATTGACAATTTGCTTTGAGTCCACACATGCCAAGTGTTCATCTGGTCATTTTCCCTAGGGACACATATTTTTATAAGAAACTAAGGTCTGGAGCTAGAAACACTTTCTAAAATTTTTAGGCCAATTTGCTGCTAAAAGTTTTTAAGGTGTTTCTAACAGTTTTTAGAATTTTTATAAACCTGCTTCTAAGATACAGTAAATAGTTACATTTTAAAGCAAGGATTAACAGAACTCTTATAAAGTAATCTGCATATCAAATGCAGTGTTGCAGAGTACATAGTGGTGTTCAATGTTTTGAGTGACTTGGAAAATCAAAACTGGAAATTAAAAAAAGCTTCTTAGCATTGTAAATTCAGGTAGTGTTAAACAACCTTTTCTTTTAAGCTATTTCTTAAAAAATATGTGTATTCCACCACTTAAACCTCAACTGATTACAAAAAGAACAAATACAAGATCTCTTCAAAAGATTTTGCCACAAATTCTGTGCAAAATTTTTCAGGAAACATTTGTTATTTGCAAATTTAAATTTCTTTATTCTGGCTTTCCTTGCATAGAAAAAATCTTTACAGTTTAGCGATTCATTTTTAAAATGCTTCAAATAAATATGTCACCCCGCTTGAAATTGCACTGCTGTTTACAGTCACATAAAATTTAGACTCAAATATACTTAGAGCTGTTTAATCAAGCTCTGTTTACAGCCATGCTTCGTTTATTGTTACAGCTTTTCAAGCAACATTTGGTGTGACTATATAAACTTCGAAAGTTAAGACCTAATTTGAGTAGCAGCGGCGAGATAAAATTTGTTTTGAATAGCTTCTACATAAAATGAAAAAAAATGTGTAAGTTACAAATAATGATACCAGTTAACTAAGAACATAAAGTACACTTCACCTTGGCGGTAAAACACTGCACCTTGGCGGCGGTCAAACTCTTTCAGAATCAACCGGCAAGAGAAACTTCACGCTGATTAAACACTAAAACATTTTAATTACCTTTGCAACCTTTGGCACTCTTTTCTTCTTTTCGGGCTCTTCTGTATCCATTTTAACGTGTTGGTTTGCTATCTCTGAACAAAATCATTTACTCGAGATTTAATTCTCTCGTTTCTTGCTTACGATTTAGGCCCATTAGCCTCCAGGCCACCGATCAGACTGTCGCAGCCTGAGAAAGAGGTTGGTGAATTTCAATAGACCTAGAGGATTGCCAGAGATCGTAAAAGGAGGTGAGGAGCCTTGAGGAGATGAGGAGAAAAAATCTTGCTGCTTGAGGAACTGAGGAATTCTTAACATTTTCTCTTTCTAGAAAAAGCATAACAATTCACAAAAACCATTGGGTTGATAGTTGTTGATAGCATAATTTCACTGGTGTGGTGCTATCAAAATAAGAAGGAGAGGCTCTTGCACAAATTGCTGCGAAAAAGAATAGCAAAGTATGGATTTGCCAGCTTTGGCATCAATAAAGAAGGCAAAGCTCTGGTTGGCAACTGAGCACCATATCTTAAATAAAGCAGAGATGGGACTCCAATTTCCTTATAATGGGCGTAACATATGCTAAACGGCTGGAGGGGGGGGGGGGGGTTGTCAATCGTGCTCGAATATTATTGCTTCATTAAGGTAGAATTGCCAGAGGTGGATTATAATACGTTTTGCCTGATTCTGGGGGCTGCAGCCCTCCAGTCCTACGTGTCTCATACTACTATGCTCCTCATCAAAGCAGAAACAATCTTTTTGCCTACGCTTATCTGTGATTCAGCAACTTTGCCGCACAATTCCCTTTCGATTCAGTAATTGATTCGTAAAGTTGAATCAATAATCCAATCTATGTTGAATCAATAATCCAATAAGATATCAATCTATGCAATTTTGTTCAACTATCATTCAAGCTGCAAGCAATATTTTACAGCAATCTACTATAATGGCACTCAGGTTAATCAAGAGCAGAAATAGATTCATAAGTGCTAATAAATCGCAATTGGCACAAAGCTTTTGGGAAAATGGTTATTCTAGTACCTGCTTTTGCCGTTCTTTTTAGTTTTGCTCAATGCAACAGCTACACTCGACTTCTAAACTGTAATGCTCACAAGTTTGGCAAATCTGCTATCAAACAATGTCACAAAAATGTTCCCAAAGCAAGTCAGTAAGCTCGTTTACATTGTCACGAGACATTGAAAAGTGTAAGCTGTAGTCAATAGTTAAAAACAAATAGATATATCAGATGGCTCTTTCGATATCACACGCCAGCAATTACGGTAATATAAGTCTAATTGACACTAAGATTCGGCAGCTTTTTAATATGCTTACCCATGTGGATCTCTCTAAAAATGTGTTCTCACCCTGACGCATAATTTTTAGTATTAATGTGTGAAAACATGTCTAAATAAATTCTAACGGAAGTTAGCTTATTGATAATGTTTAGCACTTATTCGTTATATGAATCTTGTTCCTGATATGTGAAGCAAGTGTACCGGGACAGAATTACTTATCAATAAACCGGCCTATTGGGAGCCAGTCATTAGAGATAAGGTTTATTTAGGGGAACTGCTATTATCCACGAAAATTTTATGAGGTAGTTTGGCTGGTCCAATAACATATAAACGGCAACTCGATTAAAGCGTACGCGTTCAATCAAAAGAAGCAAGTATGTTTCTCTTTAATATATATGCTGGCTGGCATTTCTAACAAAGCTGACATTTCCTTATGTTTATTCTTTTTTCATGGCCTATTGTAGCTAATTGTAATGGCTCACTTATTGATTTTAGAGAAATATTTAATTTGCAAATATAGAGCTTTTCTTCTGCTGGCTGCAGTAGGCTAGTTTTTTAGGCCATCATAAATTGACAAAATGACTGTGGTGACTGTCAATACAAAATAAGGATAGGTTGGAAGACAGTGGTTTATAGGCCTTCGTTTCCTTTCTTGTTCTCATCGATAGTGCTCTCGGTTGATCCATGTATGTTTTGCTATGAATCATCTTGGATTCAAGAGAGAATCCAAAAGCCTAGTCTATGTCATGCTTATAAAATTTATGTGCAATTCCATGCATATCGTATACACTGTCGAGCATTACTATAATAAAAGCGCTGCTGCGTGGCATTTAACAAGCGACATACTTAATATATAGTTATATCTGTTTCTTTTTTTAGCTGGCAAAAAAGGACTTCTTTTTTAGGAGCAAAACCTTGCTCGCGCATTCGAGCTATAATAGGCAGACAATAATCATGAGATGACTGAATCGCTCAAGCGTCTGCACAAACGCAGTACGAGCACGCTTTTGCAATTAAAGAGCTCTGTCTGTGGCCACAGAATCTGTCAGCTATTAGCTTCACGGATGATCCAGTGTGTTGGTTGACTGATAAGGACGGTTCAGGCTATACTGCGCATTTGGAATCATCGGATATGTAACAATTGATGTTCTAGCTGCTGTGGCAATAGGGCCTGATTGTCCCTTTTTATGCGAGTGCCCAGTATGAAAGCATTTATCATTGTCGCTGACTCGGCCCTAATCGTACTTAATATCTCATATAGATTCAGTATTGTTGGTAAGGACATTGGTAAATCATAAATGTTGCTAAAGCAGAGTTATATGGTGCGTCAGTAATCTGTAAATGTTGAAGTTATGTCATGACTCTTCTGTGGTTCTGGATAAATCACCCCACTCGATATATAACTCGTAACGCTGTGGGTCTTCCAAAGTAAGCGTCCAGTACGTGTGGCTTAGAGTCAGTTGATACGGAAGGGGCAAGATTGCTATGGATGCCGTTTGTTCGCGAACCTGTCAATTATCTTGCAAAAGAGATGGGCATTCCCGGCCATCACCAATCTTAAGAGAACTGAAGCATTGGCGAGCGTTGTTGTGCGAAAGGATCACTTGATGGCTTAGATAGGGCAGATCATGTGACTAATACCAATCAGTGCAGCTCGACCTATAGTGATCTTTTCGTGCAACAGCGCAGTGGTATTCAACTTTTATATATTTGATACTACACTGCTAACGTAGGTATTGTGAAATGCGGCTAGGCCATTAATTATACGCTGCGTATTAAAATCCTATATTCAGTATGTCGATATATGAGCTGGCGGATCTACAGATTGCTTTCCAGGACACAGGTTTCATTCACCAGCATCCGGCAGTAATCAGGTGGCCTGTGCTGCGAGTGATCTACAAAATGGCTAAAGACCTAAAGCGGCATTATCAATATGTGTAGGGATGATCAATCACTGCGCAACCCCGCGTATTAATTGATAAAACTAGTTTATTTAGATTTCTTTGAGGACTGATCAGTATGGAACAGTAGGTAAACAATTAAATACGCATATCATGATTGGTATATACCATGAATTAATAAGGGATCAAGAGCATATGTGTTTGCGTTGAGTAGGTTACGTTGCATATTCTATTGTCACAATCAATCGGTCATCAATGAGGCCATTGAGGATCGTATAGTTTCTTAAAACCACGTATTAGCCCAACTAAAAACGAAGTTTCTTGAAACGGCAAACCAACAATAAGAAAGCCTTAAAATAAATCGAATAGTGCTTGCTAAAAAGCCTTTGCTTTTGTTCATAACTCTTCATAACAAGCGAGGCTGAAAGCTACAAAGGCCCTAGGCAGGCTATTATCGTCTTTGGACGATATCAGTCTGCTGGCAAATTGTCAGTTTCTAGAAACAAGTAGCTTAATTAGACCACTGAATGTAAGCGTTAAGCAGTAAATAGCACTCTTGCAATTGAGGCTTCCAGCAGCAAAGCGAGTGAGCGCCCCCCCCCTTCAGACCGACAATCTCTAAAGCGCAAACATATTGAAATTATGCTCCTGAGGGTAAAAATGAAGTGGAGACGCTATCGAACCGACCACCATTATCCCTAGCATTAGCTTAAACTTCGAGCGGGTTATAAGAGAAATGAATGCAGTAAGAAAGCTGTGTAGCAGAGAAAACTGATAGCAGATGACAACTGAACAAACTCAGAGCTGATTATGTTATAAGTCTAAAAGGCGCTACGCATTCCGTGAAAAGTTGATCGTAATGCTGAAAACAAGACACATACATCTTATAGTTTTTCGCTGAAACGGTCAACAACAGTCAGTTTGGATTCTATTGTCTTAGACTCTTAAAACCATATTGTAAGAGATCTCTCTGGCTAATACAAGAGATCACGCGCTATGAATAGGGGATTGTCTTCTGTTGGTGCCATAGATGTAAGCTTTGAAGATCGCAGATATATTAGGAAACCACAGCAGGTGTTAGCAATTTAGTAAGAATTTTAGTAGATTTAGTAACTTAGCAGCGAGTTTTTTGATGATGCAGTCATATCAAATAAACATCGGCAGAACTTACGTAAGTTTAAGTTTTTTTTTGGCCCGATATGTCCGTAGAGTGAGCTAAGTAAG